TGGGGAGTGGGAGAACTTGCAAAATCGCAGGGTGTTCAAATACTTATGTTCCTCACTGTATGAGCATGTAGAACAAAAACATCTGAAGTCGAGCTTGCTGCTGAGGTTTGGGGGCAGAAGCAGAGATGGGACAGGACCACATGCCTCTAGGTGTTCATGCTCTTCTGGGAGGCCTAATGCTGGAACTAGGAGGTCGCACCACAGCACGCTCATTAAAACTATCTCCCTCGTCACCCCTAAAACCCCATCCTGCAGTCTGACAGGAGGCTGCAACAACAAAGCATCACATTAAAACCCTCAAGAATACCCTGCATGTTAAGTGGAATGCATGTTATTAGAAGTTACTGGGAGACCTCTAGTTTCTCATTCACCACACGACAACCAGGTCTCTCTATCTCTCTCACCTTGAAGTAGCCTGAATGCAAAGTATCTTCATCCCCCTGTGCCAACTGGTGTAAAGTACTGTTGGAATAATCAATGAGAATCCCTTTCTCTTTTAAACTCCTCCCAACTGTGGAAGATGTAACGTCAGTGTGTGAAGCCAGCCAGTGTTAAAGTAATGTACGGTGGCAGCTTGTTGATTCTGAAGTGGCGGCTTCGCAGTGGTCAATGTTGTCCATCAGCTTTTTTCATGAAAAGTGTTTGATATTAAAAGCAGATAGACTCTTAGCGAATAGCCCCTCTCTTAAAATACAAACCTTGTTGGATGAGGTTGTAGGTTTATAGGTAAAGCTTGTTTTTTTTTCTTTTGTTTTTTTACCTCGCACTATTCCTCACTGACTTGTCCCCTTTACTCGCTTGCACTAGCCTCTCTCATCTGCTCTCTCTCTCTCTCTCTCTCCCTCTGCTTCGTTGACTCCTCCTCCTCCCTCGTGCCCTTCTGATGGTGCCACATGTTTCCACTGGACCACTAGGGAGCAGTGTGTGGCATGTCGTGTCATGTTAGGGGGCTCATTAACAACAGGCTGAGGAAGCCTTAAAATGGACCGGCTATGTTCACCAGCGATACGTCTCTATTGGCGCTGTCTGTAGGAATCCAAAACAATAGGTTTGGTTTATGTCAATTAAAATTCACAAATTAGGGCTTTAAAACTTAGTTTGCTGGTGTTGACTAGTTGATTAATCTTTGAGTCAATGAAATGCCCATGAGAAACTTTGTACTGTCTGACACACAGTCCAAAAAATCATTTTCAACTGTCTCTTTTTTTGGTTTGTTGTAATGTGATTTTGCTGTACCTCTTTCTATGGAACTGCTTTTTTTTTTTTTTTTAAACTAATATTAATAGTATTAGTATTCTAGCATTAATCCCAGATATGCTGTGTGAGGGAGAGTAGACACACTGGTTTTCAAAGCTGGGCTATGACTCCTTCACCAGCAGCAGTTAATAGCTGACAGTCTTCAGGGTCATAAGGTCAGCCAGAGGTTTACTTGTACCTGTTTATGTGGTGCTGCTGTCGGCCCCACTCCTTTGATAGAGTTCTGTTTTATTTCCTCATGCTCTTAAGCTGATAAATCTTAGTCGTCCCCCAGTGTGCGGTAGAAAACCAGATCTACTAGGTGAAATGTGAGATGGAGGTCACCCATGTACCCCTGAGGGCATGTACCAGACCCCTGTAAAAAAAAAAAAAAAAAAGTCTTGTTGTTCTGTGATTTTCCACAGGAACCCTGGGTGTGGTAACCGAGGTAACGATGAAAATTCGTCCCCTGCCGGAGTATCAAAAATACGGCTCTGTGGTTTTCCCTAATTTTGAGCAGGGGGTTGCTTGTCTTCGAGAGATTGCCAGACAGGTAATATGCTAATCTAATCTTAAACTGTTGAGTTTTTACTGCTACTGCTAGTGTTGTATTCATAGAATCCTGGAAGTGCAACCGGATCTGTTGTCTTCTACTCTTATTTTGACTTTTATTCCCAGTTAGTGTTTTGGGTCCACCAATGGAATATGATGGCTTCAGTAATCTGACACACCAGACCCACAATCGCTGGCACAACTATGGCCAACTATTGCCTGTTGTTTTTGTGGCATGTCCAATATCAGTGGTTACACTCAGCCTGCATCAGTATTCTTTGGTTAATTCTGGATGTTGAAGCAGGAAATTCTTCCATGAAGTTCATTGTTTTGCTTTATCTTTTTTTTTTTTTTTTTTTTACTTTTTTGTAATACTCCTGCTGGCATCCGTACACAGCAAATCACAGCCTTACATTACCAGTTGGAACTCTCTGTCAAATGCATCAAACTGCAGGAAATTGCATGGTTAAATTTATGTCAAGCAAAAGACCAAAGGCGCTGAATGTTAAATTTGTTTTTTTTTTGTTTTTTATTGCATATATTTATTTATTTGACTGCAGACAGTTCACAGTGAAACACATTCAGTAAACAAATGTGTCAGACTTTGCCAAGAAAGCAGTGTCTTTTCTGTAAAGCTGATTTAGATCTCATCATTTGAAAGTTTTACTGTATTTGGCCACAACCATTTGATATAATTCTGCCATTTTGCAGGACTGTGATTCAAACTGATGTAGACCAACTTTTGTTTTTTAGAGGTGTGCTCCGGCATCTATACGGCTTATGGATAATGAACAGTTTAAGTTTGGTAAGTGTTATTTAAGCTCTCTGGAGTGCTTTGTGTTACTCTTCACTGTACAAGTACGACTTTAATTTCAGGAAGTGTGTTTTTTGTTTGTTTCCAGCCCTAGTGTAACCTTTGGTTTTTATCACTGAGCTTTGCAACATGTGACATATGACACATAAGAGTAATCATATTTATTTAGAATTGAAATGTTTCTCATACTGTACATTTTCCCAATATTTGGGTTGGTGTTTCATTGATGTACAACATACCTCTGAGTGAAGAACATTGAATCCCAGTGCCATAGCATGCAGTGATTTTACCTTCTACAGCACTGCATTGTTACATTGATTATAATTGCTCCAGTGCAGTAGCTGCAGACACATAGACAAAGAATTGAAGCCTAATGAAAAATGACCCTGGCAGAAATTAAGTTATGTTGAAGTTTTATGATGTTTCTTAAGATCTAGTGTAATGCATCTAGCATTGCCAGAGCTTTCTATAAAGTTCCCTAGTCTCCAGGGATCTCATTATCCCCCCTATATATCTACTTTTCACAGAGTAGGCACTTCTTAGCAATGAGTAGGGAAGATGAAGCGACCAGGTTTTTCACTAATAACTAAAACTCATGGTTCTGTGATGCCTTATTGGGCTTATTAGTGGCTTGTCCACACTTTTAATCATGGTGGCTGTTAAGTGAGGAGAGTTCACAGGCTTTTTTTTCCCAGATTGAGACTACAAGTACAATCTAGTACTGCCTGCCTTGATACACAGGATGAAAAATGAGAATATTGTAGTGAATAACAGTTTGTGGTGATATGCAAAAGAACTCCTAGACCACAGAGGGGGCAGTTAAAAGTGAAATTATACACAGTGTAGGTGTAATTTTCACTCTTTGGATGATGTTGAATATTTCATTAATGGCTGTGATGGCTGCGAGAAACCCAAAGGCCTGCAATCTCATTTTGGAATGGAAACAATTAGGACACTAAGTGATGAGGAGACTTGAACATGGGGGGAAATAAATGAACTGTTAAGTCTCTGTGACATCACCCGTGACTTCCCTGCTGTGATTGATAACCATCCCATTGGCCCCGGCCCCTCATTTTCCCTTGTCCATGGGCGCTTTTGTGCGTCCGATCAGGAATAAATCAAAAAGTGTGGGTGAGGAAGACGGATATCGCTGTGTCAACCCCACTTCCCTTCGGAAACCCTCTGATTTATAGTGGCTGGGGGTCGGCGCCCGGGGGGCGGAGGGAGCTGTAAAGTTATTCAAATGTTACTATTTATTTTTCCTCTTTTTTTTATGAGACCCCGAATAAATCTGACCTGTGCACCCCTCAAAATGCTGGAGGACACTAGTGGAAGTAGGGCTTGACTAATGTGTGAAAAACAATATCAGTGTTTCGGGTCTGTTTCTTTATGAATATATTTGGCTGACTTTTATCTGTTATTTTCACAGGTCATGCCCTGAAGCCTCAAGTGTCTTCAATTTTCACATCCTTTTTGGATGGGTTGAAGAAATTTTACATTACTAAGGTAAAAAGAATTACAAGTGAACCGCACTATTTGCTTGCCCTGAGTTTTGTCTTTTTTGCATAAAAGATAACTCCATTTCTTTAATTGCCAGTTCAAAGGGTTTGATCCCAACCGGCTGTGTGTGGCCACCCTGCTGTTTGAGGGAGACCGTGAGAAGGTCCTGCAGCATGAGAAGCAAGTTTACGACATTGCTGCAAAATTTGGGTAAGTTGTTCAGTCTCCCTTTCCCTGTCTTAGAATCATGGACTTCACAGTGATCATGGCCATTTACAGTAAGAGAACAGAAATGACAAAGCATCATTGAGCGGGATTTTAACATGACGGGGAGCCCTCATTTCACTTTGTTTAACTGGCCATTATGTAGCTGCAGTGAAAAGGATGGAGAAGCACAGTTAGACACATCAGACTCAGTTATCCACTCTGTAGATTGTCTCGCTGTGGGTTGATGGATCACCTGTGGATGTCCTCCTGTCAGGCCAGCTTTTATGTTAAAGTAGGAGTGGTGTGGGCAGAGACAGCGGGGAACAGCTCCATTCAGGATCGCTCAGGGCGAGAGGACCGCTTGGCTTTTGTGATTGATCAGGAAACAGATCAATGGGGAATTTGGTGAAAATCAGTTACCTGTTAGGTTGAGAGGGCTGCTTTCTCTGTCCTGAGTCTGCTGTAAACCCCTAATGCAGATGAATTCATTCTAACACAAGTTAACTCCTGTACCGTTTTTCAGCAGGTTATTATGATCAGTAATTATTTTTTATTTCTGATGACTGTATTTCAACACAGTGTTTACTGTTTGAAAAATATTTTGCATCCTTAACAGGGAGAATTGAATCATAATGAATGTTTGCTATTTTCTTTACACAATTTTTCTTTACTTTTGGTTTTATTAAAGCAAAAAAAAACTGGGACGTTACTCATTTCAGTTTTGAATGATTAAAAAAATTGGTACATCTGATTTTGATTTAGGCTTTTTTATGAAATTCTGTTTCTAATAGCATCATTTGTTATGTCTTATCAGTAGATTTCCTGGTAAACTACAGTGTTAATACATTTTTTAAAAAAATGAGATTTTCTTCAGGAGTCTGGAAAACCTGAAATCAGTCATATATATCTGACATGTGTTCTGTTCTTAAATTTATTTAACCGTCACCCTGTAACAAACCAGTCAGAGACCAGCAGCTCATTGCAAACTCCAGTTTAAATAAGGGACATAGCAGGGGTCCCCAGTGCTCCTCACAGGACGATGTCACTCGTGTTTTTCCTCTGGGCAATGCCTGTTGATTATATATTACTGTTAGTGTTACTGTTTGGCTCAGTGCCCAGACTTACAAATAGCCTGAGCAGTGCCCTAGTACTAGCCAGCGATTAAATCATAAGAAACTTGTCAGTTACATGCAGCATCCGCTGTTTTATTGCATTATTTGAAATAAATTGTGATCACCCATCAGATCAAGTGCCAGTGATGGATTAGTGTGGTTTTGTGCAGAATATTTTCTTCTGATGTTGGGAAACAGGAAGAAGGGTGCAAATCAATATAGTGATTTTCTAATGAGCTTGGTCTGATTAGTTTGGGTGATAGATGAAAATGTGATTGCCCTCTGCAGGTGATGGATGTGTGGCTGACCTGCGGCCATGCATAGAGCGTAGATTCATTGATCTGTACATTGTTGGACTGATAGGCTCCCAGGAAGCTGTTGTGAGGGGGAGTGCTCAGACCAACAAAGCTCAAAGAGAAGAGGCTGTTAAATATTAACCCGGTTATCTGCTTCCAGGGGCCTGGCAGCTGGAGAGGACAATGGGCAGAGGGGCTACATGTTGACCTTCGTCATCGCTTACCTAAGGGTGGGTGACTCCTCTTGCTGTTTTGTGCCTGAGCTGATGGGAAGGTGGGGCGGGCAGGGAGGACACAGTCTGACAACAGATAGCAGAGTGAGCAGCACAGAAAGGCTGCAGAATGTGACCTCGGGAGGTCTTTGGTTTGATCTGCTCACAGTTGTTGTCAGGGTATCTAACACTGAGGTGTCTACATCATGAGAAGGGCACAGCGGCTGCAGTCAGAAAGACAATGGAGAACTGTGTTATGTCAGTTGTGTTAGAGGCCTGTCTGGTAAGCACACAGACATATAATGATGCTGGCTTTCTGTAATCAGGTTAGAGTATTTCCCCAGCTGGTTTACACTGGAGGGTGGTGACTTCTTGGCCATGTGTAGGCATAATCAGGTTCCTAATTGGTCTTTTAGATGTACGTCTATGCAAGTGCATGACATAGACTTCAGAGAGGGGAAAAATATACAGCTGTGACAACCAGATATAAAGCAATTTAATTCAAGGTCTAACTGAAAACGGACACAAAGTAGCTTCCAGAAATCTAAATAAGTCGGGTTCCACAGCTGGACAGGTGCATACTCCAGGCTTCAGCTGGAGTATGCACAAACCAACAAACACAAATTATGGCTTGAAAATTTGATAAACTTCTCTCATAAACTTGCACCACCTAAGCAACCAGACTTGCACACATGAGCTATAAAATTAGCTTTAAACTGAAATGTCATAAAGACAAATTGCTTTAATATCCAAATTTTTGAGATTACACATGTATGACAGAAACCCCTCAAACAAATCAAAAATTAAAGAAACTCAAGTTAGTATCACTAATATAGTTAAAATCACTATACCACAGGAAGAAACCTGATTTCTGGCCCTTACATGTGCACGTAGACATGTTCTGATTACCTGTGTTACCTGTTTTCTTCCAGTATTCTAGTTTCTAAACTGAATGACAATTCAGTTACTCTAATAATAATATTGTGAGCAGGACTTGGGGTTGGACTACTATGTGATTGGGGAGTCCTTTGAAACCTCCGTGCCTTGGGACAGGTAAATACTTTTCTCTCTTAAATTTGAATATCTCAACATTTTCTTTTGCCTCCCACACATTTGTTCCTGACAGAGTCCTGTCTTTCTCCTGCTGCTGTCTCCCCTCCTTTTTTATTTCTCTTTGACTCTGCCTTTGACATTCACCTTCATGCCTGCCTTCTCCCCCCATTAACCAGCTTTGCGTTGGCGGTAGCTTTGCCTTCTCAGCCTACAAACCTGCCATTACTGATGCACACACATAGGCACATATGCAGAGGAGAGTTCTGTGTGTGTGTGTGTGTGTGTGTGTGTTCTGTATGGGGAAATGTGATGTGGGACAGATTCATCTCTCATCCATATGTGGTGTTGTTCTGCATTTTCTACATGTATTCATCATTGTTCCTTATGCACACACAACAAACAGGAGCACACACAGCTCCTTGTTGTGTAACATGCCTGACGGGAGAGACCAAGAGATCAGGCACTGAGGCGAGCATATGTGCCTGGCTCATTACCTATCCTTCTCCCCATCTTCCACACTCCACACATGGCTGCACATGCTTAGGACTGGCAGCCATTTCCATACCAGTGGGAACCTCTCCCACAACGGTCGGCGTGATAGTCAGTCTGTCCCCCTCCTGGTTCCTGGCTTCTTGCATTTTTCAGAATTGTAATAATTTAGCAATTTATTTCATACCCCTACCCATACCCCTGCTATCGCGTTTAAATACACTAATATCACAAGGTATTTAAAACAAATGCTGTGACATTACAAAGTTGTTTTTGTTTTGTTTATTTGGTTCCTTTTACCTTCTTTCCAGGGTGTTGGATGTTTGCCGTAATGTAAAAGAGCGCATCGTTCGAGAGTGTAAAGAGAAAGGAGTTCAGTTTCCAGCATTAGCCACATGCAGGTAATGTTTGAAAATAGCAGCTGTAAAGTAAATTGAGCCTGAAGAATAGCTGTCTTTGAGTAATCTAAACAATTTAAATGATTAATCATTTAATCTTGATATCAGAAAATAGTTTTTAAAAAATGCCTACACTAGGTCTTGAAGTACGCAGTGTACAATGCTCCAAAACCCAAAGCTTTTTAAATTTACAGTGATATAAAATGGAGAAAAGCAGCAAAGCAATACACATGAGAAGCTAAGATGAGTAAATATTTGTCATTTTTACATAATAAATAAATAGAATAGTTGATTATAAAAGAAAAGTATTTGATTATTTATTAATTGTTGCAGTTGGTTTTTAAGTAGTAATTAATTGTTTCACCTCTAATATATACAAAAAAGATTTTCTGCAAAACAAATTCCATGAAAAGACCAAAATCTATGCAACTTCTCTAAACCACCTGGAACACTCAGCTTCCAAGCCCATTCATGGAGAATAAGGAAGATGTTCATTGCAATAAAGGAACATGTCACCCAATGCAACAGTGTGGCTCATTTATGTGTTTACAGTTGTTCTGGGACAACATGGAAGCTCAATGGTGCAGGGGAGAGAGCTACATCAGGCTTTGGTTTCACAAAGAAAACTTCTTAGATCAGTTCATTGGTGGTTTCGGTTTTTTATGAGATTTGTTAACAGTAGGAAACATGTAGAATATCACTAGACTTATCTTTTAAATGTTGTCTAAACAAAAACAGTTTAGAAGAACTTTGCTAAGACAAAAAAAATTCAAAAGTTGGCAAAATTTGCAATGTAATTCAGAAACTTTCTCAGATTAAAAAAACTGTGCACAAAATTGTGAATCTGCTGATGTTTGGTACCTGACAGCCATCGAAACTTGATATCATTCGTTGTTTTAAAAAAAAAATAAAAATTGAGGTAGCATATCCCGTCGTGCCCTCGACTCATGGTGAGTTAGCAAGAGCCCCGCAGACAGACGGACGTTCTGACAGACGTACCCCGAGCTGGTTGAGGAGCACCAGGCTGCTGCTCACTGATTGCAGACAGATTAGGTCTCAGCCTGATTATGCTACAGCCATTCATTTCCCGGCGGCAGTCTGTCACATGATTGATTTGTCCATTTAACCTCTAGAACAGTCAGTGTGCCAGGTGATGGGCCATGTCAGATGAACAAGGGCTGTGCACCCTGCTCCTCCACAGGGAACGAGGCCAGAGAGGGAACATGCAAACTGAAGAAGCATTTCATTCTCAGCAAAAGAGAACATGTTCACGAAAGGGCCTTAATTCAAACAGTGACAGGAACGCACGGCTCAACATTCTGTTGCACGTCAGCGTGCCAGTTGAGTCATCCTGATACCAGCAGTACAAATGTGGCTCAGATGAGTCAATGCAATCATTCGATGGCCATTTAATGTCTGATAATCCTACACTGTTAAAGGTGGCAGTACTTCCTGTTTTCTGGAAACCATGAATGCAACTGGAGTCAGGAGTTCAATGGGGAGATCATGCTTTTATTGTGTGAAAAGGGAGCCCCTGAACAAAAGTGTTCTTTGGATTCATGAACATTTGATTTTTTTAGAGAAACACTAAGGAGTCTTTTCTTGTTGTTTGTGCAGGGTGACTCAGACATATGACGCTGGTGCCTGTGTCTACTTTTACTTTGGCTTCACCTACAGGGGACTCAGCGATCCAATACATGTGTATGAAGAAGTGGAGGTGGGTCCACTTTTATTTGTATCACATTAAGGCACGGTACAGTCCTTTCATAGAGTGTAATTACACCAACGCCACAGAGTGAATGTCAAAATGTTAGGTATGGAATGATATGATTTTTTTTTCTTCATATGATTTGATGCATGACATGGTATGTACGATTCAATTCAATCATGATAAAATTAAAAATTCAATGATATCAACATATGACTAACTGCGGAATTCTTGTACTCATGGTGTGATTAAAGAACAGCCACATATATTGACTTAAGTTCTGTTAGGTGATCTTATTTACAAAAAATAGGAAGTTGCTGGTGTATGGTGACCATACAATACACATCACTGGACAAACAGATACATGTTTTAATTACGATTATATTGAATTGAATATATTGTCCCATCCATACACAATGTAGTGGTGTTTAATATGACTGAGCTTATTTTTCTGTTTCCCAGCGTGCAGCTAGAGACGAGATCCTTGCCAGTGGAGGGAGCTTGTCACATCACCATGGAGGTGATCACAATTTTACACTAAAATATCAGGCCTGTTTTTTTGTGCACATGTACTGTTGAAAATAGGTGCACATAATTCACAAACAGCATCTCGAAATAGATGACAGTTTTATAACATAGCATTTATATTTGCACCTTCTAAATTATAATTTATGACACTAGGTGGTGCTGAGTGGCACTGGCAGCACGGCCAGCTTCTGCTGTGTGATCTTCCGTGCTAGCGAGCAGGCAGCCAGTCGTGCTGTAAATGTGCATTAGGTCAGAAATCTTTCACCGCTTCCTTCACATGTCCAGAATATGTTCCTGCAGCTCAGATGAATTGCTCTGACTCGGCTATTTGTTGTTGACCAAATGAAACGTGAGCAGGGGAGGGTGGCGAAACAACTCTCTGGGCCCCATCAGGGCTAACCGAAATGGCTGCCTTATCTATATTGCCATCCGCCTCGCAGATTTCATACATCACTTCAGGCTATTCATCACAGCTGTCAAAAACAGTATGCAGTGAATCAGCTGCGATATTAAATCACAATTTTTCCTGAAGGCGGGGACAGGTACAAAATTAAAAGATTGCTAATAAAAAGGAGGCGGTGGGCCGGGGTAAATGATGCCACTGTTATCACAGGCTGCACACTGACCTCCACACAGTGGCCCGGCCACCCTGAGCAGCACGGGGAGGTGACGGGGGTGGGGAGCGAGGAGGGGATATTGATGCAGCTCCCGCGTGCGAGGCCCACTCTGTAATTGTGATTAATAACAGTAGGGCTCGCTATCTGGGCACAGACAGGCCGGTTTGTCTGCCCACAATCAGCACTTGACAAATGGAGCTAGTTTCACCGAGTTTTGTGTATCAAACAAAACAGATGTAGTTAAGGATGGTGAGGTGGGAGGGCATCGGAGGAAATATACATTTTTGTAGCCCTGTGTTTACAGCAGGTCAGCACTGTGCTGCGTAGGTAAGGGAATCTGGGCATGTGGAGTCCTCTGCCTCTTTCTCTCTAGAACGTAATACTCAGTGAACAACACCATGTGCTGACTGCTTTCTATCACAGAAATGATGTTGATTTAAAGCTCTGAAGGACTCAAGATTTACCACACCTACTTATAAGAAGTAACTCTGGTATATGTTTGATTATTTGCTGGTTATGAAACTAGAACACTGGGAGAAAAGTCCTCTTTAACTAGGTCGCCAGTGTCACAGTGGTGAAGAGTTGCTGAACATCCATCACCTGGAGAGTCATCCATCTATCACCCTGGACTGCAGCTCCTCAGCCAATACTCTGCCTCGACCATATCACAGGAACACGGCTGCTACCTTTTCCTGTCTTTCATGCCCTGACCCCCATTTGTCACAGAAACCCATCGGGAGCGAGAGCAGCGTGTTGAGAAGTTGAAGCTCAGCTCGGCCTCTACAGTCTTTTCTGTGCGAGGGCCACCCCAGGGTGCCCAGCATCTTCACCTCACCTTGTGGCTTTGCAGAGCTCCAGTCTCAACAACTCTGCCAACTACCCCTCCACGCAGGTCACTACACTCAGGAGACAGAAAAATGACCCGAATTAGTGAAGTTCCCCCTGCGCCATTCAACAACCAGCCGAAGAGGAATGTGCCACAACCTAAAAAAAAAAATCTGTCATTTAAAATAACTACCTGCACTTCTTTGCATGTCTCAGCTGCACAGTCCAAGTCTGGTGAGATTGATTGCAATAGCAAGCAAAAAAGAGAGAATGTGACAAGATAGATGTGTAAATTATCACAGTGATGGAGGCAATGATGCAGTCCCAGCACCTTCTGTTTTCTCTTCTTTTCCTGAGAGGACGGAGGTGGGACAAGGGGGGAGGACTGAGGAGGAGGTGGTTGTAGAGAGCACAGTACTTTCTTAGTTATTGGGTAGCAGCTGATTGGTCCCTATGTCACCATCTGGAGTTGCGTGTGGTGTCAGAGTCTCCGGTGACCCCACTGTCTGCCCTGTTTTGTCAGGAGACGGGCCTCACTAGCCTCATAGCTGATCCCCATCTGGCTCTCCTGGCTGGACTGATAACACAGCGCTCTGATGTGTCAGGGCGGCCCCGTCCCCCAGCGTGTCCTATTAACACAGGAGCTTCCTGCTACTGATGCAGAGGGAAGAGAAAGTGTTTGAACACTCCCATCACACACCTTCCTATTTTCAGGCCTCCGTATCTAATCTCAAGTGATTACAATGATGGTTGGAAGTGTTTACCCAGCAAGCAGCACCTGTTCCAGGCTGGTCTATTCTCAGATTTATCTGTTTGAGGTTTGATATGAAGTGTTTTTCTTGTGTTGACCTGACCTCCAAAAGTTAACATTTACCAAGTTCTGATCTGACTTAGTCAAATTTAGTTTCAGAGTCACTTTTATGCCTGTCATTGTATCTGATGCTTCATCTTTCTTCTTTTTTAATTTCTTTTTCAACTGAAAGCAAATTGCCAGTGAATAAGTAAACAAAACTCAAATGGTGCCATGCAAACCTCAATATCTGTACATTGTAGCTGTGCCTTAGTTTTATATTCTGCGTTATTCAAGTTGGAAATTCTGACCCTCGTTGACCCTCCTTGCACCTGGGTTTACACTAGGTTATACAACTGTGCAGCTGTATTAGCTTGTAGGAAATCAGAGTTTTCCAAGAAGAGTTTGGTTCCAGTGAGGCTTTCCAGTCCTCCGCAGTCACCAGGCTTCTTGCTGGCTCCAGACTCTCCACTAACAACCTGTTGGGTCCATACACTGTGGAGTGTGTCAGACTGGACAGCTGGTGAAGCACTGGGCACCCTCACTAGGCTTCATGCCACACTCGCTCCTTAGGTTGGAGGATTTGGAGGAAGAGGCTGAAAGCCAAAGTCCTGCTGACAGAGGATCTTTGCGTGGTGCTCCACAGCCAACTTTGGTTCCTTTTTGGTGATTGGGCCGGTGTCAGAGAGCACAGAGTGGCGTTCAGGACAAACAAGCACAACACCCGCGCAGGTCAGCTGGAGGAGCACACAGTGAGACAGAAACACACACAGAAAACGCCCCGGTGACTCAGAAGGGAGGGAACTGGAGGGGAGTGGTGGCCCAAAGAGCGAGGGAGCCGGGGACAGCCCGCTACAGCCGCCAGCTGGCCCCTCCTCTGGGAACACAGAGAGCCTAATGAGTTTGATAGTCTGCTGAGCTCCATAAATCATGCCATGCAAAACATTTCTCCTCTCTGAATAAAAGCATTTATCACCCTCTGTTTATTCACTCACTCTCACAAGATTGATTGGCTCCCAGCAGCCTGCAGAGCAATCAGCCGTGCCGATTCCTCCATTTTCTTCTTCCCTGAATTTATTTATTTATTTTTTCTCTGTCATTCAGTGGGTAAACTTCGGAAGAAGTGGATGGAAGAGACCATCTCCACCATCGGCATGGGGATGCTGAAATCTGTCAAGGACTACTTGGATCCCAACAATATCTTCGGCAACGGGAACCTCCTCTAATTCCCCACTGCCCTTTATCTCACCTTTTTCTAAAAGCATTCTCTGCATTTTGAAGTAATAGATACTAAATGTGAATTTAAATGGGCCTTGATTTTGACATTTTTACATCAAAACGTATCATTCAGTGCCATTTAACAATTCACTCAATCATTTTACATTATATTGCACTTAATATGCTCTAACAATCATCATTCATGTTGAAGCTCATTTTTGCAACTAAGCCTGGATTTTTGTCAGAGTTTCTTTAGTTTAACAGTTTCCCAAGTATCTTTTTCAACAAGGTTAACCTTTAAATGTGTCTCTTTTTGTCCTCTTGTGTGTGGCACTTCTTTAGTGGCGAGTTCTACGTGAATACGCTTTCTAAAGCTTTTGTCTGCCTTTCCCTTCTATGTCACACGCCGCTGGCATACCGTGAGTCCCTTTGTGAGGCAGAACCGGCTCAAACATGATGTTTTCAGTGTCTCCTGTTTATCTTTTTCATGCCCTTATGCTTTTTGTTGTACTGACCTGTTGCCATATGAGACTTTGTCCTCAGCTGTCTGTATGTGTGTGTGCGTGTGTGTCTGCTGACAAACTTTAAATAACTTCCCCCCTAACCATATTTGAACAACCCTTAGAAATATGGTATGAGTACATAAAGAGTTATCCCTTGTGTATTTGTTTTGTTTTTTGTACTGAAAGTGTTTACGTGGTTTGTTACCAAGAAATGAAAGTGGGGATAAAACAAAGCCATCACGTTTTTTTGATCAGGTCTACTTCAGTGTGAAACACGTCTGGAATTTATGGCCTCTGGATCCCGGTGCTCACGTTGTACCAAAGACTCAGCACATCAGAGCATGCAAACATACTGTAAACATCTGTTTAACTGTGTAACATCACCGTCATAACAGCTAAAAGCTAATCTAGATTTTTAATCAGCATATGCAAAGAAGACTCTTCTGAGAGCTGTAAAATGTAGACATTTGTGACTGTTACATGTGCTAAATTGTTTTATTAAACATATTTCTTATATGGAAGACTATATTATTTCTGCTCCATATAATTAGTGTTGCTGACCTTTTTATTGTATCTGAATTATATAAAAGGTTTTTGGAAGAGATACTGTAGTTTAATGAATAACAATTTGATATCAGACTTCAGCCACTTATTTAATAGTGAAGTTAAGCTTTAAGAGAGATGTTTACTGAGGATTTATTTTTCCTTAATCTATGCTTCATGTTTTCCTGGACCATCTTGTCCTTTTTAATTCAAAGTTTTCCCCACATAAAAGGAATCGTTCGGGATCTGTCTGATATTTAACCCCTGTGTCAAAAAATGTGAGTTTGAATGTTACAGATGTACCTTTTTTTGTTAATGTTGTAACATCCAGGTACATGTTGTCAATGCTGTTTGTGCAATAAATTGAACTAATTCATACCAGTTGTTTTCTTTGAGTGTACATATAACACTTCCCCTTTACCTCGCTACATCATTTTTCTATCCGGCTCTTAAATAGCAGCCTTTATTTATGTAGCCATGCAGTCAGTCGTGGCTGGGAGATTCATCAAGAGCCTGAGAGCTTGGTTTTGTTTGCTCTTGCTTTACCTGCACCACCATGAGCTCACAGGGGTGTTTAACAGTCTTTTGCTTCCTGGTTTGTGTGTGTGTGTGTGTGTGTGTGTGTGTGTGTGTTTTCTTCTTCTTTTCTTTGCTTTCTTTCTACACACAAGCTCACTCTGCACCCACACAGCTGCCCACACACTGCACTGACGTAACCACTGCCTATCAGCAGTAATAGGGCTCAGCCTTGGATGATGAAATACACTCCTTACAGTCTTGTTTAATACCCAGGACTGTATGAAGGAATACATTGGATATAAAGACCTGAAGGATTTAGACTGATCAGTGTAACTGAGTTGTGCAATATTGATTAAAGACTCATATTTGTAGCCATTTTCTCATTAATTTGTATCTTTATAACCTGACTGATTCAATCTTTAGCACGCAATTTAGATCTTTTCATGATTTCGATTGTATCTCAAAGGAATGTGCTTATACTGTACATGCTGTATTTCATTAATAGTGTGTCTGTAAATATACATTTAACCACACGAGGTCAGCACTGCACTGGGAGATATACTGGGAGGCAGAATAAAGGTTAGAGGAAGTATTCAGGGCCCTTACTGAAATTAATGTAACAATACTGGAACATAAAAATACCATCACAAGTGAAAGTCCTGTGATGAAAATGTCACTTGGCAAAATTAAAGTATCAAAAGTAAAAGTATTCAAAATACAGAAAAATACCCCCTGCAAGTCCATTGTAAATGTTTTTTTAAATTTATTTATAGTATACTTACTGTAGATTTGTGTTCATAGCATTATCACTTGATTTTCAACTGTTCCTTTTTGTGTGCAGTGTGTTTACTGTAGATTCCCAATGCATTCTGGGAAAGTAGTACTAACTGACCGCGAAAATTAAACAAACCTCCTCTGGGAACAAGATTTGAGTGCAGAATGTTGTTTATGGTAAGTTTTAACATCTGTGCGCGGAAAATTCTCCTTGTGACGTTCACTTCACACATAACTAGGTTAGGTCAGGCTAGTTATTTTTTGTATGTGTGATGTTTTTCACACATTCTTAAGTGGTATCTTTCAACTGGGTGTGTGTGCGCGCACAGAGCTCTTTGCACGAAACATCCGTCTGCCTCGTCCTTAATATCTGGTGAGTGGTAAATTTTATTATTTTACATAACGTTAATCTAGAAAACAACCCGTGACTAAGCTGTTCTGTAACATGACCAATAAATAAGCCACAGCTAAGTTACGTAGTTAACCTAGCTAGTTAGCCTAGCATTAGCGTTCACGGCTAAAAGATATTGATTGCACAACGTTAGCATATTTAGGCAAAGGTTAAATAAACTTTTTGTGTTACTTAATGGAGCTTTGAGTTGAGCTTTGGATGTTTACATGTAACATTAAAGTTAGTAGGCAGTCTTTCTGATATTATTTTAATTGGCTTCTCTGTTCCCTTCCATCCACCGGGCCAAAACCGTTATCACCACTAAATTTGCTGTCTTTACCTACATTTAGTGAGTAATTTCTTGAATTTAAAATACTTTTCGATTTACTGTTATTTTATTGGGTTGCTATTGCTGATGCAATAGCATCAATAGCTGTTGGAATGCTGCCCAGGTTAATCACATTTTATATGTTTTGGATGTAGAATGTGAATCTGTAAAGAAACTAGCAACAGTGTAAACTAAGTAAGTCCAGTTTTGAGGCATGTGTACTCGAGCATTTTCATTTTCTGCTACGTCATACTTTGACTTCACTACATTTTGGTGGCAAATATTGTACTTTTTACCCCACTGCATTTTTTTTTTTTTTTTTTTGCTAATTTTATTTATTTACTTTTCAGAATCAGGTTAATAAAACAAAATAGCCTCAGCTCCACCTTTACAGGCTGCTAACATTAAATGCAATGTACAGGACACAATATGCATCTGATTATAATCCAATAATATAATTTACATTCATGTGAAAAATCCCATTTTGCATGAGTACCTGTAATTTTGTTATTTTAAGAATATTTTGATGCTGATACCTTTGTACTTTTATTTAAGTGACATTTTGAATATAGGGCCTTTACTTGTACCAGAGTATTTTTACACAGTGGTATTGCTGCTTTTACCTAAGGACTCCTTCCATCTGTGGAAACCCGTAACTGAAGCTGTCAGATAAATGTCATGGTGTGAAAAGAGCCAGATGGTGTGTAGTGGAGTAGAACTGTAGTACTGAAAATTTGTACTTGAGTAAATGTACTTCGGTTTATTACACTGATGCCTCAATAAAACAGAGCCCATGTAGCAGCATATTTTTATTTAAATTTGCCTTTTCATGCCTTAGATTTCCTTCAGTTTAGCCTGCTATAAATAAATCCAGAGTCCAACTGGGAGAAGAATGAGGAAATTACAGAAGCATGTTGCATTGCAAAAAAGATGAGTAGAAGTTGGCCACATTAGAAGACCTAATAGAAAAATAGAGCAATCCAGCAGCGATATTCATAATTCATGTAACATGATGCAATATAACTTAAGTCATGCATTTCCAATGAGATCGTGTTTACTGATGAAGTTTAAAATACGAGGTATTTGTTGGCTCACGTTTGCTACATCCTTAGCAAATGGTTGAATTTAACACTGCATAAACCATGCAATTCAAAATTCTTTGGGTTGACTTCAGTCCAGTTCTTCAAATAAAATACAACACAGATCCATGCCACACAATGTGCACAGTCATGTTTTTAACTCCAATTATCAAATCTACAACACAATTCACAAGGCTTACCCGTACCCAAAAATAATACTTATAATGATAATGATAATATGAAAATACGTAGCTTGTGACTACAGTGGGCACTTCAGTACTACAAATTTCAGTGTCTCAGTGTTCTGGATATTAAAAAAGCTGTTTACATAGCATTTGTGAGCCTTGAGAAAAAGCCAAAAATTAAATTTTTTATTATTTGCTTGGTGCAAAGTTGAATTATAAGATACCAGTCTCATAAATAAAGCTACAACTAATTGATGGTTAGCTTTGATTAGCATGATGACCAGGAAACAAAGGGCTGATCTGGCTCTATCAAAAGGCGCAGCATAATTAGGTACATTTTATGGGTGAAAAACAGTTTTTGTAACTTTGGCTGTCACACTGTCCAGTCATGGAGAGTGCAGTGTCTGTGTCTGTGGATGGTGGCGGAAAGTAACTAAGTACATTTATGAAGTACTGAACCTAAGAACAGTTATAAGGTATGTGCACTTTCATATTTTGTGATACTTCATACTTGGACTTCACTACATTTTAGAGCCAAGTATTGTACTTTTTACTCCAATACATTTATTTTATAACTTTAATTATTTTTCAGAGCCAAATTAAAATTGATGAGCTACCCAGCAGTAATTTGAATTATTAGCCTAGTTAAAATTGGCTTCCCTTTCACCAGCAACATTAAAGTGTATGAACACAATAATGTGTCAACAAATATAATCCAATAATATACATTATTAAATATGCCATTTAATTTTGTACTTTTACTTAAGTAACAATATGAAGGCAGGACTTTTACTTGTAACAGAGTATTTTTACACAGTTGAATTGCTACCTTTACTTAAGTAAGGGATCAGAGTACTTCTGCCACTGTCTGCAGACATACTGGGCATATTGTGTTAATTACATTTTGGTGTGAGTACGAAAGCTCTACAGTTTGTTTTATGTGGGTTTGTATGTTGGACTACTGTATTTCTTGGCAGCAGAGACTGCAAGAAGTGGCTGGTTCTAGACAAAAGATCTGACATGTAGCCCTTGTAATATGGTGAATTGTTGTCTGCAAAATTATGTATTAAAAGAAGATAAAGTATTAGCAAATAAGATTTAAAGCCACTGGTAGGCATGTTTTATTTCCTTTGCATAGAACCAGGTCAGCTCTTTCCCCTTATTTATAGTCTCTATGCTAAGCTAACTGGCGGCTGGCTGCAGTTTCATATTTATTGGACAGTCAGGAGAGTGATATTGATCTTCTTATCTAACCCACCACCAGACAGCGCACAAGTGTGTATGAAAATTTTCAGCTGTTCCTTTTAATGTAGTTTTGTAAGTTTATGCTATGTTGCTTTATGCTTGAGTTCTCATTGTAAAATCAGTTGACAAAAGGACTTTTCTGCTGGAATAATGTGATCAAACAACTTCAAGGCACATTCTGTGTGTGAGACCCTCCATTTATAAAACTGGGCAAAATAGAGTTCCATATCTGCATCTATAAAGGTTAATGATTTGTGGCTAACATCAGATCAAGAAAACTATAGTCATTGGGTTTACAAATTTTGGCCAAACACGTTCAACATGGATTTATATACTATCTACGAATCTCAGTGAGGACGCCATGCATTTTCATTGGGATCCTAAAACAAGGCACAGGAAGGGAGGGAGCATAGCACTCATTTTGCATTATACTGTCACAGGTCGTGCTGTTCCTACACCCTTTCATACTTCAGCCACATTATAATCCAGAGCTTACAGTTTTTTACACAGCACTTAAATAACATAGTTTTCAACCTCAATAGCATATGTACAAATTTACAAGAAACATCTGTTACCCCAGACAAACTGCAAGTAGGAACTGAGAGTAAAACAACCCTCAGCGGTGACAAACCTTCCTCTCTGATATTTTCCACACGTTGTGCCTAAAAACTGTGCAATGCCCATAGTAGTTGCTGTCAGCTGACAGATTGACATGTTGACACAGTGGTTTGAGTTTCCTTTCAGACACGATGCCGTCAGCTGATTTGTAGCTGTTTCAACACGCTTGCCAAACTCAGCTCTGTCAGCCTTCAGCACAGGAAGATTGAAGGGAGCAGAAAAACCACTATGATAGTGCTTTACTCAGGTCTAAGTCAAGGTCTCAAGTCTCTAGTGGCAAAAGCAAAGAGGAGCAGAGCCCAAGAACCTCTGCATGCACTTCACTGCCTCTGTTGCAGGCTGTATTTTAAGAGGGGAAAAAAGCCAGAGATCAGCTCAAAAATGACAACAGTAGCTAACTAACAGGTTTGGATGGCGAACCATCAGCATTGTCACTACAGTAGGGTGTGCTGCCAGCTTTGGCCACAGTGCACCCGCTGGTTTCTGTGCTGTCGCCACCGTGGGGGCTCATGGGTGCAGAAATACTTTGCCTCTTCTTGTTCAGTTCCTCCCATTTGACCCTATTAGCTTTGATCATGTCAAGCACTGGTTGAAGTTTGGGATTCAACTTGACCAGAGTCTAGAGAGAGAGGAAGAGGGGGAGACAGACAGATGAGAATAGTAAATACACATGAAATGTAAAGACCAAAAAACAGCATCAGCATGAAAACCAGTAGCGCAGTTACTGCCACTCCTGTATTACAGTTGCATTACAGTCAGACTGAGTGTCCAGCCATGCTAGAGGCTCTGTGAAGCTGTATTTAGACAGCACAGCAGTGCATTTAGTACAGTGAGCTAAATGCTAACATGATGATGTTTAACAGGTTTGTTTATGTCAGCGTTTGCTAACGCACAGTGCACACAAAAGTACAGTTGAGGATAATAAGCATTTAGCTGTGAACCAAACTGGACAAAGTGAAATTTTAAGGCTTAGGGTAAAGTTACTGTAAAGGTAAGGTAAACGTTTGGGATCACCAAAGTCAGTATGGGGCATCTTTTGTGGACAGTGAATGAACAGAGTTTGATAGCAATTTGTTAGTTATATTTCATAACAAAAATGGTGGCCCAACAAAATGACCTGACTGTTCATCTTGATGAAAAATATTCTGTCTGGTGCACAATATAAGACTTTTAGCCTGTTTTCCTGGTTGAAACAGTTTTTCATAATCCATATGACATATTGCTGATTTTGTAGAATGTGAACCACGTTGAAAATGTCGCTGAGTTATAACGCTATATGTTGTTTCTTTCCAGTATTTTTAATTTTCATAGACAATTTCTTCATATTATGCTGGTGTTTTACAAAGAGGACCATTTTCAGCTACATCGGAAACAGTTACAACTGGAGAAGAGGGTTAAAAAATTTCATTTTGCAACAAACTCAAATATTTTTTGATCCAGATGTTTGGAAGCAATTGAGTGTTCTGGGAAAACTAGCAAAGAACAGTGCTGTGTTATTTTACAACTACTCTTAAGTTTTTCAAAGACTGCCATTATTGATTTTTTTTTATTATTATTATTTTAATCTGATGCTTTCTGCTTAGCTCTGTGACTTGAATGTAATGGTATTACATGAGAGGCACAAACTGGAGCTAGAAAAGCTGTACACTATTCATCAAATGCACTAAATGGGCAAAAGAAATGAAACAATACCCCTGACTACAACAGCACCATTCAGTCATTCAATGGCTGCAGACCAATAAATGCCTGCTCTTTAAAGATTAGAGGCACATCTACAGTATGACTGAGATTAGCTGTCATTTTTCTGTGTCGAAGCTGTCATCCACCATTTTCATAAATTACAAAAGACAGAAGATTTTGTTCCCTTTGTTCCACTAACATTGTCTTCCGTGTCTATTGGATTTCCAGGAAATTCTGTGTAATTAGTTTCATATGGAAATGTGGGCATGGGCTCCACATGCATAATAAATGAAATCTCGCCTTTATTCAAACACATATGCAAAAAACCAAGGGGGTATAGCCATTGTAAAAATGAGCTGAATAAATAGGTCTTTAAGTACTGTACACCTACACTGGGGCCGCGTATTGTACGCATGAAAGAGTTGAAACGCTTGGGGAAAAACACAGCCAACCGCAGCTGCCAATTAACTGAACTTTAAATGCAGGTGGATAACTTGAGGTGCATTTGTATTCAGGGGGTGTATTCACAAATTCATATGAACAATTAAAACTCTTGTGTAGGTGATCGCAAAGCAAAGCTCTATCATGGTGCCAAGTTCTGTTATCAGAAGAACTTTATTTAAAAAAAAAAAAAAAAACACAGGCGTCTGCCCACTTTTGTTCAAAAGGAATTCATAATATGTAGCTACTAATATGTGACTTAATTATTCATACTGTGCTACTAGTTAGGAAACTGTTCGCCCGTGTTAGCCAGCAACATTAAAGCACAATATAGATTTCTATTTCCATTGTTTGATATAAAGTCAGTGCACATTTGTGGAGTCAGACCGCTCTTGTTTTTGTTACTCGGAGTTAACAATCCCTCTGCCTGTTACTGTACGTGCAGTAAAACCTCAGCGACAAAAACATGCACCTGTTAAATCAGCATAAACTTGCAGAAAAGCGCTAATTTCAGGTCTGCCTGCAGTCTGTCCTCCACCACTGGAATGTGTTAACCATAGCGAGCATTTAACATGCGGCATTCTTACAACTCCTCTGCCAACCATTGTGCATCTATGTCAGCATGTTAGTTTGTTTAACCTCCTCTTGGCTTCGGCCCTGCTTTGAAATGCACATCGAAATGCGTTTGAGGGTCTTTTACCCCAGGGACAGTTTTTCAGTTCAGTTTAATTCAATTTTATTTGTATAGCACCAAATCACAACAAAAGTCGCCTCAGGACACTTTGCAAAGGTCTACACCTTATTATTATTACTATTATTATAGAGGATAAACCCAACAAATCTCGCTTGAGCAAGCACTTGGAGACAGTGGGGAGGACTTGAACTTTAGCTCCTGGGAATAAAAAGTGCCACGGACTTTCTGGTGCAAACACAGCTCTGTACCCTCACCAGCCTCTTTATTAGTTACGCTTGTACAGTTATATGCAATTTAATGCAACACTTCTGACTTAACATCTGTGTTTCTGAAGCTCAAAATGTTTCAGTTTTTGGTGAAATTGTCATAAATATATAAATTGAATTATATGCTTATTATTGAGGTCATAGTTAAAGGTGGTGGTGAATGTGTTTATACACCGTCCTCAATCACCAGCAGCACCATCAACAAATACACTAATGAACGTAGTTTTAAGGAACCAAAACCACGGTTAGTTCCGACCCTTGCGTGAATGAACGTTATAAAAAAAAAAAAGGTTGTTCAAGATTTGAAGCCCACACACAGCTGTAATTTCCAACTACAAAAACCAAGAGCACTGATCATCTAAATCGTCATGGATGTGCCTTGTCTCCGTGTTAAAAGAAGAAGATTTTCTAGAGAACAATCTCCCTCTTTCTCTACAGAATAAAACCTCTGTGGGACTCTGTCACTGGTTTATGCAGCATCATTATTCCACTGAGGTAGACTGAGAAGAAGGGAGAGAGAGGCTGTTGTATAAAGATGGAAGCTTATATAATGTGGGATTAATGTTCTGTAAAGCAGTGAGCCACCACCAGGAGAAGATCAGCGAGATCAAGGATGAGATCTCTTACACCCACGGACAAAAACCCCGCCGCCTGAACTTCTCTGTTCTACTCTTTGCAAGTTTAATTGGCAGCGGCGTGATCATGAGCTCCATATCTGCATTTTCCAAACAGCTTTTTTACGTGAGACAGTGGGGAGACAAAGCACCACCACGCAGACAACACACACCACTGTGATGCTTTTTATCTGCTCTACACACACAGTAACAACAGTGAAACCACAGCCTGACACAGAGTAGACTGCTCCAACTTTTGATTCTGATTCTGGAATAATTTAATGAAAGTGAGGATGATCTATTGTTTGTTTTCCACTCATGATGACTTAGAGTAATGTTTTTAATATGGCAGTCAGAAGGAACAAGGTCTTCGTGTGTAGTTTAACGGTAGAAAAACAGAGAAAATCACCCAGTGCTGTAATAATGAATGAACCGTTTTATCCACGACTCCTTTCAGTTTCTCTTCCGTTTGACTTTAATGAATTTGCCTTCAACGCCTCAGCTCTTACCAGACCTGATCTCCTCAGTAAGTCAGTCGCCTTCTTCCTCCCACACGGCCACTGCTGCTGGCAATGGGAGGGGCAGTTGAGTCTTGGCGTCATTTGGAAACATGCACACTCACATTACTATACCAACAAGGACACTGTATAGATTTCCATTAATTTGCTGAAAGATAACCACTAGCTCTATCTTTGACCCAATATTTGCTCAGCCAGGATCCTACAATAGATCCAGTCTACTGTTGTGCAGTGTGCAGCCAAGAGTCAGCCCTAATTTCATTCCAGCAAAGCCCTAAGTACACTGTCTTACTGAGGGGATTTAACCCAACTAACATCACATCTCTGTTCACACACTTCACTTCCTCAGAGCTCTCTCGCAGTCAGAAAGCACACACTCACTGTGCTACTCTCAAAAGAACAGGATGGGACCTTGAGCCTGTTTCAGCACTTTCAATAAAGCATTTTTCTTTTTCAGTGATGAGTCAAAGAAAGCTGAATAGTTGTTGATGACAGTTTCACTGCTGGCGTCAGCTGGGGGACAATAGCGAGGAAGGATGGCAGCTGCTGACATCAGAGGCAGATGTGCCACAAGCACGACAGAGTGAAGGCCAGAGAGCGGTTAAGCTTCGAGCATTACCTCATACAGTGGCGCACAAATTCCATCAATCCACTCCATCTGAAGCCCTGGTAACTCATCCTTCCTGTTTCGATCAAAGATGGCCTGAAACACAGAAGTTTGAATTTATTCTTACTTCAAATTTTGTGCTTGCAATGGAGAAACCAAGGAGAAATATGACTGTACTTACTGTAAGGCTACAAGTCAGGCTTGTTGCCTAAAGTACCGCTGCTGCTACTGCTTTGGGTAAAGAAAGTTCTCCCTCAGCTCTCAAGACAGCTGAGTTTATTTCAGCTATATGTTCTGTTCTTCCGTATTCTGGTGCAGCCTGAGCTTAAGAGGCTCCACTGAGGCTGTGCTTCAGAGATAGTTACTGCGCTACGACTTAGAAGTTAATATTTAATTTCCAACACCCACACATGGAGCAGAAAAGGTTTGACACAAGTGGCAGGCCTGAGGCTACTGCATTAGTTATTTCACAGAGTAGGCAATGTGGCCGGGCTGGATTAGCCAACGGCCATTAATTGCACGCGGAAAGCTGTTGGGTTGTTTTCCCCTTGAAGAAGTTGCCGCCCAATTCAACCATCAAAACTCTTCAATCAAGCAGACTGTGCTTTTCTGTGAGGAAGGTTTTAATATGTTGTGAATTAAGACAAGCATCTTCATTAAAGTACATCGCTGCTATTATTATGATGCTATTTTTACACCACAAGAAATCCAAAGATAATTATCTAGATCTGTAGAGCTCCAGTACACCAACAGGCCTCCTGTGTTTAAAGCTGAATGAATAGAAAGGTCAGTATTTGCTTTGAGTCCTGTGCAGGCTTTTTGTTTTTTGCAACAATCATTGTTACACAGTCCCCAGTTCGCTCTTGGCACAGCTATGAGGCGGCAGAGCAGTCAAGCTGACAGTACACTTTTCTCACACACCAAGACACAAGCTCTCACGTTTCCTACGCAGTCAGTGTGTTTGAAACTGCTGAGACAATATATCTTCTGCATCATCAGCTCGTGGAGGTAATGAAGGTGAAACACACTGCAAAAAGCACAAAAGCAGAAAGGGTTCAATGTACTCACTGAGGGTGTGAGCTTCAGTTCTGATCTCTCTCTGTCGCCCTGCTCGAAGAACTCGCTGGTCACCAGCTCTGCCACCTGAAAACACAACTAGCAGTTATTTTCATTACTGAATAATCTGGCAGCTGTTTTCAGTGAATCAGCTATAGGGCTTTGGGCTGTAAGTTGTGGAATATCCCTGTCACAATTTTCTAAAGCCCAGGGTGGTGATACCAATTCACTAGTCCACAGCCATAAATATTTAGTTTCTAATCACACTAGACACAGAAAAGCAGCAAAATCACACAGATAAGAGTCTTGAGCTTAGGAATGTTTGGTATTCTTTAACTAATTATTAAAATAGTTTGCAATCAGTTGACTATATAGATTAATGAACTAATTTCAGATCTAGAGGAGCACGTCAACTTCAGTGGGCTTCTTTCTTATTTTATAAAAAGAGTGAGTTTATTCTGTTATTTCTTGCCTTGCGTGATATCTCCCATGGTTTAGTGACAGCACCAAGATCACATGCTGTCATCATCATGGATCTGAGAGGAGGTCAGACAAACAGATTTACTTTATCTGGTACTTAGCACAAAAAATCATAAGGAGATGAAGATGCTGTTTGTCATGTGCAGGACATTACCTGCACATATCCCTATGAGCCTTCACATTCCAGTTGTACTCTCCTTTGCTGACCAGCTCAAAGAAGATGTTTCTGTTCCTATAGGGAAACAGCATATGCAGTTGAAAATAACAGGCCTAAGTAACATAAAATCCACAAGGGGGCAGTATTACCTAAAAGAAGACTACAAACCCACTGTAAAGGGTGTCCCCAGACAGGCTGAATAACAGTTAGTGTGTTTTATTGTGAAATAGCCACACAGGCTCTGTAGACATCTCACTAACAGGAGATTAAACAGTTTAATAAGTGGTTTGTTTAGCAGAACATACTCGAAGTACAGTGTGAGGTCTGTGGCCAGAATGGACTGTTTCAGCAGCTGCATGAGGTTGCTGTACTCCGTGGACGACAGGTTAGAGAAGATATTGTGACCCTGTGGAGACACATACAGAGATAACATTATTTCTGAAGATAGGTGACTTTTTTAGCAGCACACAAAGAGCTTGAAATAATAGGCTACAGCCTCTGGATGAGTTACTGATTACATTTAGCATGGGAAATATTTATTTATTTACCTGTTACTGAGTTTGTTCTTTATTCTAGGGCCTTGTTTCATTATTCAACCTTAAAACATTCTTGTTTTGGGTACATTTCTCACCACAACCTTTTTAAAAGAAAATGATTGTAACGTAGGGTAGCAGTCGGCTATGACTAAATGATGATGACTGGATGATTGCTTAATGTATATATATTCTACTTCAAAATATTATTTTTTGGTTTTATTTTAAAATGATTATTCAATAATCCACCTGTCACCCAGGCTTGCGAACTGTCTGCTTTACACAGAAATTTGTGACTAATGGGTCTCTCCACTAGGAGTTACAATGTACCTTGTCTCCAAAAGAACCATTTGTGTTTTATGGTGTTGATTGTTTTTAAATGGTTTTGCATATGTGCTGTACATTGTAAATTATAGCCTTAATTGCTTGGCCACATCTGCAGTCTGTGATTCACGTACTCTGTCATTCTGTGTCTCAGCGGAAGTTTTCCTTGGCTGCAAAATCAGATTAAGCTGTTGAAGCCAACTCACTTCTCCTTTAGTCAAAGGCAACTTTGCTGTTGGCTAAATAAGATGAGCCATCACAAGATCAGAGGAGCAGTTCTGGTTTTAGTCTGAGAGAAAGGGAGTGCTGGGCATAGCCGAGTGCTGCCCTACGTTACATATTGATGCTTTAACAATAGCTCTGTTTAAGTGTGCCAGTAAGCCATGACTGTGACAGTGAGCGAGTGTGCACAGTATCAGTGTCCAAAATCACTCCCCATTTACTGTTTAATGCACTATATTTACTGCCTGCCTTTTTTTGTTTTGTTTTTTGAGAGTTCAACTTCCAAATATGAATCTAATTAAATTCTGTTTTATTTATATAACGCCAGATCACAACAAAAATCATCCCAAGGTGCTTTACATAGAGGAAAACCCAACAAACCCCCTTGAGCAAGGACTTTAGTGACAGTTGGGAGAAAAAAACTCCCTTTAATGGAAGAAACCTCAGGATCAGGAGAGAACAAACAAACACTGCGCTGGGACATTAACACATCTAGTGCTTTCAAAGATTCCTGCAAGGGAATAAAAAAGCAGTGTCTGTGGCATGTACTGTACACGATTTTCTGCCAGCAATCCCACAATGCAATGTGTCACATTAATAGATGTGAAAATTACAATCACTTTACTGCGCTCTGTAGCGTAAACTATTGAGTGTTGATGATGCATGGGGTAGTGATGAGTGGGCTGTGAACGTGTCAGAAAGTCTTTTTTGAAAAAGGCCCATTTGGACTATTAACCGTTAATGGTAAAAAAAAAAAAAAATGCAATAATAAAACTAAATGTATCGGTGTGTGGGAGGGGTGAGGCAAACAGTTCCCCAGCAGCTCCTAATAAGCAAGCAACATTGCTCACTTGAGGCTCTCTATCATTAAAACAGGCCTTTCACCATCATTTAATATACATTCCTTCACCACTTAGGCACCCTGTCTAGAGGATAGTTTGACAGATGGAGAGTCTGTCTGTGGAGAAAATGGAGGCAGTAGATCTGATCACAGAAAAGGCCTGAAACGAGAGGACGACGTGCCCCACAGAAAAACCTCTTTTAAAACTAGATGACCACCGTTTTCCTTCTACACGCTGAGTATTCAAGTCTAAAGGACTGTCTCAGCGCACCCGTGATTTCCTTCATCAGCTCATGTGAAATGCTGAAACAAGTGTCAGCAGAAACACACAAGACCTTTCTCATTCTGTCATAAACTGGGATGAAAGAAGGAGGCGAGTAATGTGAAAATGTGAGGAATACAAAGGGGCTGACAGTTAAAAGTTTACATTTAACTGCCTACTTGTTTGACTAGTGTATTAGATAATGATCTTTCTCTTCTACCTGAATTAGTTGTACATTTATGTATGATCCCCACTAGCAAAAGCAACCGTGATGATATTCCAAGCAAACATCTGTCGGCACCCTGCTAAGCCTCATGTCAGCTGCTCCTCCAAACTGTCTTTAATTGCAACTTCATGCAAACCCAGCGGCTTGGTAAAACGTCTCTCTCAGCCAATTACCACCAAATCTATCACCTCTGTAATTACATTGATTTGATGGCAGCATGAGCTATTTGTTTACTTGCAGCAGACACTGAGGCACCACATCAGGTTCAGTGCGCACAAAGTATCTTAAGTTTTTAAGGTAATGTGGGCGTCAATATTTTGGTTCGAGTTACTGATTACATTTAGCATGGGAAATATTTATTTATTTACCTGTTACTGAGTTTGTTCTTTATTCTAGGGCCTTGTTTCATTATTCAACCTTAAAACATTCTTGTTTTGGGTACATTTCTCACCACAACCTTTTTAAAAGAAAATGATTGTAACGTAGGGTAGCACTCGGCTATGACTAAATGATGATGACTGGATGATTGCTTAATGTATATATATTCTACTTCAAAATATTATTTTTTGGTTTTATTTTAAAATGATTATTCAATAATCCACCTGTCACCCAGGCTTGCGAACTGTCTGCTTTACACAGAAATTTGTGACTAATGGGTCTCTCCACTAGGAGTTACAATGTACCTTGTCTCCAAAAGAACCATTTGTGTTTTATGGTGTTGATTGGTTTTAAATGGTTTTGCATATGTGCTGTACATTGTAAATTATAGCCTTAATTGCTTGGCCACATCTGCAGTCTGTGATTCACGTACTCTGTCATTCTGTGTCTCAGCGGAAGTTTTCCTTGGCTGCAAAATCAGATTAAGCTGTTGAAGCCAACTCACTTCTCCTTTAGTCAAAGGCAACTTTGCTGTTGGCTAAATAAGATGAGCCATCACAAGATCAGAGGAGCAGTTCTGGTTTTAGTCTGAGAGAAAGGGAGTGCTGGGCATAGCCGAGTGCTGCCCTACGTTACATATTGATGCTTTAACAATAGCTCTGTTTAAGTGTGCCAGTAAGCCATGACTGTGACAGTGAGCGAGTGTGCACAGTATCAGTGTCCAAAATCACTCCCCATTTACTGTTTAATGCACTATATTTACTGCCTGCCTTTTTTTGTTTTGTTTTTTGAGAGTTCAACTTCCAAATATGAATCTAATTAAATTCTGTTTTATTTATATAACGCCAGATCACAACAAAAATCATCCCAAGGTGCTTTACATAGAGGAAAACCCAACAAACCCCCCTTGAGCAAGGACTTTAGTGACAGTTGGGAGAAAAAAACTCCCTTTAATGGAAGAAACCTCAGGATCAGGAGAGAACAAACAAACACTGCGCTGGGACATTAACACATCTAGTGCTTTCAAAGATTCCTGCAAGGGAATAAAAAAGCAGTGTCTGTGGCATGTACTGTACACGATTTTCTGCCAGCAATCCCACAATGCAATGTGTCACATTAATAGATGTGAAAATTACAATCACTTTACTGCGCTCTGTAGCGTAAACTATTGAGTGTTGATGATGCATGGGGTAGTGATGAGTGGGCTGTGAACGTGTCAGAAAGTCTTTTTTGAAAAAGGCCCATTTGGACTATTAACCGTTAATGGTAAAAAAAAAAAAAAATGCAATAATAAAACTAAATGTATCTGTGTGTGGGAGGGGTGAGGCAAACAGTTCCCCAGCAGCTCCTAATAAGCAAGCAACATTGCTCACTTGAGGCTCTCTATCATTAAAACAGGCCTTTCACCATCATTTAATATACATTCCTTCACCACTTAGGCACCCTGTCTAGAGGATAGTTTGACAGATGGAGAGTCTGTCTGTGGAGAAAATGGAGGCAGTAGATCTGATCACAGAAAAGGCCTGAAACGAGAGGACGACGTGCCCCACAGAAAAACCTCTTTTAAAACTAGATGACCACCGTTTTCCTTCTACACGCTGAGTATTCAAGTCTAAAGGACTGTCTCAGCGCACCCGTGATTTCCTTCATCAGCTCATGTGAAATGCTGAAACAAGTGTCAGCAGAAACACACAAGACCTTTCTCATTCTGTCATAAACTGGGATGAAAGAAGGAGGCGAGTAATGTGAAAATGTGAGGAATACAAAGGGGCTGACAGTTAAAAGTTTACATTTAACTGCCTACTTGTTTGACTAGTGTATTAGATAATGATCTTTCTCTTCTACCTGAATTAGTTGTACATTTATGTATGATCCCCACTAGCAAAAGCAACCGTGATGATATTCCAAGCAAACATCTGTCGGCACCCTGCTAAGCCTCATGTCAGCTGCTCCTCCAAACTGTCTTTAATTGCAACTTCATGCAAACCCAGCGGCTTGGTAAAACGTCTCTCTCAGCCAATTACCACCAAATCTATCACCTCTGTAATTACATTGATTTGATGGCAGCATGAGCTATTTGTTTACTTGCAGCAGACACTGAGGCACCACATCAGGTTCAGTGCGCACAAAGTATCTTAAGTTTTTAAGGTAATGTGGGCGTCAATATTTTGGTTCATTTACAGTTTAGAAAGGAAAGAGAGAATGTAATGTAACTGTATCCATTTTATCCAGTCAAGTGTCTTGTAATAGTACAACGTACTGTAAGCATGTTACAATATTTAAAGGAATAATTTGACATTTTGAAAAACACACCATTTGCTTTGTTGCTGAGAGTTAGATGAGATCACTATTTGCCAAGTGTTTTTCAAAAATATTGATTCAACTGTATGTTAATTTCAGAGGATTTCAGTTGTACTGTGTTGACTGAGAGGCACTTCTATGATTTTGTCCCCACTACGGTATTTGTATCAATGAAGGCAGGGTACTGAATCGAAACACCTCTCACAATGTTGTTATGTTAGGCTGCTTTACTTGTAGCTGGCTGTACCTAATAAACTGGCAACTGAGTACTGTATGTGCACTGGTAAATTGCAGTCTCGTTTTTTTGGTCATTGAGTCATTATAAACGAGCTCTGTTGTAAAATAATCTAAATACAAGACATGCTAGAGTATACAACTTAAAAAATGTGCAGCATCTACAAGGGAAAGGGTGTGAAAAGATTCAGAACTTACTGGTAAAAGGTGTTTGAATTCACCTAATACATAATGTATGGCATAAACACAACATGCAGTGGCAGACATTAGCAGAACCTTCATGGTAACTGCATTGCAGCAGATATTAGAACACACTGCACCTCGCTCTGCAGGATCATAACAGCATGGTTGAAGTGGTGGTGCTCCAGTGTAGCAGAGGTCCCATAAAGCAGAGCGAGGGCTGAGCCCGTCCTGACACGCACACACATATACACACACGGGGAACAGGGAAAGAAATAACATAATCAGCATCCACCACATACTGAGAAACAAAATTTACTGTTCACTCTGTCCCCATCAGTTCACTCTGCACTGTGTTGCTCAGCAATAAAAAAAAGAGTCATAACCTAAACTGCAGCTAAAATTCAACTGTGGCTATTCAACACTGACTGTGATCATCATTTAATTTAACAAAAAATATGGATGAGAACTGAGCGTGGTGCACTGAAGGTGAGGCATGAGGGCCAGGGGTTTAACGTTTCATTTGTGTCTATAATGTTTCAGCACTGTCTTCAGTTTTTATTTTAGTTTAGTTATTTAGTTACTTTAGTTAGCTTTAACTTCATCTTCACAGATAAAATGAAAATACAGTAGTTTTAAGACTAGTGTATTTCAAAAGTTTAGTTTAAAGCTATGGTATGTAACTTTTTTTTTTTCAAATATTTCAAATATCACACGTCTTAATGTGGAGAGGTGCTGTCAAAGCTTCCTGTGACCCAGACTCTCTGAACAGCACCAGTGCAGAGATATTAGCTTCTAAAGGTTTTTAAGTGGGACTGATCTCTCTAACCAATCAGAGATTTTAAATGATTTCTGCTTGATCAGTAAGTTTGGTTGCATTCTCATGTATTGAAATTTCACAATGACAAATATCCAAGGAGTGGTGGAGAGCATGGCAGAGCAAAGCAGATCGTAGTAGAGCATAGTGGAGCTGGGAGTGTTGGGCAGAGCAGAGTGGGTTGATCTGGAGTTTCATGCTAGTGCTACCCTTAAGTTACATATTGTAGTTTTAAGTTCAGTTTTTGTGTAATTCCTATTCTAGTTTTAGTATTACAGTGGGCTCAGAAGGTAATAGGACAGTAATTCGATCCTGTCTGTGCTCCAGCTCACTGGATTTGAAATGAAACTATTAGGTAGGAGTGCTGACTTTTCGCTTTAGAGCCTGTCTGAGTGTGTTCACATCACCCTGGGTGAGCATTACAGGATCCATTGCTCTCTTTATAAATACATATAATTTGTGTCGGATCATTTGCTCTTGATTGTCCACCTCAGTAAACGACCTCAGTCCAACATGTGACCAAGTGTTTTTAGAGAGAAGGCAAACAACCCCTGAAGCAATCGAGATGACTGCAATACGGGTACAACATTAGCAGGGAAAACACAACGTGTCTGCTCACGTCTGTCTGTGGTAGACTTCAAACACTGTGTCACTGATCACAAATAATAAATAGGATTTATTTAAGTATGTGTTAACTTGTCCAATTATTTTCTCATGCCTTATACTGAGGGAGTGGGTACAAAAGGATATAATTCTTATGCTGTAGAAATAAACATCCTCAAATATAAACATACAGTCTGCACTCTGTCATTAAAACTCCTATTTAAAATCTCTTATACTGGCATACAAGAACCGAACCAAAAAGCATTTCTTCCCCCAAAACATTCTCAGCTATAGCACACCCTGTGATGAAGAGGAAACACACTACCATATCCAATAAACTAAAGGCTCCGAAGTTGTGTTACAAATATGTGTTCATTGTGAAAATCTGCCTTATGAGCAACTAGAGCTTTATTACCTTCCTTGTCTTTTCTCACCCTAAACTAATTTTGCACTTGTCGAGTCAACAGTCATCTAAATTCCAAGCATGTAGCTGAAAATGTCAAACAAAAATCTCAACTATTTTTGACAGCTGATATGATGAGACTGCCAGCACCAGTGAAATGGGTGCTCACTGGGGCAAACTGGGTAGCACCATCTTGTGGTGTAGTTAACATTCAACAAGGCCTGCTAAAAGGTCAAGAATTAATTCATAAGATTGGTTTTGATTAGCATAAATGTCTTCCAATTACAATTTTAATTCATCTCATGATTACATGTTTCTTCCGCCTAGTTTCAGTGTCGGTTTCAGATCCAGTTTATAATACTAACCTAATCTAATAGTGATGTCACCTGCTGATCTACGCAGTGGTGTTTTCAGCCGCTTCGTCAGGCAGACCCTTATATAAGCCTTATACAACTTGCCACTTGACTCTTGCTGATCTGGGAGTGACTACTGCAAACAGTGTGTAGGAGGGAGCGTGTTTATGTGTGTATGGCAGCAGCAGAGAGAAGAAAGTGGGAAAACGTACTTTTCCTGAAAAGCGTTGTTGGTGCCCCTGTGGTCCAAATCGTGGCACACACAACCTACGATGAGCGCTAAGATCTCCACCTCTGTCAGAGTTTCCTGGAAGCCTGCCGTCTGATTGGTGCAGAGGAGAGGATGTCAGTGAGAAAACAAACGCTCAGGCGCACACACACACATACACAAACCATGAGCAGCGCAGTCACATCTCTTATTCCCTTATATATATGAAACTGAGAAGCACATTGAATAAAAATGGAAAATTCGCCAACAGCAGCATCATCCTAAAAAAAAACACTATCTCCCTAAAATGCCAGTGGGACTGCAGTGACGCAGTCACACAGGGAGATTTATGGCTTGGGTGAATGGGTTCTGGAGTCCGTGCACTGAATGAGTCACTACAGGTCATTGTGGGGATAGCGGCAAAGATAGCACGGCCCTCGGTCCACTCATTAAAACCCATGGCAGGACAGTAGAGGGGCCCAGAACAGCTTGCACAGTACTATTTTATTTCCCTCTGCAAATAACCAATTCAGATGGGACACCATGCATTATTGCTGCACTTGATTAAATGAACTACACTCTGTGTGTGTGTGTGTGTGTGTGTGTGTGTGTGAGAGAGAGAGAGAGAGAGAGAGAGAGAGAGAGAGAGAGTGTTGCCCCAAGGACCTGATAAAGTAAAGGCCTGCTGGAACTGCATGAAGTTATTCTCTTGGAGTCTCTATTCAAACAAACGTTGCTTCTGCACAGAACTGGCTCTTTGTATAGTTAGTAATACGAGTGGTCATTGAAACCTCAAGCAGAAACGAATGTACAATATCATGAAATATCTACTTATAATAATACGAGGTCATCAATCAACATTACTTTTATATTAGCTGACTGGCTGATTAGCATTGGATCATTGATCAACTGCTTACCTAACAGCTGACTAGTAATGTCCAATCATATTCGTGCAGGTACAGTAATTGAAAGCCTGACACTTCAAACATGTACATGTACATGTATACCTTCATGCCAAATTCATTTTCTGCAACTTCAATCTCCAGCGGTAGAACATGTATTAATATTATTTGAGTATAAAACTATTTAAAAAAATACTCCATTGGTTATACTCCAAGTAAAATTATTTCAGTCAAAATCCTACTTACAGTATCAAAAGTAAAAGTATCATAAACTACAGGCTGTTGGTACTGATTCATCAGTGCTGTTGGAGCTGATTAAGGTGGAACTTGTTTATATACCGTTATATAATTCAGCATTCCCCAGCCTGAGCATTAGGCACTTTGCAAAGGTTCATAAAATAAATATGGGGATTCTGACCCAGATTTTTATTTATCTTTCAGACTTTCTATCTAAAAAATATAGGATAGTTTAAGCTCTCAGAGTCCTAAACAGGTATTTAAATAAAACTAACCGAGGCATTTAAATTAGAACTAGCTTGCTAAATGTGACGATAGGCCCCAAGTAGCCAAAAGGAATGGGAACCACCAGCTTAATCCATAACAATTCATTATATTGTATAGGCTTAGTCAGTGTTTATTGTGTAAAATCTTAATTTTGAAATGTAACTAATAGCTTAAGTTGTCAGATAAATGTAGGGGAGCAAAAGAATATATAATGAGAATATATAATGTAGCATTAAAAATACTCAGGTAACCCTAATTGTACTTAAGTATTGTACAGTATATATATTTATAGTGAGGAGGTGGGGGCACTCAGACATTACGTATACATCATTTATGATTTAATACTGTACATGATTTAATACTCATGCATTTGCATTAAGGGGAGGAGAATACTTGGTGCAGCTCAGATTATTTGACAACAATCACAAGCCTTCATGCTCAGGTCCAATCTTTATGTCAGATCTGACCTTTGAGTGTTGATGGTTCACATTTATGTTTGTGACACATAGCCACCTCTGACTTGAACACCACTGAGGTCCTAAATGCCCACATATGAGCCGATTTAACTGAAATGTGAGCTGCGTATGTACGACAGTCAAATTGCACAGTTTTCTCTGCTTGGTTACGATATGTTCCTTCGGTTTGACTTGATCAGAGCATTCTTCATAAATCACTGTCATCATTTGCTACGTGTTTATTTTTCACGGGTATGTGAGGGGCAGACACTGAATCATGACAACAGCCATATACTATGTGCACATACACAGAGGAGTGAGATGTTAAAGAAAAAAAAAAGAATTCTGATACAGATGTTCTCACAGTGGTCACATGGTCAAATATCGGATATGAATTGGATCTAGGACCACATGTGGAAGTGGTCCAGATCTGGTTTGGTTTGTTCACACTTCTGTGGAAAAATATCTCTGAGTGAAATAACTCTGATTGCAACATGAACATAGTGTAGCTTTTGAGAGCTCCCTCAAGGAGCAAAACTAAGTGTAATGTATAAATGTTCGCTACAAATTGTCAGTTCCTTTACACAAGTGTCTCTGACAGAAACAGATTTAAGGAGCAGTTAGCATGATCTTTACCGTCAGCATAGCAAACATGCACTGGCAAACATTGAAGGCGTGTCTCCAGTTGTGGTAAAGGACCATTCTGTAGTTTTTTCTGACAGTCAGCAGCCATCTGCACAGTGTCTGAGAGAGAGAGAGATAAGCACATGGGTCAGCAATTGTCATGAAGATTCGAAACAAACAGTGTTCTGGGCAAACTTGGTCAAGTACTCAGAGTCTTACCTCATAGTCTATCTTGAATTTTTGCACCATACCCAACTCCATAAACATTCTCAGAGTGGCTGTAATCATGGCATCAACATCCAGAGAGAAATCATCAAAGGACAGTTTATCAATACCCAGCTCGCAAACCAGGGGGATGTTAGCAGCCTGTTCCACCGTGGTGCGAGAAAACATTGAGAAGAGAGCGTGAGTTTAGAAAGCAGAATGGGACAGAGAGGTCAGGTGATGCTGTTTTTCAGATGATACATGGAAATATGGAGACATGCTAATTAAGACTGAGGATTTATTTGGAGAGGGTTAAGCTTAACAAGGGAGTTTTATCAAAGAATTTCACTGTGGTTTACTTTCAGGGCTCATTGACAAATCTAGCTGTGTAGCAGCAATGATCAACATTTTCTTTTTTGCATGATTATTCAAACAAAACACATACATGATTCCAGCTAACCATATTCATACTGAGGCATTCAGTGTGTTCTCATGAGTACAATTAGTAGATTTGTCAGTTCTGGCTATTTAACATGCAGTGTGCCTGCGTCTCACTGCTCTCTTACAAGCCCGTGTTGGAGTTTCACTACGGTGTTGTCTGTCTCTTTTCTTCTTCTCTTGTCTAACAGCCACCAGAGACCAATGTTTCCCTCACAAACGTTCGCCTGCCAGATCAACAGGTATTCTCCTCTCTGTTAATTCATAGCCCCAGGTAAGAAAATGTCAGCCAGATTTGTTTGCCACCACCCTATGGTGGAATGCCAGTCAAGTGCACTCCATCAGGCTGTGTATGTGGAGCTGTTATGAAAGTAAGTTCGGGAAAGGCAGGAACCAGAACGCAGGGCTGGGTGAGGGGGCTGAAAGATCACAAACAATAAACCGGAAAGCAGGGTTCTTACTTTTTACATTAAAGTGCAGGGAAATAGGTCATATATTTCTTTTTCTGAAATTCTATGCCAATTAAAAATGTAGATAAATGGATTTCTTCATCTTAATAAATAATGCATTGAGAATGGTTGTCTATTGATTGGAGTAAACCACTGCAGTTCTTTGGAAGAACTAGAGAATGAAGTGTAGAAGACAGTCTGCCAATAAATTCGTTCTGTTGCCTTTGGATTTCCCATTAAAGGTAATGGGATATTGATATCTAATTAGAAAAAATATCTTAATTAAAGTGCTCATGAGCAAAACAACAGCATTATGAGCTAAATTTCCAAGATTCTGCCTTCCTGTACACAACAGTTACATTTTAGGCATCAGAGAAATTTAAATCTACTTTTGCTGTTGACTTGCTTCATACTTGTAACAGATGGGGGTTTAACAGAATCATAACGTAACATTGGGGTGACTGTGGTTCAGTGGGTAGAATGGTCATCTCCCAACCGGAGGGTTGGCAGTTCGAATCACGGTGCCTACATTTGAAGTGTCCTTGGCCAAGACATTGAACCCCCAAGTTGCCCCTGATAGTTAGAGCCATTGGTGTGAGTTGGCGCTGCAGATGGCTGCTTCGGGTCTGTACCAGAAACAAATTCCTTGTGTGTGTAACATACTTGGCCAAATAAAGGTGATTAAATTAATACTGGCATTATCTGTCTTAACTGAACACAAAGCCAAGACTTTAAGGAGAACATCTAATGAAGTAAGAGAACAGTGAAACTATATTATGGCAATTATCTGCACCATCAGAGCAAACCTGATAATTATAAATTGCAATCTACACCAAGTGCATACCCAGATGAGACAGTCCTCACCAGAAAATGTCACGGATACTTTTTGAAAGTAATGACAAATTACCTATTTTGTCACTTTTGGACTATTCCAGGTCACTAAGGACTAGTTTCAGTTGCGGATTCATGATGTCCTGTGAAGTTTTCTTTTTGGCACAAAGACAAACTCAGATCTAACATCCACCAAATGCATTTCTTTTCTCATAAAACTTTATTTACCGGATTTATTTCTTTTTAATTGTGCATTGCAGAAATCAATGCTTGCTTACATAAACAAAAGTGGGACTCACTAGTAAAATCATTGCTCAGTGCTACTAGTGGTAAAGAACTCCTTTAACACACATTTGGTGCTCTAGTGAGCCCATATTGAGCGTAACGAAGGAACATGTCACCCAGCGGCCCAGTGTTTTTTATACAACAATGTGGGTGTGTGGCACAAGAATAAGACATGCCAGGTTTTGCTACGCAGTCAGTGTTACTGCTGTTAAATGATACAGCTTTAAGTACAGGCAGCATCTTGAGTTGTGACTTTAATATCTATGTGGAGCTCACAGTTAAAAAACAAAACTAAATCCCCACACCACTGTAACTGCCGAAAGAAACAAACAGGTTTGCAAAGACAAATATAATGATGACAACTATGGATATCCGTTACCTTGAATTTGTCAACTTCAGTCTTGGAGCAAGTGGCATGGTAAGACAGAACCTGCAAAATAATGGCATAGTGTGCCTCAAGGTATTTTCAAATCATTAAAATAACCAGTAGAGCTCTATGAAAAGCACAACTGTGGCTGCATTTCAGTGGCTGTTCCAGATGAAAATGTTAACACTCGCCTCTAGAACAGTCTGTAAGAGCAGCAACGTCAGCTCTGATTCCATCACCATGTTCATTTCATTCATTTTCTGAGAGAAATGCTTCACAAAGACCTGCAGTTGCTTATTTGATCATAAACATTCATGTTTATTCAGTGCAGCCAGAGGCAGTGTATCTACATATAATTTCATTCTGTCTCTCCTCTAACTGCTCTCTCTCTCTCTCTGTTCTCCACTTCTCCTATCATGAAACAGAGCGGCGCTAACTACTATAATTCACCTGAAAGCTCCCTTTTGTAATCTAAGGATGTAGTGCTGAATGGCTACATACTGCAGAGCAGATGAGGGATTGCTTTTCACTGCCTCTCATTAATTTTCAATAAAACCTTTGTGAGAAGGTTATCTACAAAGAGATCAGCACTTTTTTTCATGTGTGCATTCCTGTTGAAATATGAGACTAAAAAAGGAGCCAAGAACAAAGACCCCTTAGAGACAGTAAGTCAGAAGAGGCTTTGAATTAGCCATGCGGCATCTGTTGTTTCATGTGACATACTGTATGGGTAAATGTGTCAGCACAGAGCATATGCTGACTGGAAAGGAAAATAAAGATACCATTATAGCTAATGAAATAGAAAAACACAGGATGCACAGGAAGTTCATCTGAGGGAGGGCATAAAGCTAACATAAACACCCGGAGTACAGAAGCTTGACAAAGGGAAACCGAAGCTGATGGAGGCAGGGCAGATGTCAACACTAATACACTCAGCAATGTTTTTGCAAATTTAAGGAGATAAAAAAAATCTTCAAAATGTGCGATACAAAACAGGAAGTCAAATGAGATGTATTCTTACATCCAAAGCCACAGATTGCTTGGCCCAAGACTTCTTCACCTGGTCATACATGATAGTATTGTTGATGCCAAGTCCACAAAAGATGACAAATGCCTAAGAACAAAGTAAAAAGCAGCAGCTTAGGTACAACAGTTTCCAGTTTGCCCACAGGGTACTTTATGTAGTAAAGATAATAAAATGAGTTGAATACCTCAAAGAGACGCTGATCTGCATCATCAAATGGCTTCCCATCAAGTCTGTTCAGCACTTGAGCAACACCTGTTACACAAAGTCAGTTTATCCATACAATAGGAACACAACAGTAATGCCTGAAGCTTATTATCAGCAAAGCTCTAGTGTATTTAATCAGCTTCCAATTAAAAAAGGATTAAACCTGGACCTTCGATGCTGTTGTCCAATATGCAGTATTAATGGAGGTCTCACATATTTATCAGTACATTCAGAATTTCTACAATTTGTTGTCAATTTTAAAAATATCAGTAGACTAAATGAAACAAGAGCACAATGCTGCAAATATTATACTGATGCATGGTTATACAAAAGGACAAAAAAACTATAGCACCGGTGAAACTGGCAACCAGTCGACATTATCTTTTACAGGAAATCCAGTCATTGTCCACAATGCTGCAGCACCCCTGGTTTGAATGCCTTCTTTTATCTTCTTATTTAAAATAAAAGGCTTTGTGGTTAAAGCACAAACAGTTAATTGATAGAGAATCATTTTTATTGTAACTGAAAATACAGTACATTCCCACTGTTATTTATCTCTAGGAGGTCAAATAAACATCTTAATTTCAGTGTAAAGCTTGAAATCCACAGAGGTGAAATGATTGTTACCCTGGATAAGAACAATTTTCAAAGTGGTGTCATTAAATTTAAAATAAAGGGAGATGTCTTCTAACAAGTATTATCGCTCTCCCTATAATAAGCATGTAATTTGTGGCAAGCTGAAGCATAGGTGTTAAATGGATTTATATTTATGTAGCGCTTTTCTAAAGTAGCATTCAAAGCACTTTACACTAGTTGCAGATTCACTCATTTACACACTTACAAGGCCACCGGAGGCAACTTAGGGTTTAGTGTCTTGCCCGAGGACACCTCGACATGTGGGCAGCCAAACCTGTGAATCAAGGACGACCTACTCCACCTCCTGAGTCACGGTCCCAAGTATAAGCAAACTAAATGGCTGCTTAGAGTACTGGGCCTATCATACAACCTTTAACTACACTGTGTCCCCAATGCGTTATTTTTCATTATTACAAATGATATGTAAAATCCATAAAATACTAATTTATGGCTCCAGTTCAGTTTATTCACAACAAACAGAGTGTTGTTAGCTAAAATGTCTTTTGTCTTGAAAGGAACAATTTAGAGATTCTACACACAAAGCCAAAGCTTAGAAAAGCCCGTCCACTCATACAACTTGAACAGTTTTCCAGATGTGCAAAGCTCTGTCCGGTTGTATGGGGTTGTGTGTCCACACGGTAGCAAAGCTGCAGTTGTTGCCAAAGGTGCAACAAATGCTGACTTAGACAGCGGTGGAAGAAGTACTCAGTGCACAAGTAAAAGTAGCAATACCACAGTGTAAAAGTCCAAAGTAAAAGTCCTGCAATTCAAGATTTACTTAAGTAAAAGCACAAAAGTATTACTATCAAAATATACTGTATCAAAAGTAAAAGTACTCATTATACAGAATGGAACATTTAAGATTGATGTGTATTATATAAGATGATAATTACTGTGTGTACATTTAATGTTGTAGCTGGTAAAGGCAGAGCTAAGTACTGATGGGTAATTTGTGAATTTCCCACCAAGTATCAATAAAGTTTTAATTACACCGTATTTTGTTCTGTTATTCAGATTCTGAAAAGTAACTGAAGTTATCAAATAAATGTAGTGGAGTAAAATGTACAATATTTACCTCTAAAATGTAGTGAAGTCAAAGCATGAAGTAGCAGCAAATGAAAATACTCAAGTAAAATACACATACCTCAAAATTGTACTTAAATTGAGTACTTGAGTAAATGTACTTTCCACCTCTGGACTTGGAGGTGGTAAATATATAAGCTAACAAGTATTTTGTTGTTTACATTAGGTACATAAGAACAAATCTGTTTTCTCTAACCAGACTGAGAATGAGTTTGAAAATCAGTTGCCGTAATGAAACTGTACTTAAAGCTGTCGTTTAGTAGTGGGTTTCAGGAAAATCAGTTAGATACCGGTAATTAATTTATATTTTGATGTTATGAACTAAAACTGTGGCAGTCTGGCTCTCTCTGAATGACCATGTACACATCATCCTTTGTTCAGCAATTCAAATAGAATCAAAAACAAAATGAAAATTCAGGCTGATTAATTAAAGACCAACATTTTTAAACAATCCTTTTAGGTATTTGAAACACAAATCATTCAGAAAAAAAGTAGCACTAGCTACCTTTATTAAATTTTGCAGCATTATCCTAAAGGAAGTGCTAAAATTGAACCTCATTACCATCACAACAGTATTTTTGTGGTTGTATTTTAAAAGAGCTGGCTATAACCTTGGCAGATGACAAAAAAACATTCATTTTCTAACTGAATATAACCTTGACTTGAGAATTTCATTTCCTGCTGTTTTGTTTGTGTAATAGTTTTTCACTCCAGATCTTTGGGTGCCACCCACACACACTGCATTTCTCTCTCCCCACACCTTTTCAGTTCTTCTCCCTCTCCCCTCTGCAACAAATGTACTTGCACCTACGCAAAAAACGTGAATACACATGGACACCACACACACACACATAAATCTTAACCAACTATCTGTGGCAGATACGCGGATCAGTTTCCACTCAAATAAAACTAACGACTTCCTGTGTCAGATCTCAGCAAGTGTGGAGCTGCTATCGTTGCTCCTCGCTGCAATATCCAGCACCAAAAATCTGACGAGAGATCAGTGATTTATCAGAGTGTCACTGTGGTGTTGGCCTGGAGCTGACTCACAAACACAAAGCACAGAGCCAGTAAAACGGGAACTCCACCTCCAAGTGTGGAGTGATGGTGTAGCGTGGATCTAATCACACATACGCAGCCTCAGCTGAGGCTCCCCTCTCCCCTACTGACTACTATGCAGCAAGAATGGAAAGAGGCATTTGAAACCTACATTGAGAATGCTACATGATGTTTGTGTTGAACATACAGTACAACTGCAACATCCATACAGCAAGTTGCCAAAAGTATGTGGACAAATCTGAAGCTGTTTTTCATGGTTGGAGCGCATCCCACTGACATTATATCTTATTGCTAAAGCATACAATGATAGATATGTACTTCCAGTTTTGTGGCAACCGTTTGAGGAAGGTCCTCTACTGTTTCACCATGATAATGCCTCTGTGCAGCCAGGCCCACCATCAAATGGTTTTCCCAGTTTAAAGTGGAAGAACTGGACTGGTCTGCACAGAGCCCTGAACTCAACTGCATCCAACACCTTTGATGAGAGCTGGAATATTAGCCTTGTCTTTATCACCTAGTATCAGAGACAGCATCACTAATGCTCTAATCCCCACACCCACACACTTGTCCACATACTTCTGTCCATAATGCCCTACTCTAAATGTAATCCCTTTTTACTAACATATGCAAAGCGGTTAATGGTAAAATTAAATAACTCAATCAAGGATCACAATTCATTTCAGGATCAATGCAAACACCAGCGATCAACTTACCAATAATTTGGTGGTTGCTGTTCCATATGGGGACACAAAGGACAGAGCGGATGTGGAAGTCTGAGAACTGGTCTGCCTAAAACGAGTGGGAGTGTAAATACAGTGTGAAATGAAATAATGAATGAATGAAATATACAAACTTGTTTTTAATCTATTTTTCATTTTAAATCCTAATTTCTGCACATTTTAAACTGCATTTAATTTTGAGAAAACTGCTTTCATCACCTTTGTATCACTACATCATTAAACACAGCTGCAGTTTGACACACAGTTTAAAGTTAGGGACATGTTCCAAATTCCAAGTGGAGTGTCAGCACTAGTATAAAATGATGATACCCTGGATTCTAGTATCAAATTATACACAGTATGTTCACAACTGGAGCATTAATTATGCATACATGCTTCAGCTCTGATGGAAGAGCAGTGCTACATGAAAATATACACACTACAAGAGCAGGTCTTAACAGTAGGAGTTAGCTAACAAAATGGAAAACAGGGTGATATGTATTCCTCACCATGTGACCACAATAAAAAGATGTAATACTGGTTATTATATACAGGACTTTATATTTGGTGTTGAAGACATTTCACAGATGCAACCACCCTGACATGATTCCCGGGTGATTTCACAGCAATTAATGAATTCCATGTGACCTCACTGACCCACATGTGATGTCAAAGTGTGAACATCCCATAGCGGTTTAAAATGCATGGGATACGACTCCAACCAAGGGAACTGAAGAGGCCTCTTTGATGAGCAGTGAAAAGGCATAAATAACACCTGGATGACTGACGGTTGTCATATTTCATGCTGCTTCTTCTAACCATTTTACTCCCTGTGACATCAAATTCCAAAGGAATGTTATTGTCTTTACCTCAGCATCGAAGCGTGGATCCTGATAAGCATCGCTGATGTTGACGGGTAGCCCTGTGGATGCTACCAGCTCTGCAATACTGTTGTTGATGAGCCAGTCTGAGTAAGATGATTTCTCCATACTGTCTTTAAAACTTTAAAATAAGAGGGAAAGATGACAACAGAAAAAGAGAATATGAAACAGTACTCAACAAAATTTGTCTACTTGTTTTTTCTTAGGAGTGGCTTTATTCTGAAAATTTCTGTATAATACACCTTTATCTGATAATTTTATTATCATGACTATAAAAACTGTTTTTTAACTACAAACTTGCAAAAAGTCACTCTTACTTCTCCTTGTGGACTCTGTTTCATGTTGACTTGCATTTTATAAACTTCTCATACAATAAATATAAGTAAATGTCTCCTAAAGCTTATGAAATAATAAGAAGTTAATTGTGCGACTTGTGTCTTCCTCGCCTAACGCCCCCACATTCTGCCACAGAGATGCCTGTGTCCCTGTTCAGGCTTCCCATTTCAAACACAACAAGGTAAATGTTCACCGTAGCTCATTTTGTCTTTTAAGAATGGAATAAAGACAGAGAGACATTGGTCTGCTGAATCCCTTTGATATAGTGATACCACTGTGTGTGGACGTGCATCCCACAGTAAGGCCGGGAATAAACCTCATGGGTGCGATGTGTGATGCTTTAGCTCATCTTTCTTTCTTGCTCTCTTTCTGTCTTCATTCTCTCTGTCTCATGGCTGGCATTTGGCTGCCACAGACACACCAGTAGCACTCTACACCTGCACAACATTACAGCTAAACTCATAGTTTTACAGAATGTTCCTGTTTATTTTTATTGACCTTGTACATCCAGTATATATGGAAATGGTAATAAAATTACAAAAATACACTATGAATTTATGTGCCAACATTTTAATAACGGTAAAACTCTGCTAGCTGTGAATTGCCATAAAGTTCTCATTTTTTAAAGAACATTTCCCTTTTTTCACATAAAAAGAATATTTGAACTAACAGACTTCCCAGCATGCACTGTGTGAAAACTCTACAGTTAGTCTTGTTTTTTCCAGTTTAACAAACCCATTCATGGTGGAAACTTAATGTGTGTCTATAATACATATTAAAGTAAGTCTAGGTTGATATTTTTATAATGGTAAAAAATTATGCAAACCATGATTAAGGTTAGTATTGAATTCAGTGTCTACCCCTGTGCAATTACTATCTACAAACAGCCCTGCATCCTGTCTTTGTATCGCCTTAGTACAAAATGATTTTAACAGTTGCAACTATGTTTTTCATATTAAATGAAGAACTAATGTTTGTGAAGCTATAATGAGTTCTCAATAGTATTAGTAAAAGATTGTTAGTATATTTAAAATTATCTGTTTTATAATTTTCATAAAGGGAAAATTCCTGGGCTTCAAAGATGATCATTTCTTAAACATGAAAAGCCTTTTAAATACACAAGATTTCATTTAAAATTAAAAGGAAAATATTTAAATTAGAGGAAATTATTATATTTTAGAAGGTGGTTATTCTCTGGCACCCCAGCTGCCAGAATATTACACTTTTTTTACAGTGTGGACACTGTAGGGCACATTAGAAAACCTACGGTATGCTTGTATTTTGGCATCAAATGTATTTACCTTTTTTGGTAATTACAATACACACATAGATATTGTGCAGCAGTATTTTGTATTCAGGTGTGAAGCTTCCAGAAGACTGGTGTCATCACAGAGATTCTGTTCTTTGGTCATTTCAGCAGATTTAAGATATTATTACTTGAAATCACACAGCGGCTACTTATTTAATATATGACACCAGAAAAACATGAAGGGTGTATCTTTAGTGAGAAAGGCTAAGCTGGCCAGTCAAGAATATTCACCTTTCTTTGATTAATATCTTGCTATTGGTGCATTTTGTGTTATGATATTTCTTGGAATTACTGTTGCAGTTATCACTACCACGTCGAAGTGATCATATCAGTTATGGCAAGTGCAGGACTTGGGGGATAATTTGTCTTCCTTCCAGTGTGGGATTTCATCCATAAACATCCCACACAATATTAAGCCTCTCTTCCTCCACTCAGCCATGCCTAACAGTGGAGACGAGCAGCAAAACACAATTAAGTGGGGCTCCTGCAGTATAAATTCTATTCAGATTCGGCATATTACTCCCACATCACTGCAGAATATTCAAGTTCTATACTTCCCTTGACAAAAGCTTTACAGATTCAAACAAGGCTATGTGCAGGATTTACAGGTGCTATGGTGCCAAAGGCAAACACAACTGGAGGTATAGTAGTTTAGTGAAAAGGCTATTAGTGTAAGAAGAGGGGAAATTACATACAAACCTGCTTTCAGTGTCTGCACTACACTTAGGGGACAGCAGTTCAAAGGACTTGGTGAACTTCACTACCTGAGGAATTTGAAATGAAATTACTAAAGCTCTTGGAAAATTTACATTGGGCAATATAGTATTTGCTGATAAAAACTGAAGCAGACAGAAAGAATAAACATGCACATACACAAATGTATATATGGAGAGACATACACAGTGGGACAGCAGAGAGAAAAACAGTACCGGTGACTCAATGTCCTCAAGCAATTGTACAGAGCAACGCTCGCACTTTAGCAACGTCTGGGCACGGTGCATGATCTTCCTGACAATTTTCTCCAGGTCAGTCTGCTCCTCAAAAAGGTCATTGACTACCTCCAAGAGTGCCTGAACACCAGCAAAAAAAAAAAAAAAACAACAACAGAAAGACTGGCATTATTCCCAATGACATGCTACTGTGAAACCTACTAAATAAGAAATCTGTCAGCAAGTATTAGTGGACACCCAATAAAGTTTTGCAGGTTTTGCCTCTCTCAGCTGTTATAGCATGATTATTATTATTATCATCCATAAACCATAAACTAACAGGATGATATAATGTGATAGGTTTCTCCCAATAAAAGTGAAATAGATTCTTTATCTAAGGCTGTGCCAATCTAATTTAATACACAGGCACATAGAAATCCTAGTGTAAAGGGAGCTTTCCTCATTTCTCTCCTGTATTCACTGAACTGCATTGTCATCACATTACAGATCACTGTGTGACATGAATTTGTGCATCTCTATGCGATTTAGATCATGGACCAGTGCCTCATCTGGATACAGACCCATCCCCTAATGCAGAGGCTGAGAAAATGTTTTGGGATCCCCACTGCAGTAGCAGCAAGAGGGCTGCTGCTGATCAATACTCAGCTTCAGTGTCAGCATCAGGGGGAGGAAGTAAGGAGGAAGTAATGCTTATCCTAGGGATGGTGGCGGGTGGGGGGTTTATTATCCTGGGCCCTTACTCGACTCCTGTCATACTCCTTCCTTGAAGCAGCAAAGAGCTGGGCATTGGAGATTGCAATACCACAGAAGGGCAGGTACATCTGCAGCACCTGTGGACATATGGAACACATAACATTTGTGATCTTCTTACCAGAAACAGAAAAAAAAAATGTTTTTTACCAAAATAGTCCCTGAGGTCACAAAATTATACACACACACTCTTCTGAACTGTACAAAACACTTTAATGTGTCTATGTAATGCTCATGAAATATGACATGTACCTAATGAAATATCTTTACTCTGGAGTTTTTACACACTAGTAGCACCATTGGTAGTAATTTTATATGTGGGTCACCGTTTTGTTTGTAATGAGCATGCAGACAACGCAATACACTGTTCTGTCAAAGCTTTCACTATTGTGTTCATCTGCAGATAGCGGTAATGTGCAAAGTATAACATTTTAAAAAATAAACAAAGAATACAAAAGATGGGATTGCTAATTTATATGAGGAAGGGATGCATTCAACATTATAAGAAAACTCTATAGGATATGTATTGCTATATGTTTAGAAGTGGCTATAAAATTATAGCTTTTTGGAAGAAACAAAAGCAAAAAGTGAGTTAGTGTTATTTTCATCCAACAAAAACTTAGCTTTTGAACTGGACCAAATAAGAAGTGTCCTTTCATTGGTGTCATTATTTGCTAGGACAAACGAATCAATTCAACTGACATTTTACCTTTTGACTGAATAGTCTGACATACTGCGCCTTAGGCTCATAACATACACTCATTTTTTCCTCACATAAATAATGTAATCAATTGTGGCCTAATGACTGCAGTTAAAGTGTGTCCTGAAATCAAATCAACATCTCACTAGAATGACATTTCTCTCTTGCCCACCACATAATGAACACCAATATGCGAGCACACGCTACAGAAGATGCAGAAAGGTGGCTGCGACTGCATGCTGCAGAGACAGCTGCGATGTAAATACACAGGTTGAATTCTACACGACTACAGTTAACCCACAATGCAGCCTTATCTGAAAGACACTTAGCCCCTATAGCATGGAATCAATAGAATTTAAGGTTGCATGTTTCCTTGCTCGGCTGCTTTGTTTAATTATCTGTCTTTAGCATCTGGCTGCTGTGTAAACAATACAATCAGTACAACAATCCCTCCAATATTTACCAGCCATCAGTGTGACCTGAGGGTAGGGACGCTACAACAATACATGAATGGGAAGTTACTCAGCTGTGGCTGCTGATATATGGATACTCCTTTCACCTTTCAGAAAAGATAATGTATCAGTTATGTATCAGCCACAAATGGAGATGTGAAGAACACTGTCCTATTGCCCTGTGTTGAAACTGTTAAGCTTAACCTGTGACCTACTCGTAAAAAAAAAGTGTTAGGTAGGCCACAGGCTTACAACCTTGAATTAAGGCCCAGATGAACATTGGTAACATGCGAGACTGTTCTCCTGTAAAATACAGCAGTATACATCGTTTGTGATAGCAGGTTATTACAATGAAAAGTTATGTGTTATAGTTTGGTGACATAGCAACTGCAGTTAATTATGACAAGAGGAAAGGACTAAGTACACAGGACTTTCCCTCAGGAGATCTGAGTTCAATACCAATATGTGGTTTGCACTTTTCATTTTTTTCCCCCCTAAACATAACAAAGCCGGTTTTGTGCCTAAACCTAACCAATAATTTGTTTCCCCTAAACCTAAGCAATTATTTTTAGTGCCTAATCAAAATTAAATGTTTTGTGTGGTAAAATGTAAAATTGTAATGTCACGTTTATGATGGTTTCTGAGATAATGAAGTTCCAGTAGCTTGCTGCTAGCTATCCTGCTAGCCATTGTGTTTATGCCTGTGTTTAAGGTCTGTAAAGCTTGGTAATGTGATGTCTGTTGTTTTTGATTTTGGCGGGGTTGTTGTAATTCCTCCTGCAACAGTAGGAGCCCCTAATGATGCATCTCTATGTATGAGAGGGAGGGGACAAAAGACCATCTGGGTCATATAGGTTGGAGGACATGTTGTGTTATGCATTAGGAAAAAATGAATATATTAATATCGGCTATTAACAGTATACAAGAAAACTGAGTACAGACCTAATCAATATCATTAAAATATTAACCAATTACAAATGCTGTCCATTCAGTGCAATCTTATTTATTTTTAGACATAGCTGAGAAAGAAATAATCCACTTTTTTGCATTGAGGTTGTACATTGAGCTCCATATTGTCAATAGTCTGTCTAACGTGTGATCAAATATGTTACACTTCAATGTGAAAATAATGCAGTTATTGTACACTAAGTGTAATGTTTCAGTATAATATACATTTGGAGTTTCCTCTTTGTTCTTACAATTGATTAATAAATTCACATGACAACTTGACAGCTTTAATTGCTAGAGTCTCAATATCTGTGGACATAAAATGGCATCACAGACGGGAAAAGGTTGAGAAAACCTGCTCTAATTGATACAACTTCTCTTTAAAATCAAACAGGTCTCCTGGCTTAGCAACATACTGTATCTTTAATTTCTCACTCTGTAGGGGTATCTGAATTCAAACAGCTTGCTGGCTACAGCAAGAATTAATTGTTTTTACTAAAGATACACTACCAAAGAATGAGTGAACACAATGGCGAAGTGGGAAAGCATATATGCTTGTACATATCCAGTAAATTGGGCCTCATATCCTGCACTCTGTCAATTAGAGCTTGAAACATACAGTATAAGCTTTTCTGCTCTTCTATTGAACGTATGTATATATGTTTGACTTGTTCTATAGTTTTGTGTTGTCCGTTGTATTTTGGAGGACCACAGTGGAAACAAGTCATTTGCTTCACTGTGCTTTTCACCTCATTGATTGTAACTAATAAGCAAGTTACTGTTTTATACTGTATTTATAGTAAAGCATTTTTAATCATCACATAAATTCAATCATTCCAAAGCAACAAAAATGGTTTTCCTCTGCTCTGACATATCGTACTGATGTGCATATTATAATCCTGTTTTGAAATATAATAAGTACAAATTAAAGCACTAAATTAAAAACAATTCTAATCATAACATGATATGAAATATTACTCTGTCTTGCTAATGAATAAATAACTTTATGCACTTCATTATACATAATCAAGCACCTTATGCAAAACAAAATAAGGTCTTACATATCCATTTCAGCAGTCCAGTGGAATTCTCTAATAATGATCTTCTACAAAGGCAGTGGCCATCAATAGCCACAGCAGGAGCAGATTCATTACTGAGCTGGACTTTGGGGATCTGGCTTTGGAGTTGCGTGTGAAACTAACAGGCAAACCCAAGAAAAGCACTGCTCTCTAATTACCTTCTGTCAGGCCATTATACTGTACAAGGCTGCATTACAAACAGGACATTTTTGCCTGGAGACCTGTGGATTCGCCATTAAAGAGTGGTTTAATAATGAAATTAACTGGCTAAGGCCTTGGGGACAGTCAGTTCCTCTGACCTCGGTGACTTCTTTTTACACAACTGAAATTTCATACGAGGCAAGCCAAGGTAAATTAAATAGCCAAGGTAAATTAAATAGCCAACACTTTCTTTCTCCAGTTACCGTGCGAATTACAACTACTAACTGATTTAAAAAGCTGTGCTTACTTTGCATATGGGGCGGGGTGAAGCTACTGTTATTTTGCCAAGAACTGTCCCCCAGGAAAAAACGTGAAGCTCTCTGATCTCATATGGGACTTCCTACTGTAGCATGTGTCAGCAAAGTGCAATGCCGTTTTGCACATTCACTTAGCAAATATTGCTTCTTTTGAAGGTGACATCAAATATTTTTGTGATAGGAATCTGCACCTCAACCATTTTTACAATGTCCTGTCTGTTTTTGTTACTATGCTCTTGTCCTGTCTTTCAACTGATAAATTTTAATTGGCAATACAGGGCAAGAGCATAATAACAAAAACTGACTTTTGTGTCAGTAATTTACAATAGCTGTGTCTTCAAATTCAATATAATCAAAACAGTACAACTAGTGATTGACTTTAAAATAACAGTGCAATGTAACAAAGCAACACAGACAAGCATTCTAAGAAAAACAACTCATCAATAATTTCAAATAAAGATTATAAATATGTTTTTATTTGTTGCTTAAGCAGCAGGTTTCTACTAAGGCCAGACTAGGTTTTCCCAAGCAGTAGTGTTAATTTAGTCACTAAATTTATTAGCATACTGTCACTGCTCTTGGCAGTGATACGAGGCTGTTTACACATGCTAATTTAGTGTAATTAATTAACATCAATCATTAAAAATTGTGTGATGAAGGAACCCACTAATTAACAGTAGAATATTGTGACATTATGCATATTGCGATATAGCAATAGTATAAAATTGCTTTAGATATTTCTGTGGATGTCATCGGCGTCTGTTTCTTCGAGTTTGCACAGTTAGCTAGCCAGAAAGTTGTGAAAAGCGAAAGTGTTTCTTTCTTGACTTGTGTTTTGTGGTGTGTTGTCTATATAGTCTTTCTTATTTGGTCTGATAAGGCACTCTAGGTTGCACTGACATGAACTGAACTAAACCGTGTAGAATCATGAGTTGTCACTCTGCCACTACTTGTGAAGGTTAACTCTGTTTTTTAAATTGAAGTTGGTGTAAAAATCTAATATAGCCTAGGTTTTGAAAATGAATACATCTTTCAGAAGCAGTTTGACTTTCCTTGAAGCCCACAGGGATCTGTAAAACACAAAAATCTTCCATTGGCAACAAAAGAAACTCATTTGCACTGTTTGTTGAATGGTTGCACATATGTTAGCCCTCCATGGAGCTGCTCTGTGGGCAGTGAGCCACAGTTCATTATATCAAAGTCAGTTTCAAATGAATGCAGGCAGTCAAAAGAACTGAGCAACATTTTTTTACTTTATGTCACTCAAGGCTCTACATTTCAGTGGAGAAGTGGCATAAATGGGTGCGTTGATGTCTTTCACACCCTCAGATCGGATTACTGAGGCTCATGTGGCCTCATCTTGTGTTCCACTATGTTTTATAAATTCATCTTTGAGGTCTTCCTGATGTTTGATTCACATTCAGATGGCATCAAGCAATGCTGGATTTTTACAGCTGCTACCAACAGTTAAAAACAAAAGTGTAATGATTATTAAGATAGTCCGATACAAAGTGTGGTGACACAAGTACAGCCAGTGTTTCATTAAATTTTTTTACAGTACATATTTTTTAAGAACACCAGGCTAAAATTGCTGATATTAATAATAATCTATCAGTGAATGAATATGGACCGACAGCATCAGTGCACCACTATACTGTATAGGTCAGGCTTTTATTCAGAGGAAAAGACAAGGACAAAAATGTCACTTTTGCACCTCGTTGGTGCCTTTGGTTAAACTGAAAGTTCAAGTTGAAGTTTAATTTATTATTATTTTGTTGTTGTTTGGTTCTTTTTTACACTACAGTTGAGATCAAATCCATGTGGGCAATAGTTTATTTTGGATTGTTTGTGCCCTTTTGTAGGCATAAGACATGTAGACCACTGAGTAAATGTCCAAGCACTTATGGCGCGGACATTTGCTCAGTGGAGGGGACTACATTGATATAAATCACATTGTTTTTAGTCTTAACTCTAAAGTGGACGCTCTGTACTTCCTGAACAGAGCACTCAAGCAGATCCGCTGTTTTATTTGGTTTAAGAACTGTCTAAATACCATGAGCTGCAGTAAGAATTTCCTGGCACCCCCCAAGTACAGTGTTAGTTCCACCTCTTTTTTTCCCAATTTAAAAAACCCCTTTGAATCACTTGCAAATAAAAAAGAGGTCTGTATCAAATGCTTGTTACCAAACAAGAAGCCAAAACTGCAGTTCACACTCAGTACCCACTTAGCCAGCATAGGTAGGTAGGTAGGTAGGACTTTATTGATCCCACAATGGGAAAATTCCTGTGTTCCAACAGCAACAGAGAGCAGCAACAAAACACCATAAGAACAAACACCACACACATAACTTGAGAAACAAATTCCAAAGTACCTAAAACCAGACAGAATATAATATTTGAGAGACAATCAAGAGCAAGAATGAGTAGTTAGTCCCTTAATTATCTCATCATTCGTTCTGTCAGTTTCTCTTTGAGGGGCAATGCAGCTAGGTCAGCCTTTATTGTTTAAGATCCACACTGTATAATATCTCATATGCTCTGTTATTGCCTCAGTGTATTAACACAGAAGCACTTTTTTACTTATATGCATAAACAATGCATGCTTATGCTATACTCTTGACCCACATAGTAGCCTCATATTGCAAACATTTGTTTAAAAATATTCTATTAATCTAAATGGGCTTTTGTTACATCTTGCAGTTATAACAATAATTCTGTCGGGAACTGGTTTGGTATGATACACTGTATAAATATAATTTAATCTGATATCCTGCACAAACGTATTAAAAACATGTGGCTCCAAGTAAATATTATGTCCCCTCTTATTTATCTGGAGATTTATATTGGATAATTGTGTGGAAGTTGTTACTACAGAAACTGTTATATATGCCAATTTGACAGGAAGTTTGGCAGCAGAGGCTGAGGGGGGCAATGCTATTGGACAATCAACTGACACAGATGTTAAACTATAAAGGCAGACAACCTACATGGTGCGCCTTGTATTTCATTAGGAGAAAATTCATAAAAATGTTTACCTGTGAATCCTACACTGAATGTAAAATGCATTAAAAGGCATGTAAAATGACAAAAAGCTGACCCTGTTGTCAGCTATTATATAGCTACAGTACATTCCTCTACAGGCGATAATGAGACACTGCAATTAAACATGGGTTGAACCATTATCCAAGCTCCCCAAAAGACTCCAGTACTGCAGAACACAATTAAGCCAGCATGTGATTTAAAACCAGCTATATAATGTGTTTAAATATCCTATAAGGTTTCAGTAGACAGAGAACAAGGTTTGCTTTAATAAAGGTACATTAGATCTCTAATGACATCTGCTATTGCAGTGTTGCTCCGAAAACTGATACATTTTCTTATTACACGGTCTTGCATAAAAGCAGAGCTGCAGATATGCTGTGCAGGGGGCTTACTGTGATGCTAGCATTGCATTTCATTACTAATTCAGCTGTAGCCATCCCAAGTATTAGTGTGGTGTTAATGCAATGTGAAACGTAACAAGGGCAAGGAAAAAGAATTCCTAATTTGCATCTGTTTTGAACAATAGAATCTAGAAATGTAATTGAGACAGTAGAGCTCCAATGGAGAAAAACATACCGTGCAGAAAATACTTCAGTTCATTTGCTGCAGTGAAACCTTTAAATAAAAGCACAACCAGTTTTGTGCTTTGATGTTTTATCTTTTCAAGCCTTTAGGGGCTCATATCTGCAGCAAGAGACCTCAGTGTATGTGCTTGTCACTACCTTTCTGCTACATTTATTCAGGCGGGCAATCTCACATCTCACAACTCTAACTGGACACCATCTACTTTGACATATTACATTTGTATAATATATATTCTGAGGTTTTAAATCTTTGTTTGTTGCAACTGCCAACTTGACTGATCTGTTTACAGACCAAGCTGATTCACAAAGTAGTAAAATCACATAGAAGTTATTCAAGAGCATTTGCTTCAGTCCTTGATCAAAAACATTATATCTGTGGTCAAATAACACCTGTTTCCTACATGTACAGGTACACACATTCACACCTGGAAGCCACCTAGTACCAGTCTGATCTGTTGCCCATGAGCAGCTCCACTGGAGTGGTTAAACTGAAGTAACCCATACTCTGCCATAAGTCAGTTTTTAGTGGTGTTAACTCTCTGACAACCACTCAAAGTCACTTAAACGGTGAAATCTAAATGGTGACACTCCAGCTGTCCCACTTGGCACACAGAGCACTAATCGATTAGAGATTCTGAGCAGCTTATATAAAGCTGTTTTCTTGGTGGTACTGTAACAAGGTTCTGGCCCTTTGGAAGATAGTGCTTTAGGAAAACTGGGGAGGTTGCTGAGAGGCAAGTTATGATCCAGCTAGAAACTGAGCACTGAGACTTTGTCTAAGGGCAACAAGTGAGCTGGGGGAATTATTTAAATAAGAAATATGAGTTATATTCAGACTGGAAACATGAACAAAAAGAGAAAGAGCAAACACTACAAGGTGTTTATCAGACAACAGATAGGCAGATACAGTGCCTGTGTTTTAGCATCAGAATCGAGTGGTACCCGTAACGGCCCATTTTGTTTAAAAATTCTGTATTGCTCTGTTAAATGTGATGCCACAGCCACAACTGAATGAATATATGAAATACGCTTTTTTAAAAATGGATATAAAATGTTTTATAGTAATACATTCAATGTTTTTATTGCATTAAAGAAAGGAAAGATTCTAAATTTAGCAAAAACAAAACAGAACCTGTAAGAAAATGTCATCAGGTGGGGGGTGGGGTTGAAGATGGTGGTCTACCTGTAACATGTGCAGAAAACAATTTAATGCACACGGAGTGAGATAAGTTAAGATATAAGAATTAAAGAAAAACAATCAGTCGTCTTAACTGCTTCTGCACACGCCAAGCAAAGCAGCAGCTGTGACAGTTGTCACCCAGCATTTACTGTAATACTCTACAATACTTCATGAACTATAATAATAAAATCACCTTTTCATCATCTTCAGTGAAGAGTTCTCCGCTTGAAGTCTTGTTGATGGCCTGAGCAACTCCAATGATCTCTCCATCACTGTTGCCAATGGGCATGCACAAGAGCGACTTGGTTTTGTAGCCTGTCAGCTTGTCGATTTCATCACTGAACCGTCGATCCTGCAATCCAGAGAGACCATGTAAGCACTTTATACAAAAATACTTTTCCCTTTTTACTTTCAGATGACAGTGCAGTCAGCACAGTAAGCAAAAAAGTCTACAATGAAAGCACTGTGACATAAAACTACATAATTTGAGGCTTTATATGCAATCTAATAATGTTTATTTTATTGAAATCAAGGTAAACACGGCGGAATTTCAAAAACTACAGAGAGAATGAGACTTCTCTGTTGCCTTATTTCTAATACTCTGTGTTTTATGTTAACTTGTGGCTCAACACAAACAGCTGACTGGTGGTATTTGTTGCCATGCTCTCAGTTCTGTTATTCAGTTTGAGTGATGCTCATTTAACTGTAAAATATTTTTTAAAGACAGATTGAAAGAAATGGACTTTCTGCCTGAATCTATCTCTTCTCTTTTTGTACAGTAACTCACGCAAATGCACACACGGATGAATGCACAAAGAGGAGCAGGCACCTGATACGCGTCCGGGATGTTCACTGTCTCTCCGTGTTCGGCCACATATCCAATGATTCCTTTCCCCCACGGCACTTGAACTTCATCTGAATTCATCGAAGGTAAAACTGTGGTACCTGCGTGCACGTCAAAGAATTTGGACACGAGAGTCTTCTTGTTGCCCGTCCCCTCCACTAAAAACAAGGAGCACCGGTCTGCATCGACCATAATACAAACAAACACAAGGATTTTGTAGCTGAGACTCGTTAGATCCAAGTCGTTAGATATGTCTTTTACAAGCTCCAGGAAAAACTCTCTTTCGTTATGTTCTTTGAGGTAATATTTAAAATCCACGGCTGTTGACGGGTACTGGGGGATGTTGACTCTGGACTCAAGCAGTGCGCTCAGTATGTGCGCAGTGGTCGGGGGCAGAGAGCTGGCTTTCCTCAGCAGAGCTCTTCTCCTCATGCTTGTCAGCGGCTCCTGGGCCCTAGAATTAACATGTTCGTCGTATGTCCTGTTGACATTGATGGCCTTTGATCTGGCGAAAGTTTTGCGCAGCTCTTTCTGCGAGGCTCTCCGTTGCAGGCCGTCACATTTGCTTGCCCAGCTGTCCTTACACGCGATGCTCTTGTCCTCTCTCGGCTCAGAGCGAGCTGCAGCCGCCGGACTTTTACTTGCCTGGTGATTCTTAAGCCATTTCTCCACAATGCTATAATTCCCTTTTCTATTCAGGTAGTCCTCGAATAACTCGGGATGCGAGTCCAGAAAACTTTCCACGTCTGAGAATACTATATTTGGCACTGCCATGTCTGTTCTTCATATAGTCTTCAGTCAATCCAAATCCATGAAGTTGCGCAGAGAAATATCATCTACGAGGCTTCTCCGAGGGTTAAAGTAGGGAATCATTTGATTGCCACAACTTCCAAGATGCATTACTGTGGAAACACCCCTGGAGTTCTGGCTACATATCCAGTTTCCACTCTGTGGGGAGAAGGACGAAGACTCTCTTTGCGCACAGGTATATTCCTCCACAGCATCTCCACACCACTTACTTAATTTAAGATCATTAATGCAGATCTAAGCAAAGCAGTCTAGGAGCAAATTCGGGCTAGTGTAGCGGAGTTACTAGCACCGACTCAAGCATTGGCAATCTCACTGAGAACCACTGTCGAGCAGCACCGTCGTATGGGTCTTCTTCTGTGCAAATGACACTGGCTGTGGTTGGCTCTGTCCCGCTGACGTTCGCTTCGTCACAGACAGGAGCTCAGGGTTGCTTCAGCAGGCAGCCCTCCGGCCATTTGAACAGTTTGCCCCCCTCAGAGAGGCGCTCGAAGTAGGCTGTGATGAAGATGATGATGCTGAGGATCGTGATAACTAATCGTCTATCTTCTCAGCATGTACAAAATAGAATGCATGTTATAAACTATACAATAGGTATATAAATGGTTGATTATAAATGTTTACCCATTACATTCAGTTCAGCGGTGATATTCTACATTTGACTCCATAAAAGCAAAATACCCCATGTATGGCCCCATATAATTTTAAATAAAACAGATCATGAAACGCTTTAGCAACGCCAAACAATGGATTTCTATGCCTTCCCTGAAGAGACAGTGGTGATGATAATAATGGGGGCTGACAAGTCATCAAACTGATGACTGTGGCCTGAAGAAAAGTGTTTCAGCATAACAGATCCTACAACTCGACAATACATTTACTCCACAGCGCCAAAGCACTTGTATATGTTCTATGTAGTGGTGCATATCATTTATTTATTTACTGGCAGGAAGAGAATGTGAGAAAATCTCATTCCTTTACACGATGTTATTAGTGAATGTGTGCAGATTTGCCATTTGAACGCTAGAGGGGGTTGCACACCACTGCGTAAAGTGGGAACCCGCTCAGACTGATGAACCAGTTGTTTCTCACAGGCAACATCCCTTCTCCAGTAATCTCTTGGGACACTTGGAGCCTTCTTGGTTGTAACGCTGTCATATTTATTACTAGCTCCTAACACCAACAATATTGTCTTTTACCAGCTGCATACAGTGATTCACAAACCTATTACATTAGCCAAAACTGTTAAGGCAAGAAAATACTGTTAAATAAACTGACAAGACCAGCCACACCCTATAGCATATCAAGTCATTATACTACAAGAAATCTGATACTGACCATATGCACATCTCTGGGAACATATCAAGTAAAGCAAATTTCAAACATAATGTTTAGTGTCAGTTATTGTCAACTTACAAATTAAAAATGACATAAAAGACTTGAGGTATCAATGGATCAGAAGCAGAGAAAGCATTCATTCATGGATTAAGATAACTTGAGTGTAAACAAAGAAAAAGTACTGATGGCAGTCAACATAAGACACAATACACAGCTTTCAATTCCTACAGTACATTCCTAATACACATCATATTGTTTAATGCTTTATGTTAGTAAAGTAACCAATTTAGGGGATATAATTTACTCCACCACAGCGGAGGATCAAGAAACAGAGGTGACAAAGATGCTAACACCACTCAGACTGCTTGATATCCTGCCTAATTTGGAAAAAAGGTGAAGGCGCCGAACAGCTTATCAAGACAAAAACTGGCAAAGATGCCCAGATGAAGGGCTTCTTATGAAGTTGCAGACTTAAGATATGCTATAAGGTCAGCCCGTTCATTCTTCTTTTTGATGCCAGCGAAGATCATTTTTGTTCCTGGAATATATTTCTTGGGGTTCTCCAAATAGGTCATCAGGGTCTCCTCATCCCAGATAACACCTGAAATTAACACGGGCAAATACAGTGGAGAAACACATTTTAATAAAACTGCATGATTCTTAGGACTGTCCAAGTACTGTGACTACATACAAGTAGCATACTTACCCTTGCTTTTGTTGGCATCAGTATATGAGTAGCCCTGTGCCTGGCCTGTTTTGCGTCCGAACAGACCCCAAAGGTTAGGCCCAACCTTATGTTTTCCACCCTCCTCCACAGTATGGCACTGGGCACACTTCTGCACAAATGTCTTCTTACCTTTGTTGATGTCTCCAGACATGGTTTCTATGAAAGAGAACAAACATGTTTAAGAAAGCTGGACATACATTATTTTAAATTACTTTTGACTTATGTTATGCTACTTTCATTCTAAAAATACATTGTTTTGTTATTCTACTGCTTTTGTTATATACAATAAAGGCCTAAAATTACCCCTAAAATCACCCTTATTCAGCCACAAGGAGGGTTCACTTCCAAGTTGCGCAACTAATGTGGCCTAAGCATTGTTACAAAGCTCAACTTTAGTCCAGTAACGTATATGATAAGAAGCTGCACCTACATCTGTGCTATGAAGAAAATCAGTGAAAACCTATAACAGCCTATAAGGTATCTTTTTCAACCCTGTGCAAAAATAGCTAGACAAGCCTATAAGTAGTGATGGTCCTCTGACACATGCGGCGGTAGCTCATGAAGCAATTGTGTCGAACCACTGAGCCGAGGCATGTTTTGGTCACATGACTAGTGACGTTTGAAGCACTTGAGTAACGTTCGAAGCAGTTGAGTGCCGTGGACGTCATACAAATCAGCTGACTGGTTCGGTTTGTCATGTGAATCACTTTGCAGGATAGTGTGTGTTTAGGGACAGGATGTCCCTGTTTAGTGGCGTTGATTTGAATTTTTATTTGCAAAACAGGTTGGTTTGTTGCTGTTGTTGCCGTTAGTTGCTTTGAGAGTTAGTGTTGTAGCAGATTGTGTATTTAGTAGAGAATCAGTGTAGATAGAGAAATAGGTATAGTCCTAAATAACATTTTATATATATATATAGAAGAGTATATAGGGTTACACTCAGACGTGCCAAATAAGAAACACGGTCTTCAACATGAGTTCATGTTTATTTTATATTTTACTGTGTCAGCTTGAAACCACACAACCATGTAGGAATATGCCTGGCGAATCAGATCCCAAACAATCCATGAACTAATGACACGTCTTGACTGCACTTCATTTTATTGACCAATAGATGTCATACTCGAGCACTGTGTCATTGAAGCCTCCAGTAATGAACTATTTTTGTGACTACTGTGTCGAAGCTTCAACAAACCCTCGATCAGCCATCATTACCTATAAGTACGACAAAGCTGCAGACTGTAAAAAGTATGGAACGTAGCTTGAATTGATACGCTTTTACAGTAAACATGTGACTGAGCTTTATCAGATAGGAAAGTATGAATTCCGTGGAAACTGGCTCACACCGGTGTTACACCACGTGGCATATGAAGGCACCGGCACGCTTAAATGGCATGGGCACATCGTCAGATTTGAGCAAACAACAGAACATCTTGGTGCTTTGATGAGCATCGTCTTACCTCTTCTTGATGTGTATTCAACCGACTTATTGACTGCTTTGTCTTCCGAACGGTAGTCAATCGCCAGTGACCGTCAAGCGCGCTTCCGTTCGCTGGACCTCTTCCCGCTGAAAGTCAGCTGACGCATTACGTCATGGTCAAACTGCAGCGTCAAACTGCGCAGTGCAAAAGCTCCTCTTTTCGCGGAGTAAACGCTTATTTCTGGTACCCTAGCCTATTTTATCAGACAGTAGCATAGCCATAAAATGAACCACAAAGCATGTGATCTGATTGACATTGAAGTAGGCTAATTATGATACCACTGTTAAAGCGTGTTTTTTCATATTATCAGACACAACCTGCCCATAAAATACAGTGGATTACCAATCGTTCTACCAGTCAGAGCACGCTTTCATAGCAAATAGGTGTTATATAGCCTACACTCCTGGAATACACAGCAGAAAAGGTCCTGTCAACATAAAATATATGCTTTCCAACCAGTTTCTGCCCAGGATTCATACAGTCACAGTTCTTCTTCAGTAGAAAGTCATAAAATGAAAATATTCCGTTATGACAAACTTAAATTGGAGCATGTTAACATCGGGTATGCCAGCATGAGAGATGATGTCCAACAGTTTTAATACATATTTCAGACAGACAGATGAGAAGAGTTTAAGAGTTCCCATTTCCCATTGACTTCATTACTGTAGCCTACATAAAACATGTCCAATACAGGCCACTGTGTGAACATGACAGGAGTGGCCCAGGTACCATGATAAATGCCACCTTCACTTTTGATCCCTGTAACTTTTTAATAACATATAGGCAGAGGGGCATTTTCTAGTTTCTGTTCCCTGTGACCCACCTCTGAGTAATTTCAGCAGCATAAATATAGGGGAAATATCAGGGACTTTGTGGCAGGGCAGCCACAAAAAGGGCTTTAATTTAATTTATGTGTATTTCAAATGGGACACCCCTCTCTGAGTCTGGGCCCCAGTCTGGCCACCCCATCCAGAATTTTTCAGATCTGGCCCTGTCACGGTCCGATAATTGCTACTCCGAGTCCGATGTGTGTGTCTTCCATCGCCATGTTTTGTGATCAACCACTGTGCGCCAGCGCGTGATCCATTTCGGCCATTTGTTCCCGCTCAAAGGCAGTCTTGCTGCAGGGAGGAGCGAACAGAGCGCAGCCGAGCTGAGCTGAGCATCACTGCCCGCATTCAAGGAAACAGGCAAACACGGCACTTTTTGGCTTTCCATAATGTGCTAGCCTCGGTTACAGCGCGGGTCTTTAATAAGAACAAATAGATATATTGGACGGGAACTCATATGGAAGCCATTTGTCTTTGAGAAGCCGGGAATCTCTGCCCAGTCAAGGGAGACCCCTTCAATTGTTTCCTGCGCCAAGAACTGTAAAGACATGGTCATTACATGGCATCTGTGGTAAGGCAGTACGCTTTTCTCTCTCTCTCTCTCTCTCTCTCTTTCAAGGCATCCTCAGAGCAAGTCTTGGTTATTTAGAGGAAGCTACAGTCACAACAATGTGCTTTGCTGAATGAAGGTGCTTTGACGCTCTATTTAGCCACCCAGACCGAGACCCCAGCATCTCATTCCTTCCAATTTGCATCCCGAGTGAATCACCGAGGACCAGTCAGACATGACCACCTAGCCACCGCTGCTGCTAGTCTGACTGAGATGAGGTAACAACGCATCTCAGCGTGCACGTCCCAGCATCACAAGGACGTTATCGTTGACAGTCGAGCAATAAAACAGCTGTACAGCCAACTCAGTGACTGACTTTGAAGCTGGAGATGCGTCACTGACTGTCACATTTTCAACTGAGCTTAATGGCTTCTCCTGCACTGTCCCATTAGATAACCGACCCTTCATATAGCAGAATATTATTGTTTAACATGATCTCCACGCATGATCTTCTGTATTCCACTCATTAGGTTGTCGATGGTAAGATGCCAACTGTTTGAAAGTTAGCCAACTTCAGCCACTTACAGGATTGCTCCACAATATCACTCTGCCAAACTGAAGGTCAGCCAGTGACTTTGCAGTTGTTTAAAATAGCACCGATTCACATAAATTTAGGAGCAGCAGAGGTGTAGTGGAAAGCTGGTTGCATTTGTAGTTGGTCATTGGTGTACTTTCTTGAACAGATGTTGATTTGATCAGGAGCCAGTGACCACTGATGTTCTGACATATCTCTTGGCCCAGCCTCAAAGAACCCTCCTACTGAAGGTGTCCCATCCCATTCAGATGAGATCTTGGCAGAGCTTATAACGGTATCAGATTGTCCTTATTTGCCATGTGTCATTAGTATTAACAGTAAAGAGTAAAGCTGATACTTATATGATAAAGTAACACATACATGCACAAAGCTCATTACAAATGAAAGCAGTTTCCAGGCCAATACATGGTTTTAAGACCCATGATTCATCTGTAACAGTCTCTTTAGTTTGCTTTAAAGATTGGTTCTCAATGCTCACCATGGTTACTTGTTTATTTTCGGTTTTTAGCCTAAGTTTTTGATTCCCTTCTGCTCTGGAAGAAAGGTGTGCTGGTGTCAACATCATACCTGATTTTTAGTTCCAGTCACAAAATGGTACTTTCTGTTTTACTTCTGCTTTTACCACTTAACAAGGTAAGACAGAAATCTAAAAGCAAACACTGTGTTGTTTTTAACTCAGTAATCAGATAAAGTATAATGTTAACAAGTAATGATTTACACCAGGCAACAACTGGCAGGATTCAGGTCCAACTTTCAGTTCCTGACAGTTCATGCAGGTTTCTAAAGTGAGGAGTGTGATACCCAGCTCTTCCTGGATGATGTAATGTGTGCAGCGCAAGATAAACTGGCTGTGTGCAGATGGGTTTATTTTAAAGATGTGCTACTCTCTGCTTCTAGATGTCATGCATGATCTACAAGATCTGGCATACTATTGTATACCCAGGTAAATGTTCAAAACCCTGCTGATCGATATGCATTAATACCCAGTTGTAAATTCTGACAACAGTTGTCCTCAGCCCTGTAATATAATCTTAGGACATGAGTCTGCTTTTATCAGGCTACTTTAATTATGCAACAGAGGGGGGGAGCTCTGCAAACTTGGTTCACTGTAGAGTGCTGGTCGATAATGTGTTATTGCCGGCTGGCTGGATGTGGTGACACAAACATGAATGTCTTTCTAAATGCATAGTTGCCATCATGCCTCATTGTATTACATGAATGTGATGAGTCATGCAATTAACATTTTTGTGGCTTAATCAAGCGGGAGCCTCCAAGGCTGAGAAACGAAGCCAACGAGGAAGTGCCAAAATCTGCAGTTCCTTGAATGGCCACTTGAGCCTGGATCCAGAAGGAAGTCAATCCCCATATATTCATTCATTCATTTTCTACCGCTTAGTCCCTGGGGGTCACGGGGGGGGGGTACTCCCATGTTAAAATGCCCAATATTACAGCAGAAGTAAACAGTGTATAGCCTGGTTCAAAAACAGTTTTGGTCTCTATAGCTAATTTCCCCTTCCAAGACAACTGTACGGGGGTCAGGAGTATAAATCTGCCTTTTAAATTATATTGAGACTAAAACTTACACATAGTTAAAGGTGTGATTGCTTTGAATGACAGGTGGGAGGGTACCACCATATACTGTAGGTGGCTGACCGCTAGCTGTCTGGAGAGCTCCACTCACACTCTGACTCTTTGCCCATTTTGGAATTAAAATGGTGGGTTTGTCAAACTATTATATACACTCAGTGGCTTTTAATGTGCACTAATAGCAGCAAACATCCAGGCATACAATATAAAGTCAGCACCGATTTTCCTTTTCAAATTCTCCCTTTTCTTTGGTTCATCTGGCTTGAAGACCGGTGATGCTACTTGACATCTTGGTTGTCTAAATATCAAGTTTATCTTCTTCATCCCTCTCAGATCTCAGAGCAGGGCACACGGATAGAGGGCTTACCCTGAAACTAACTCAAAGCAGCTCTGTTTGGCTCTTCTCAGCTTGACCCATGTCAGGATAGATGATAGTCATTGCTTTACTTGTTATACTCTATTGATGCCTGAAGGGAAAATTTTACTTTTCACTCTCCACCCTCTACTAAGCTCACAGCATATATTCGGCTACAAAAGGCCCTGGAGCAATTCTGCATCAATAAAGAAGAAAAATTGAACCTGAACTTGCCATTCAAAGACCACTTTCTTTATCCATTCCAGCTTGTTACCGTATTATTATATTTACTTTTACACCCCTAACCTTAACAGTGATTAACAAAAACTCAACCATGCTACCTTCTACTTTCTTTGTAGGTGTTGCATACCCAAAGCAAAGTTGAACCCAGAGATAGAAAGGCGCTGACAACAGTGAAAGGTTTTTAGTAATTATATTGCACACACTGTCTGAAAAGAGCTGTTCATTTACTTTGACTTATCAGCAGATTTAATTTAGATAAGATTTAATCATATTTTATTATGGATTTGTTGGATCTGATCTAAATAGTGTTGAGAGTTTCATGACAGTAGTTGAAGGCTAGTCAGATGTTATATTCTTTTTTATGTCATTTGATAGAAAGAGAAAAAGATTTATATTGGCTCTGATGAGTTAACAGCGTCTGATGTTGATGGGATGGTAAAACAAGACAGCTAAGCCCATTGTAGCAGTGAATGTGGTCCAGGTTTGGTGACATTTTCCTTGGCATTAAAAGAATGTTGACAGAGGAGGGTCCTTTTTTCAGACTGTCACATACTGGAAACTGGAGGCCTCTCTTTACTGCAACCTAATATCCAGAATTTCAGAGAAGGAATCTGACCACACTGCACCTCAATAGAAACTAACCCCATTATGTGCAAGACTTTACATGATCATTTGACTAAAGTCATCTCAGTCAAAAATATTTTTTATTGAGTTTCTCACTAATTTCAGTTTTGAGTTCAATTTTTATTGTCCTTTGCTTGCACCATAGCAAAAACAGTCAGACAGTTTCACATCACATTTTAGGAAAATGGCAGTTTTATTTGCTCGTGACTTGCTGTGTTTGGCACTACTGTTTACACTACAGATCCTCTGTGTTGCGCCCGTCAGTTGCTGTTTACATGAACGCTCATGGTTTAACCTGTGTACTGTATGTGTCACAACAAGCCAGTGATGAAATAGGTTCTGCTAAAGTGAAAAGGTGAAGTGCAAGGCAGTCAAGGCTGCAGGTTTTTACTTCATTTGTTCACTTGCTTTGTTTTGTCATTTCCTGGGCCAAAAGAAGGCTATGTCTTTAATTTACAATAAATGTCTGAAAATGCTCCAAATTTTAGCTCTAAACTAAAGTCTATATATTGTCAGAAATTAGGGTAAAAAGGTAAAGTTTAGACTTAAAGTGCTTCTCACTTCTGCTTCCTTATTAGTTCAAGGAGAGAGGATCTATTAAACAGGAGAATACACTATCTGACTGTCTTACAGTAGCTTAGATCCTAGTTGGCCTAAGACAAGACAGTGATGATGAGGTAAAAGGATTTGAATTATAGATGATAGCGTACGTGTGAGTATACTGCACAGTTGCATGTGAGACTTCTTACTGCTTACTGGACTCGGGTAGTGTCCCTGACACATGGACGGGCCTAAATGACACATCCACAAGGTGCTCCAGAGTTGTATACCTCTAAACACAAACTGTCTGTGGCAGAAAATAACACTGCTGGTACAGTATGTTTGTAATCCCCAAGTTGACTATCTCAAAAGACAAAAAAGTGGCAAATCCTCACATTTGACAAGCTGCAGCCAGTGTTTTCTCTGTATGTTTGCCTAAATGGAAAAGGAATGGAATGGAAATGAATGTCTTACTGTGTGTCATAAGAGTATTTACACATTTCTCACACCTGTCTCTCAACATGGCTGTTTATCTGTTTGTTTTCTACTATCAGTATATGGTTTAGCAGTGCTAAGACAGTTACAGCCCCACTGTAAGCAGTGTTGTGTGTGTCAGCATGGAGCAACACAGAGCCATGGCTAATGGCGAAGCACTCCCCATTGCTTTTTGAACATCGCAGACATTTTGAATTGATTATATTTATTCACATGATGGACCTGCCAAAACCGACTGAGCTTTTATAGTTTAAACCAGTGGAAGATGTTATTCCTGGAGCTTTGGCTAGTCTGTATAAGCTGGTAATTGATTTGTCAGTTGAGAGAAAAAGATCAGTAACTGACAATCAATTAATTATTTAAGCAAACAAAAGCTGTGAAGAGCTACACTTTGTCAGGTTTCAACTTCTCAAATGGGAGGATTTTCTGCTTATATCACAGGAGCCTGAGTGTTTTTGGATTTTGGACAAGTGGTGAAAAAAATAGATATGAAAAGTTGTAACTGGCATTTTTTCACTCTTTGTTGAGATATTACAGACCCAGTGACTGGTGGATTTGTGATCATTTGGTGCATACTTCTGCTAAATGCAGTGTGTTGAGTAATCCTGAGTGGCAAACATAAAGAATGGCTTATTTAAGAAGAATCCTAAAAACTCATGCTTCAAAGAATAGAGCAGGGCATCTTTACTGAGCATCTGTGAGTTAGATTAACATTAATATTGATGGAGGATCGGTGTAAAAGCTGAGGAGAGGCACAGACCCTCATTTATTCAAGGGACGAACTAGACGACGTGTTTGATCAGTGAAAGTGTGGCTCAGCGTCTGGTATAAACAACAGCGCTGCATCAGAATGAGGAAGGCAAAGTAAATGTGCCAGTGTAACTTCTTGACCTTGTTTTTTTTTTTTTCTCTTCAGATGAACAGCAAGCAGTGAGCTTGAGGACGTGTCAGAGAATGCTCCTGATCCGCGCGGCCCAGTGCTGAGGGAGCCAGCTGGTGCCCACCATGTCTCACCACCAACATTACCAGCGAGGCCCCCAGGGCCGCACCTTGAGCTCTGAGGAGAGGACCTCCATGCCAGTCAACAAGAACGCCACACCAGTTCACAAGAGTGCCTCCTCCTCTTCCTCTTCCCAGCGCGACAGCCGACAGGTAATTTTCAGGTCACAGGAGGGGAAAATCCATCTGGAAATAGTTTCTAGGGATAGAAGCATTTTATAAGAAGATTAACTTGAGCAGAAGTAATATGGGGAGGAGTGGATAATATTTTGAGTTGCTGCAGTCTTCTGCTAGAAGGCAACTTGGCCCGTCAGGAAACAAGTAAATCAGGAAATATTCATTCAGCAGTTTTAGTGTGTGAAACCAAAACAGTCAAAATTATTATGATGTGATGATGTATGTTATAAAATCAGCTGCCATCATCCAGAGTCACTATAAGAGCAACCCTGAAATTCTTTTACGAATCTCTTCCCGTGTTTCTGTCAAACCCATATTTTGATGTTAACAGAAATAGAAAAGCAGCATTGCTTTGTGCACTTCTGCTATTAACAGAACACACAAAGTGGAAAGACATGACCTGCAGGTGGAAAGATGCAGACAATATGTGGTAATAGTGTGTACATGATATTATGACCACTGACAGGTGAAGTGAATAACATTGATTATGTAGTTACAGTGGCACCAGTCAGTGTGGGATCTATTAGGCAGCAGAACATTCAGTCCTCAGAGCTGGTGTGTTGGAAGCAGGAAACTGATCAGTGTATTCCCCTTGTGTTCAGATATACAGAGCTACCTTCTCTGATGATTGGCTAATGAGTAATTGTTTATATCCCCTTGAAAAGTCCATTGACTAACTGGCCCTCAACTCTAAAAGACTGATTAGCTGATTAATCAGCTAAGACAGACTAGCCCTAATTCCCTGGTTAGTAAATAAGAACCATGCAGAGGCACTGTAAACAATGAAATGCACGCTTATTTCACAGTTCATTGGAATCCTGTTTAAAGTTAACCTGTGCAGAAAAGCTATGTGAAGCGTCTGGCCCTCAATAACTTCGCTGAGCTGCTGTGTCACTGTGGCCGTGCAGAAACAGGACACCAAAACGTGAATCTCTGACATCACAGCTTTTCCATCGGCACTGGCTGATGAATATTTCATGAGGGCCAGGCGGAGGCTCGGTGCTCCGCTGAACATGTGGCACGCTCTGGTGTGCTGTGTGGGAGCCCAGCTTGTGTCCCCGGGTGATGGCTCTCTGACAAGAAAAGGGTGCTGGTTTGAGAAATGGAGCCTGTTTTAAAAGCAAACACGAGGCTCGATGAGGCAGACGGTTAACCCCTCCAAACCTTCAGTTTATTGTTCCTTTCTTTAATGCTTTTGATAACAAGCCCTTGATGACTGAAAGGGCTCAGCATTTCATCGCTCATACACTCCAGAATCTTAAAACCAGGTTAATTTAAAAGCACGGTTATAAGGTCTTCTTTTCTTATCCTTTTGTTTTAATGTATTTAATGACATCAGATACTAGACAAAGAGTTAGCTGCAAAATTGTAAATTTTGTAAATTAGTTCTTGATTGTTGCAGCTGTTTTGTGTTATGATTCATCAGTTTGCTAAACACGGTGTTTGCAGTGATATACCTGTGGGTGATCACGATGCTGTATGTAGTAATTACAGAGGCAGGTGTTATCATTCAAAAACACAGTTAGTGACAGATCCTCTTCTGTTCACTTCAGCTGTGACAGGGGTTCTGTCACGTTTGGCGTGTACAGATGCCAAACAGAGGATGTGGTGAACTCAATTAAAGAACCAGACGAACTGAGGTAACGAAAAGTTCTTTACTAGAAAACAAAACTAACAAAAGTCCAGGATATCACTTAGGTCGATAAGACAGTCCAGGGTCGGCGCCGGTTGACAGGTATATCCAGGGGATCCAAACTCGAGGTCAAGGGGAACAAAAGCAGAAGGTCGGTACACAGCAGGCGATCTGAATCTGAGAGGGCATAGACAAAACACGGTGGTCAAGAAACGGTAATCCTAGGTCAAACACAGAGAGTCAGGCAAGGGATAAATGCTGGAGAGTCAGAGCTGGGGTCTAGAACAATCTGGCAGCGTCCTGGTGGGAGGACGCTGCCTAAATAGAAGGGAAAAACAGGTGCAAACAATAAGGAGCAGGTGAACTAATGATGATTAAATAAAAGGGCCAAAAGTGAGGTGAAACAAAACAGGAAGTGATGAGAAAATAAAAGCCTGACAGGAAGCAAGAGGGGCAGGAGCGTGACAGGTTCAGCTCATAACCTTTGAAAAATGTAGGATGATGTTTTAGGAGATACTGACATTAAAGCCTCGGTGAAAGTGTCTTTAGTCACCAAAATGTGAGGTATGTCTGAGTAAAGCTGAGTATGTTTGGCCGGGTGTAGTAAATACTCTACGGATTGGGTCACTCAGAAGTAGGCATAGCTTAATAAATACAGTGTGGTACATAAATTGTAAACAAAGGTTTTGCTGACAAATACACCTCTGAGCCACGACACTGCTCTGCTAGTTGCTACAGTCGCCTACTGTAGTAACGTTTTTATTCGGACTGGTGGAGCTAGCTTGTCACACCGCATCTCATTTGACTTGAAAAACCTTTGCTGCCACCTCAGAGTTCAAGATGAGCGATCAGAAATATTATAATGTCTTAGAGGAAGAGAAAAGAGAGGGATTCTGATATAAAACACCTCAAGATATCTATAGTTTTGAATGCATTAATTGGCATGTAACAAGAGATTGTGGACAATTAACTCAGGGACACGGGACCAAAACATTTCAATAACTATCCCTCTTGGTCAGTGGAGACAGAGGTGTTCAATAAAAGGCTACCTCCGCCCTTCCAACCCTAATACAAAGCTAATAATTGATTATTATTATAGTTGATGAGACAATCTCACCACAAGGTCCTTTTAGTAGCTGATCTGGAGCTTTCGATTGTATCACATGATCGTACTCAACGTGTAGTTTGATGAGTTGTCGTGAAATTTTTGTAGTTCAAAACAGAATTCTTAATGACTGGGCAAACTTAATCTGGTGAGGGAGATACGATTGATAGCTCCAGAACAGTTGCTAAAAAGACCTTGTGATGCAATTGTTTTTTCAACTGCAAACTATTATTATTGTCTAATGCATTATTATACAAGTGTCTCTATAAACATCACTGGCTGGTTTGAGAGGACGTGTCTGGCATCAATAAGTGTCTCTAAATCTATATTGATGATATGCAAAGTTATGCGTACACCTTAGTTGTCTGTTAACCTTTATAATAGCATTATGCTGTATCACTGTCTGCTTAGCGTGTTTTGTGCAGGGGGTTTTTGGTGATACCGTGTTGCTGTAGAGAATAATGTACAGTATAGTACATCATCCCGAGGGACGCTCTGAGGAAGCACGGTAGACGCTGAGAAAAGACCTTAGCTAGCATGGCTGAGCCTTTGTTTTTGAGGAAAAAATGAGAGCAGGGCATTTTGTTGGGGGAAAGCCTTAATGAGATCCAGCCCCCATTTTCCAATCGATATATGTCACTTTCCCCTCTGCTGACGACTGCTGTTCACTCTGCAGACCCTCATGAGAGCCATTAGAGGTGCCACCTGCAGTATGCATGCATACACACACACACACACACACACACACACACACAGAGGTATGGATCAGGATATTACCTGGTGATTCAGGATGTCGCTGCAACCGTCCATATTTTCTCTTGCTGCTTGTCATTTCCTGGTTAGAGCTGATGTTTTCAGCTTAGATTAGATAAATGTATGGAATATTAAAGATTTTGATTTGATTTGATTTATGAGAATAGTGAAATCAATGATGTGATTATCAGTTGCTATAAGATCAGATAGTGGCTATTTCATGTTAAGAACCAGCTCATACCGATGTTACTGTAGATGAGCAAGTGATGGGGCACTTGCCGGCTCAACTGCATAAATTTAATTTAAAAGATTAGATTTACTGTTATTCCATGACCAGGTTACCAAAACAGACCAACTCAAGAACAGAGGAGATGATCTCGATACAGAACAGAAATAAAATGGAAATAAAAATGTAAAGCACGGTGCACAGAGGCGGTTTGAATCGCAGAGAGTTTTGGGATAGCCTGTGCAAGTTGGGCCAATCTTTCTATGAATATTTCTAATTTAAACTGAGGTTTGCCATGATCTTCTCCAAGTCACAAACTATCTTAATGCCCTCCTATTGTGTGATCTGTTGTGAAATTCAAGGGCCTCATTGCATTTTGTACAAGGATCACTAATTATTGGTCCAAAAACTTGGCTGGAAACCAGAGTCAGGCCCCTCTCACCACAGTGTGTAGACTCTGGAACAACCTGTTTAGGCTGGTATGGTTCTTTATACAAATAAATCAGTTGTTTTAATAGAGTTATTACTGGTCTGTTCATGGGTTCTTCCTGTTGAAAGTCTTCTTTTCTATACCCCCTGTTTTCTGCCTAACAGATTTTGTCAGTATAAATCAGCTGGGCCAAAACTCAAAGTTTCTAATAGCTTTTTCTAGGAACTTTCAACCACATCTCACAGCCTTCTTCAAAGGATGGTCTTTGTACAGTTGTCACAAGGATAGCTTGGTTGTGTGACGAAAGCAAAACAACCAAATGAACTCCGTCTGTTGAGAAAGGCCATAAGAAAGCCCAGAAGAAGTTAATAAGTGGCCTTGAGTTATCATCTCACATCCACATCACAGAGCTCCCCCTCCTCTTTCTCAGTTATCCAAAGATGTTTTCATTGAATGAGCAACAATATTTCATCTATAAACTAGCAGGTCAAACATGTAGGTTGCAGGTTTGTAACTGAGTCTGTTGGTGTTTACAGAAAGCATGAGGCTGTGGGGTGTCTTATCCACATAGCAGCCTACACTCCTACTCTAAGTTTTACTGCTGAGCCAGCCACACACTGCAGTGAAATCCATTCTCGCAACAGTTTATTTGTGGTTATTAGTTGCTGAAATGTCATGGTTCAGTGGTGATTGTGGAAGGCAAAGTGGGAGCAGCTTACAGTTTTTCTATCTATGACTACAGTATCATACTCTCACATAGTGTGTTCTTACGCTGTGGTACAACAGGAGACCACATAGTGTATGCTGCATTTGTAATTATGCTGATAGGCAGCTACCTGGTCATAAAGCTTTTCAATTAGTGTACTTTCACCATCTCACACTCTATTAATGTAGACAATTAAATCATTTATGTGGACCAGAACAAATCATTTTCACAAACTCAACTAACAGTTGCCCTTGGATGCTGTTTACAGAACCACTGAATGGTCCTCATGGTTTCTTAAAAGGTTGCATGCGTTATCTTCAGAAAGTTCAAGAACGGCCACAGTTGCAATCATTTTATTTTATCCTTGATCATAAGTGAACTGTCTTATCTTGCGATAACACTTTCTTGTAACTGGGGCTGCAACTAATTATTATTTTCACCATCAGTTAATCTACAGATTATTGTCTTGATTATTCAGTGTATCATTTGGTTTATTAAATGTCAGAAAATAAAGAAAACTGTACTTTTTCCCAGACCCCAAGGTGTCCTCAGATGTGATGAGTATTGGTAACATCAGTCCAAAGCCCAAATACGTTCAGTTTGTAATGATATAAATATATAGAATCCTCACGTTTGAGAAGCCAAAATTAACAATTTTTCTCCTAATTTTGCTAAAAGAAATTGATACTGAATTGAATGCATTACCAAAATGTTAATTAATCAACTAACCGTTGCCTTAATGGGATAATTAATACCAAGATAATTAACTTGTGATCTGAAGATAAGGTGATAAAATGAACTGATTGCACTTACATTTTGAATGATTAGTGATCATGTTAATCCCTTAAATTTACTACTCCCTTTTGACAGTTCCATTTATTTTGTTGTTCATATTATTGCATCATTACATTTTACTGTGGCCTGAACACACTATGGGTAAATTAGGAAATAAACGGAGATGCTTGAAAACAGAGAATCTTTTGATTTTTCTTTGATTTTAATGTGCACACACCTGCCACTTTAGTTCAATGTGGCGTTTCCACCTTAACATTTGTGTTTATGAAGCTAAAAATGTTTCAGTTTTTTGTGAAACTGTCATAAATGTATAAATTCAATTATATGATTATTATTGAGGTCATAGTTAAAGGTGGTGTTGCACTGGACTACATTACATCTAGAAGCGTCTCTACATTTTTGTCCTCGCCGGCTACATACATGAGATGATCAGAATATTAGGAACACCTCTACAGGTGTACCTAATAATGTGGCCAGAGAGTGTAGTTGGGTTAAAGCAACGCAGCAGTTTTTCAGCAGTTCAGTAGAGATTGTTACTCCACTCATACATTTATGTGAGAAGCAGATGTGTCATCAGAAGTGGGCTGAGTACTGATATTTATAGTGCTCATTTAGAATGAGGTGTCCCCAACGTGTGTTTGTCCTTTCTTCTGCTCAGGCAGACCTTAACTGTAATAGTTTGATACATGGCAGCATTCAAAGATCTACTGTGCTACACCGCTGGGCGTCACTTCAGATGGTCACTCCCATAAGACTTAGACTGTGGAAGTGACACAGGTAGACAGTCCGATTGATTTTATTTATTTATTTTTTTATGATTGGGATTATAAAAGTAATTTCACTATTTACTGTCATCTCATCAAAAACCTAAATGAAGTTATCCTGTATCAAACCTTTTTAACTCCTGACAAAGCAGGCAGCCTCTGACTGAATCTGCCACAAGATCTTTCATTAAAAGGGTAAACTCACCAAGAAGGACTGGCCCATTCATCTTTAAATTATTCTGCAGAGAGAGAGAGAGAGAGAGAGAGTGAGAGAGAGATCAATGAATGTGAGCAGAGTCCAGGAAATCACTGTGACTTAATTCACTTGTGCTTTCAGGTTCAAATAACAAAAGCAAATGCTCCGACTTTCGTTTACTCTACATGGAGCCAGAGTTTGTGTTGGCCGATCCTCATAAGGAATTTGTTGATTGATATCACTGGCTCAGACCTTAAAAGGACGCTTTATTTAGTGCGGTATTGACTTATCTGCTATACCGTCTGTTTGTAACGCTGCAGATAACACTCAGGAAGTTTGCGTTCAGGGTTTCTCATGCGATGCTGGCTGCCTGTAAATGAGTGTGCTTGTCATGTCAGAAGAATTAATGAATTGACAATTTCACAGGCAACATTATACAGCTGAGTTTTTCAGCTGATTGCTTTGAGTATTCGGAGTGAACTGCCAACTTTTACGATGTGATCACTTTAAATTGGTGAGGTGAATTTTACTATTGAAGTTCAGCTCCTCTGCTGCAGAGGGCAACTGAAAAGACAGCTGCCATCGGTGGAGAAACATGACCGCATTTCCAGGCAGATCTGTTTGCTAGTCATTAGATGTAAAAAAAAAAAAAAAAAAAAGCCATTGTCTTCTTTTGTTAAATGTTCCGCAAACCGAGCTCAGGTGTTGTCACGCACACTCAAAAAGGCTGCATTGTGCCGTGAAGGGCCTCAGGCTATTATTTGGTTTGCCAGAGAAGCTTGCGTGTGTCACATCAGGGCAATATAGTAAAACAATGGTGACCTGTTGCTTCCATCAATGCCACGAGCCTATGATTTTTGGTGCCCCACCCCCACCCACAAGGGTGTGATGTCTTACCTGTCCCGCCTGTCCCTTCTGTCCCCTGGACTCCACAGGTGTCACCTTGATTTACAGACCTAATAGAAGCAGAGAGACAGTCAGGAGAAGCTAATGGAGTAGAAATTGGAGCAGGGCAATAGTTTTTAAAAATATGTAGGGGGAAAGAATAAAGAAGTGTTAAGTATTCCTATTATTTTCCTCTGTCAAAGTGACAGTGGGCATGATAGCAGTCTTTCTTTAATGACAATAAGTGTATGTCCTGTCTTGTTCTTATTCTGAAGGAGTGAGTGGATTGGTTCTGACAAAGCGCTGTTATTTTCATTACTCTCTAGGAGGCAGACAGCTGGGAAATCATTGAGGGGCTGAAAATCGGTCAGAGCAATGTCCAGAGGCCTGATAAACATGAGGGTTTTATGCTGAAGAAACGGAAATGGCCCCTGAAAGGCTGGCACAAGGTAAGAACCACAGGCAAAGCAAGACGTGAAAGCTTTTGCTGCCGGTAAAAATACTTTCAAATGTTAAAATAAGTTTTCTTTTCATGCACCTTGCCTCACACTCTCAGGGCCTCCTTCACAAGCACATTGGAAATTGCACCACTATCAGCATCACATGCACCAGTGGAAACCATTTCCTGTTGTCAGCATATTTGAACGCACACAGAGTACACAACATGAATGTCCTATAGCTAAATGTGAGAGAATACATAGAATTTGTACTGAATCTGTAATATATGATCAAGTCTAATGTGATTGATATTCAGTGTTTTCCCTTTCAGTTATTTAACCAACACATTATTTTTGTGCTTGTTTTCTCTGCAGCGTTTCTTTGTTCTGGACAATGGGATCCTGAAATACTCCAAGTCGCCCATTGATGTAAGTAACCCTGATGTTAATCTACAGAAACAGGCCAGGGCAGCCTGACATCAGCTTGGTTTGGCAGTGAGTCCGCAGGAATATCTGCAGCACGGGTCGCACTGTTCACTGTGTTTCAACATGCTATGCCACTTTGCAGGAAAGCTCGAGTTTTACGGAGGAAATGCTATTTAACTCATAGCTGTGAAGACACCAATGAATCCTACATGTTGTACTCACTAAGAGTTCTTCAGTCCTTAGACTTTCATTGAGTGCTCGAATGATCATCAGTGTCAGTGCTTTGTTGAGCTGCAGATCAGAGTTGTTTTCATTCTTAAGCAGTTGATTACTCCTTTGGTAAACTCTACCTCAGACAGCAGTGAATAATGGCAAATAGAATTTCCTAGAGGCCAAGAGGACATCTTCACATCACTTATTTTGTCTGACCAAAAGTCCAAAACCCTAACTCTATTAAAAAGGAGGGGGAAAAGCAAATCTTTACTTTTGAGAGGCAGGAATCACTGAATGATGCTTGGAAATTACTCAACCGGTGGTTCTCAGACTTTTTTGTCATAATCCATATTCCTATTAGACAAACTCTATCTGATCAAATCAGCTGCCATGTCCCAGATGTGCTAGATCTTATAATAATTATGTAAAAGTAGAGTTGTTACAATACAAGATCTACTTTTTCTGAAATGTAGTGCTTTTGTTACAAGTGACTTGTGACCAGATAAAATTCTTAAGACAGGTTCTTTGGTTTCTTCAAACTATGGTATGAAAGAAGTGTGTTGTAAACTGAATTACACTTAAATTATGTGTACACAAAAGATCCAGAAAGGCAAATTGCATGGCAGCATTGATGTCGGCCTCTCAGTGATGTCCATCAAAAAGAGAGCCCGTCGTATCGACCTGGACACTGAGGAGCACATCTATCACCTGAAGGTAACGCTAATAGGAAGAGTCAATAGTGCCATTAACATTGAGGTCAACATATGCCAAAAGAACTTCAAAGTTCTCTGTCCTCTTCTTCTTTAGGTCAAATCTCAAGACATCTTTGATGCTTGGGTGTCCAAGCTGCGTCATCACCGGCTCTACCGACAGAACGAGATTGTGCGATCCCCTCGGGATGCCACCATGCGAACGTTTCCTCCCCCAGCTGCCGTGGAGACCCCCCAACCAGCTGCAAGCATGGTACATGAAGCCAAGGTGTGCTCGCCTTCTTCCTCATTGTACTAGTATCAGCGCTCTTTGGTACTCCCCCACTAACTGGCATGAACTTTTTGTTTGTGCTAACTTTTGCTTTATTATTCATCTTTGTACTCTAGATTATGCTGTTACTTCTCAAAAAGGCTCTCCTAGTTCTCTTTTACTGTAAATTGGGATAGTGTACCAGAATTTCATCTAGAAGTAACATACATAGTAATGAAAGGCTGACTTTGTGTTAACTGGTGGATAATGTTTTCCTGGCTGTAGCTCCCTATTTACCATGCTGACACAATGTCATACCAGTCTTTTCTTGTCAAGAGTCCAAATTTATTACACTGTGTGTTGTGTGTTAAAACTCTCTGAACTGCATTTGATATGGATCTTCCTGAACATTTTTCATCCTTACACTTTTCTACTGTTTCAGGCTCAAAAAGGCTCTCCTAGTTCTCTTTTACTGTAAATTGGGATAGTGTACCAGAATTTCATCTAGAAGTAACATACATAGTAATGAAAGGCTGACTTTGTGTTAACTGGTGGATAATGTTTTCATTTGAATGTGTTTCAATTGGACACTTCAGTTTTAGCTCTATGTGGTTGAAGTTAATTCAATATAAAATGTTCTTCCCAGTGTCCATATATGAACATTTTGCTGCATGTGACAGTTGTTCCACATTGTTTTCATTCCCCTGGCCCTTATCTGCCTCGTATTACCTGGCTAATTACTAATGACTGTGATTGTGTAGACAGATACCTGCCTAATGCAGTAAAGCTGATTGGACATGTAATTATATCCAGATCATTAGGATAACAACAAAGATTGTTTGTCTAGATTGTTAAGGGAACCCCTGGTCTCTATCAGTGTGTGTGATTTGTAAGTAAATGTGAGGATGCAACCGGTGGTTCTCTTGGGAGTGAGACTGTGCCACATGCAGCCTATTAAAGGTGATCAGTGGAATGTGGATTCAGAGCAGTTGGCTGCAGCCTGATGAGCTGTCCCCGAACAGCTTAAATGAAACACTCCAGTCTTAGAGTCAGAATGAAAGCTGTATCAAAGGCTTACCCACGATCTCTTGCAAATACTTCAGTCTGACAGCATGTGTACATGCTCCTAGTCCTAACATCAGGTAATGTATTCACCCTGCTGCATTTCATAAGTCTTTTAAAAGTTGTCAAAGAGCATATTATTTTCCAGCTAAGCACATTCATACAGTTAAACATTAGCTGAGAGCCACTGATACCGACCAGTGGCTCACTGTTGGCTGCTGAACACATTTGAACATCATGATATTCCTGACTGACACAGCACCGGCTTTTATTCCGTCTTTGTCAAATATATGTCGCCATCTAAAATGTGTCATGTTACCATTAAAAATGCAAGTCAAACTTCTGTTGGCTGTTTTTGCATCTTGTTTGGTCATTGTTTACAGTAGTCTTATGTATCAACTCTGTCTTTTCCGGTGTCACTGGTGCAGGCTAAGCCAAGCAGTTTCCCATGGACTCCGATGGCCCCCAGCAGTAGCAGCAACAGCAGCCTACCTGCTTCCTATAGTAATGGCCAGAGCAGGGTGGCTGCTTGGCTGCAGGAATCAGAGGAGATGGACAAGTGTGCAGAGGGTAAGGATAAAATCGATTTTACAAAGCAGCGGATAAAAAAATCCTGAGAAGACCACTGAGATGACAATATTATATGGGTTGCCTCAAGGTCCTGTACTTTGACCATTGCTTTTTTAATGCAGATGTTGCAAAATTCATTATTTCACACATACAGTATATCAACACTTGTATCTGAAACAAATAAAGGTATAGAAAAATATGCAGCATGGCTTGAATTAAATAAATTGTCAATCTAAAAAAATTCAAATGTTATGTTGTTTAAAGGGCAACATCAAATTAATTATTCAGAGTGACAATTATATATGGATCATCACACAGTTGAAATATTTTAGGGGTGTTGATTGATAAACTAATGGAGGAATCATTGATTTTGTGACTAAGAAGAGAGGGTTGTTAGCTTCTTATCTCCCCTGAATAACTTAGTGTTTACTGAATTTATGTACAACATGAATGAACATATCGGGTGCAGATAAATAAAATAAAATAAAAATAATGTTTCATGACGCTGAATGTGTTTGTGCGGGTGTGATTTTATTTATTTATTTATTTTCAGAGCTCGCACGATGCCAGTTCAACCTGACTGAGCTGAGTCAATTATTGCAGAGTCTGGAGATTCTACAAAGGACACAGTCAGCGCCCAACTTCACAGATATGCAGGTAAAAGAGAAACACGTGCACACACACACACACACACACACACACACACACACACACACATACAACACCCAAAGGGGAAAACAGCTTAGTTAGTGTCTCATTTAGAGGTTTCTTTCTGCAGTGCATTCTGGGCCGTGTGTGTGTTTGTGTGTGTGAGCAAGAAAAGGAGAGAGACAGTTTGTGTTAGGTAATGAGGTAGGTGTGTCACTGTAAGAAAAGTGCAGTATTTTAAATCATCAGCAGTCGCCTTCATTACCGTCTAGACAGATGGGACTGGGCCCTGCTCACAGAGCACCTGCCTGCTTCTCTAACTAAGCATTAGCTACTGAATTTCATTTTTTTTCTATTACAGTTTTTGGCTGAAATACACTTTTAACACCACACATTCCATTAGCCTTGAGACTTATTTTTTGCAATTCATTTGTCACAATGTTGTCTTTTTTTTGTCATCTCACTGCAAATCAATCTGTGTCTTAACTTTTGCTTTCTTTGTCATATTAATCACACTTTGCATATTTTGATCCATGCATGCCACAAAGACCAATTGTGTAGAATTGTCAAAGAAAGAAAAGCGCATGAACAGAAGATGGAGAACAAAAAGTGTCGCCAAAGATGCTAAATTCCGGCTTCAGGTACTTTTCTTTAGATTTCCTCTTGGATTCTATTACCTACTGTACAGACACAGATTTGCTCAGTAACTCTCTTTTAATTAAAACTGTACTGGGTCTACCTTAAGGAAGAAAACAATGTAGGGATGTAACGATATTTGTAACTTCACAATATCGCGATAGAAAAATGTCTCGGGGCTATGACGATATCTACATATGTTTATTTCATTAGTATAACTGCGTGCAATCACAGAATTGTAACAGACATAGCAGATGCTTCGTTGTAGACTTTGTTGTGTGACAGCATTTCAGTTTTCCCATTTCAATAAGCAACACGGGCGAAAAGGAAACTAACAAATGCTGAACACTTTGCAAATACTGCCGGACAAAGGTGTTACTAGCCCCGTTTAGGCTTGAGACAGTCCTGGATACGTCTCGCAGAAACACTCGGATACGACTATGCACAACATTTCAGTGGAGATGAGCAAACAAACCGGATGCTCACAGGCAAAACCAACCACCGCACATTATTTTATGTCATAAAATGACTCTTACTGATTGCTGTACTGTCTTTTATATGCATTATACAAAAAAACACAGATTTATTATTTTGTTAAGGGCTAAATATTGTATTGTTGACTTTTCATCGTGGCAATATCATTACATCCCTACAACAGTCTTTCTGTTTTCACTTAATTATAGTACAATAGATGAATACATTAATTGAAACACATATAACAACATGCATTTTACTCAATGTGTTTGTTGATTAATTCAATTTGAACAGGCACAATACATTTTCATATAAGGCACATCAGCTTTTTAAGGTAAAAGCAGAGTTTGGTGGTCACATGGCCACATGTCTGATTCCTGTATGGCTAGTTAAAGTGGTTTTTAGCAGGGATGGGTTTTTAAACATACTTTACCAGCTTTTTTTTTTTTTTTTTTTCAAATGGGGAGGTTGCTATAACACACATGCACAACCAAGACATGATTGTTTCTGCCGTCTGTTCTTTAGTCTGGACTACAGCTGGTACTTGATGTATTAGTGTGGTGTGTCAGGGCATGAGAAATGATGTAATGAATTTATAATGATTTTTAAATCTTTACTAATTTACCCTTATGTTGCTTAATATATTAATCTGTCTCCTGAAGAGACTAAATGTGCTTTCATACACTGTTTTAAGCAATAAAGGGTGATGTAAAACACTTCTATTGGATTAGTGATAGAATAAGAGCTTCTCAGTAGTCTTCTTTAAAGATCTGTAAAAATATCAAGTCAAAGACACCTGGACTTGCTGTTAAAAATAATCTGAAAAGGCAAAGTGATGCAGCTTCTTAGACATCTCACACACATCAACATCACTGTGCCTCTCAGCTGATTGACAATAGCCATCTTGTCTCTCTCTCTCTTCAGGTCCCTCTTTCTTCCAGCATGTCCCCTGTCCGCCTCCACTCATCCAATCCCAACCTGTGTGCCGAACTGGTGGACTATCAGCCCCCTGTCTCCCGGTTGACAGACAGCGTAGAGTGTGCCAGTGACTATATTAAACTTCAGGAGGAATTCTGCACTATTGCCCAGAAAGGTAGGCAGGCAGCATGCAGGGCTGCAGCTCCAGGATTTATTAGGCGAGATATGTCCCTGTGTTTTTTATTCATATGCCATTATTCAGGTTTGGATCTCATTTTCATATAGTGGTTTTACTTGGCTGTATGTATCACTAAATAACTTTGCTGAGACTCCTACAAAGAAGCATAAAAGAGGTCAGATGATCCAGGTTAGACAAACTTAAGATTTGCTGCTTTTCTTCATTTTACACTATAATAAATTGAATCTTTGGGTTTTTGACTGTTGACTGAACAAAGCAAACAGTTTGAGGACATTTGGAAGTCATTAAGTATTTTTCATTATCTTAAAACATTCTGTAGACTGAACAGTTAATCAGCGATAACTGCAGCCCAGGTTATAATTCTCAAAATAATGAGTGCGATCACTACAACAGGTACTACTCTAGCACTTAATTTGGCCAATGTTAACTCGTGTCAAAATTCCTTAGTTAGGGTATCACTGCCATCTAAAGGAGATTTACTTTTATCATTGCTGAAATCAGGGCAGTAAGAACACTTTAGAAGTGTGTCGTTACGAAACAATGCCCAGTAGTTAGTATTTGATTAGTGCCCATCGTAAAGTTAAATATTCTCTATAGTAGCAATAGAACAATGTAAAAAAAATACTCTGTTCTAAGTAAAAGTCCTGTATTCCAAATGTTACTTAAGTAAAAGTACATAAGTATTAGCATCAAAACATAAAGTAGCAAAAGTAAAAGTACTCATTATGCAGAATATCAACAGGGGAAAAGTAGGCATGCCTTTTTGTCCTGTCTCTGTGCAGTGCACTCCCTGCTGAAGTCAGCCTTCAGCACCGTGGCCATAGAGAAAGAGAGGATCAAACAGATTCTGTCTGACCAGGAACAGCCGGACCAGTCAATCCAGATCACCTCCCTCAGGAAGTCTTTGTCACAGGTAATGAGCTGTCTTCAACCATTACCCATGATGCCTCTGTCCTCCTACTTTTCATTAGGATTAGTTCATCTGAACTGTCTGTCAGGGATATTTGGCTAGTTTATACTAAACACTAGGTAGAACTCTGTTTTAACCCATAATTACCAGGAGTGACATTACTGAGGAAATGTCTACTGTAACCTGAGCAACATGTCTTTGGTGTTTTTAAGCTCAAACCCATTTTGTAGTTATCACATTCTAAGATACGCTCACACTGACGAGCTGACAGATGAAACACACAAGCAGTGGTTTATGTTAAGCAGTCAAGGTAATCAGTTAAAAAAGATGATGAGCGGAGGCAAGTGAGTCATGACAGTCCAATCATCTTGTCCCACATTAACTGGTAAGCGAGAGAAATGTGGCGTGCATTTCATTAACTCTTCTCCTTAGGGCTGGCTCTCTACCCCAGTGATTTAATTGGACTGTTCCTCTGTTAACAGTTGACATCATTTCAGTGAAATCGTCCTGCTGTTTTATCTCCACTTTGCGTCTAATTGGCTGCTTATGTGATATTGTTGTCACAGGCTGGAGGTCAGGCTTTTATGGCTAAGCTCTGTGGTTGGTTGATCGTCAGGAGTCAGGTTGTTACTACTGTAGTTCCTGATATTAGCAATTTCATTTTCTAATTTTTGTCTTTTTGAGGTTTAGTTTTACATCTGCACATTCCTACTTAAACCTATGTACAGAGTTTATTTTGCCCCCCTGGCATCACTGATATCTGTGCTCCCTCCTTTTAGCTCAGCTTTGCTCTCCACTGACTCCTGGGGCAAATATCTGGCTTTTTAGTTGCTACCAGTGTTGATTTTTAAACAAAAATTTGATTTAGACATTAGTCTTTTGACAAAAATGCATTAGTTTTAGTCAAATTTTAGTCTTTTGAGTTTTGTGAGTTTTAATCTAGTTTTAGTTGATAAAAACTAAACATTTTAGTCTAGTTTGTCATTTTTTTCCCTTCATGTTTAATATTTACCGTATATCTTCTTCATCTTTGTTGTAATTACCATGGTTACATGTGTTCCTCCCGTCTTCCCTGAGGTTTGTGGAAAACTGTTTATTTGCCAAAGTTGGACTCACATTTCTAGGCTACTTTTCACAGAGTTCAGCCTGAGACGTGAAGCTAAATTGTCAGATAACATAAAAACAGTGAGAATGATTTACAACTGCCCACATTAATCCTGAAACTAACTCATTCATTGTGACTGCAACACAAAACATATCTGACTGAAAGGAGTGTTAATGTTAAATCTATGTCCACAGTGTTTCATGTTTTTCAGCAGGTCATTTAGTTACTTCATGTTCATTTGTCCATCTTTCACCTTATCATTTACTTTTTATTCAGTGATGAAATATGTAAAACATTTAACCACAGTTGTTATGAAATGCTACTTTTTATTTTGTTTTAGTCTCATTTATGTCTTATCTTATCTTGGTCTAATCTTATTGAATTTTTATCCCAGTCAGTTCATTCATTCATAGCAAATTTTCTCCAAGCATAGTGAGGACAATAAACTGTATGTTTCTTTATCCAGGCCCTGTCCCAAAATGCAGAACTGCGAACTCGACTCAACCGCATCCACTCTGAATCTGTCCTGACTGAACAAGTTGTCAGCGTGAACATCATCTCCATGCCTGATGAGGTAGGTCACTGTGGTCACTCTGTCACTGACGAAGCTAATTTCTGACGCCTGCACTGATGAAACACCAAGTCGGTTGATGCTGGTTAGGGTGTTGTAGTGTTTGTTTCCTGCATTTGCCAATTGCATTATTGAGTCCCGTCCTTAAGATTGATGGTCTTCCCAATACATGTTGGCAGGTAAAGCTTAAAGGGTCATTATTCTATGCATGAAGGTTAATGGAAAAAATTACTAATTAGAAACGGATGGGAGCTTGCCCTGTGGCAAGGATACAAATGCTGCAAGATAAACTCTGTGTTGTGTCGTCAAGGTGTTTGTTCAGGTCTGTTTTGGTTCTTAAAACTGTCATCATAGCAAGGAATAGTGAATGTCTTATGTGCTTGGTTGTGTTCCCCTGCAGGCTGGGGAACAGATGGGGATCCCTCTGACACAGCAGGCCTCTAATGAGAGCCGGCTCTCCATGTCGGAGTCTGTCTCCGAGTTCTTTGATGCCCAGGAAGTGCTTCTGTCAGCCAGCTCCTCTGAGAATGAGGTGAGGACAGTTGAGTGCTGAAAGGTGCATTAACTAAGATTTTAAGCATCGTCTGATAGATCAATTGAAAATGGGACAGCATGTGGTGTTTCTCTGCTATACTGTTACCTCTTCATGACAGTTTTTCCACTTACAGCACTTGTGTGCTTCTGTTGTTGATCCTGTGTTGTCAAAATATGATCCATAAATTAGCCCCACCTGCCACCTAGCAAAGGTTTTAAGAAGCATTTTTCAAACCACAAGTAGTGATTTCAGACAGACAGCCACAGAGGAGCTGTCGGCAGCTGAAAGTCTGAAACATTACCTCCCAGTCACGTTCCTGTGCACAGAGAGAGTGGTACAAAGAAGGAACAAAAACCAGGATTAACATCTCTCTTTGAGGTGGAGAATGTTAAAACTAGCAGAACTCAAATTTGATTGCAATGTGCTGTTCCTCTTCTGGATGTGTTAGCATCTAAAGTTAATGTGTTTGTTCTGGTAACATGTACAGCCTAGCATGGTCATGATTTTTACCTTCATGGTGAACTAAGATGATTTTAATTTGGGAGGAATTGAAGCTTTGTTTAACATTTTGGGTCACCTTAGCAGTAACCAGCGCTTTCTACCAGATAGACGAATTTACCCGTTAGTGAGCTAGCATGATGTGATGGGAAGGGCAGAGGGCAGGTAGGAGTGGTTTATGGTGTCAGTTTTCATCTCACTAGACCCTCTAGCAGCTGAACATGAATTAGGTAGAGTACAACAGCTTTAAGAAATGACAGCAGAAGTGGATCAAGGAGGGGGCTAAACTAGCCCTGCTGCTGGGAAGCTAGATAAAACATCACTCTAATGGCTGTGTGTGGAGCTGGGGTTAGTCAGCAGTTAAAGAGAGCAGCATGAAAAGGAGAGAGAGCATATAACAGCAATTCAAACAAACTCGGGCACAGAGAACACAAGGCTCTTTTTTTTTTAGACTGCCCTGAGGCGTAATTCTTCACTTGTGGCTCAGAATCATAACGCTCCTCTTCTGTCTGTTACTCTTGATTTTTATAGCTTCTGGCTTTGGTAAGAGCCAGTTTCGCCCATCACTTCAAACATAATTTCTGCCTTCTCCCCTTTAAACTCCTATAAAAACCCAGCTCTAAATATACATTATGTGGTTTCTCAAGAGCCATTTGCAGCTCCCCAAGCATGCATTGAGCCATGTTGAAAGATTACTCATCAAAGAAATTCATCACCCCCCATCCTGTAGCTTCAGTGGCAGGCCCATTCAGACATGCTACAGTGCTAACCAAGCCTTCACCAGCGACACACAACTGTAATAGAGGCAATTACCACGAGTGGCTACAATATGCTCCTCTTTGCGTCAATGGCCTCATTGTGTTTGCTATATGTAAAGCATAAAAATGCTGCAGTGTCTTGTCTCATGATTACTGCAGTGGGACAGATAACCAGCGACTGCTGCAGTTTGTTAGCCACTGGCAAACTGGAGGGGGGGGGGCACTGACTCCCTCCGCTGTGTACCTCCCCCCCCTCCCCGCCTCCCCCCCTACCCCCAACAGGGCTCAGACGATGAGTCATATGTCAGCGATGTGAGCGATAACATTTCCGAGGACAACGCCAGTGTGACTGATAACATCTCCAGACAAAGTAGGTCCAGTTCTGCACCATCACAAGCCTACACCAAGCATTTGTAGTTCTCTGTTGGGGGGTGGGGGGATTATAAAGCAGGGGATCCCACTCAGTGACTCACACATACTGCCAAGCTGATTTATCACTGTGGCGGAGGCAGTGTTACTCCGTGCCAAGGGCTTCTCTTACATTTTATGAACACTACCTGTGAAAGGAGGGATGGGGTCTCCCTCCTCCATCTCTGTCACATACCACACAGTTATTTATACACACACACACATACACACACTATCTTATGATCTTGAAAAACTCTTGGTTCCGGTGCAAGTCTGGAAAAGTTCTGAGATTGGCGGTAAGAAAAATGAAAGAAAGTACACATTGTTTAGTCTTGATGTGTGTTTTACTAAGCTAACATCAGCATTCATTATATAAACTTATGTTATATAACTAATAAAAATCGAATTCAGTGAAGAAACACCAAACTGCAATAAAATAATGTAGGCTAGGTTTCTAATCAGAACTAAGAGGGGTGACCTTTTCACCTCTGGTTACCAGTTAGTGTTTTAGGACTGATTTTAAAATCTTATTGATCACTTTTACGACTCTTAGTAGCCTGGTTCCTCACTCTGTTTTGGACCTTTTAGTCCCACAGGAGCCTGTACAGATGTTAACATTCTGAGGCAGACATACTTTATCTATTCCACTGTCTGCACTGCACCATGCTAATAACCAGAAGAGACAGAGAAGAGTCTTTGCAGTCATTATCCCAAGGCTCTTGAACTGTCTGTTCTTGGCAAGCTGAAGGGATGACTGAATCAAAATCAGCTTTTAAACCTCTTCTTGAAAGAAAGTTTTACTCTGATACTACTTGAATTGGCTTTACCTATTTTATTGTGGTCCAGTTACTGTTTGTTGTCTAAGGCTGCAACTGACAACTTTTTTTTCTAGTACTGCTTGATCCGATTTTTCTTTTTTCAGTAATTGATTAGTGGTCCTCCATCCTGTACCCTTCTTTCAGAGGTTCAAAATCTAGTTTTAAAACCTTAATAGTTTTAGTTTATACTTAGCTCTGAGTGAGTTTTATGAAATAGCTTTAGTTTTTTGTGTTAAGTAATTAACATGCAGTAAGGCTGCCATTATGTTTATTATCAATACATCTGACCATTATTGATTCAGTGTATAAAATGCCATAAAATTGTGAAAAATGCCCATACCTATTCCCTGAAGCCCAAATTAACATAGTCTCATTTTGTCAAACGAGCTATAAAAATTCAAACATGCTGATTTCAGCAACATAGACAACGAGCAAACAATGGGGGATGCAGGGACCAGTGGATTCTTTAGCATTTTTCAGCAGACTAATTCTTTAATCAGCTAATCATATCAGCTCTAGCGCACTGGTTGGTTTCTGGGTGGCAGGGGAAATAATGAAACTTGCATTTATAGCCATTTATAGTGGGGGTCAATAGGGGCCCGACAACAAATCTTTCCTCAGGGCCCCTTAAGAGGTTTAATCCAGCCAAGAATAAAACCTTCACAATTTAGAAGTTGGAAATAGAGAAGTTCAGGCATTTGAAAAGTGACAATTAATCAACTGTTAAAATAGTTGCAGATAAGTTTTGTTCATTGACTCATTGTAGCAGCGTCACTATTGCTCCCTAAAAACTCCCCATTTGGTAAATTTCATGCTTTTGTGATTGAGTTTGTGATTTGATTTTAATGTGCTGCCATGTTTAAAGCACCTTGTAACATAGATTTTTAAACATGCTCCATAAATAAAGATGATGATGATGTATTATTATCATCATATCATTAGGAGCATGTTTCAGAATATGGCAGCAATTATCACAGATAATGTTGTGGTGTGACTGTTAATAAGGTATTGTTGGTTACACAGTGGCCAACGGGGACTTTGCTGGCAGTGCCTTTCGTAACGGGCGACGCACCTGCTTGCCGGCGCCGTGTCCTGACATCAGCAACATCAACCTCTGGAACATCTTGAGAAATAACATCGGCAAGGACCTGTCCAAAGTGTCCATGCCTGTGGAGCTCAATGAGCCTCTCAACACACTGCAACGTATGTGTGAAGAGCTGGAGTACAGCGAGCTGCTGGACAAGGCTGCTGAGACCGAAGATCCCTTCGAACGCATGGTAAAGGAGCCATCAGATACAAGCACTGTACCAGTCAAATATGATTCAGGTTGGGTGTTAAGTCTAAAGAACTGCTTGGATGATTTCTTCTTCTCTATTGATACTTCTAGAGTAAATTCTGCAACCAAGGCTTCTCAAGTTGACTTTCAGATGTATCTTATATATTTTTGTGTCAGTCTTACTTGCATTTGTTTATATTAGAAGTGACATGGCCAGTCAACATAAATAGTCTCTCATTCAGAGGCATGTCTGTGAGATATGCTGCAAAGCAGCTGTTGACCTTGGATCCTCCTGTTTTCATCCGTCGTCTGTCCTTTTGATATTGTCACTTGCATACTAATGTTTGGCTGTTAATATGACCTGGTTGATCCCCTCATATTTTTTGGGGGGGGCGCCTTGTTTTGACAGGTTCTCGTTGCTGCTTTTGCCGTCTCAGGCTACTCATCCACTTACTACAGAGCAGGAAGCAAGCCATTCAACCCACTACTAGGAGAGACATATGAATGTATTCGGGAAGATAAGGGCTTCTGTTTCTTCTCGGAACAGGTACATTTATGCACAGTGTGTTTTGTCTACTGCAGCAAACATTTAATGATATTAAGTGTAGACGTAGGTGTATTATCTTGGCTAGATAGTATGTGGTTGGTCCCAGGTTGGGATTCACTTGAACAAAACAATCCCACTATTTGATTTTAAAAGTTCACTCTAGACCTTGGACACATCAAGGACCATTTATTAGCTGTTCTTGAGCTTTCTGTCATATATGTAGAGGAGATGCCCAGTTGTCATGGAGATTGTTATTTAATTGTAGACGCTTCATGGTAGCTCTAATACACAGCTCCAGAATTTACTTTTAACCTTGTAAACATCCGTATTTTATGAGGCAGTAGGTGTCTTATTTATGAAGGAATAACTGCAGCATTATATTTGGTGTAACTAAGTCACTTCTCACTCCATCACTTCAGTTTCACCACACACAGAAATTAGTGTGACAGCACACTATAATTTGTATTCTACAGCTCTTCCTCACATATCACTTAACTTTTAAAGGCTGCAGTCTTGATAGCTTCAGTACAGAGTACAGTAGGGCTGCAAATAATTAACTATTCATTAGCCTGCTCATTATTTTCTTCATTATCTGAGTAATTGTTTGGTCAATAAAATGCCGGAAAATAGAGAAAAATGTATATTACAGTTCCCAAAGTGACATATTTAAATGTTTTGCCTGAGCAACCCAAATTCGTTCTGTTTGCTGTTATATTTCAGCATACTTTCAGCTTTTTCAGCTATCAAAATGTTCGGATCTTCAAGGACATTCATGCTTTTCTTCAAATATATAATACAGAGAATAGAATATAACCTTCACATTTTGGGAGCTGGAGCCTAAAATAGTTTGACAAATGACTGTAATGATTATCCAGTTCAAACTACATTAGGTGGTGTATATGAGGTTTGAGCACAACAGCTGTCAGATTGTTTTTATGTGATCTTTTCTCAAAGGTGAGCCACCACCCTCCCATCTCCACCTGCCACTGTGATTCTAAGAACTTCACCTTCTGGCAAGGTAGGTTACCTGTCTAATTAGTAAGGGGTTTTCCTCATGGGAACAGATAATCCAGCATGACTCGTTAATATCCGGCTGAAGTTTTACAAAATAAACAGATTTTATTTCCTATCATTTGGGTAAATACAAAAAAAATGGAAAGATCGGTGCATCGATGTTTTGTTTTTCAGATGTGAGATGGAAAAACAAATTCTGGGGAAAATCTATGGAGATTTTACCCATAGGAACTGTGACGCTCATAATTCCCAGGTAAGTTTGATTCCGCTGCTTTAGTGTAGTTGTTTTAGCCACAGATTTAATCCATGTCATTAAATCATCTCCCTCCGTGGTCCTGATGCTGCGTTCATACCATCATGGTTGTCGTAAACACCGGTTTGAGGATTTTAATTACATTCACATCAACATCCAAATCCTAATTGTGACGGAGGAACCGATCTTTCTGAAAACCCTGATATGAGTGCCTTGGCACTGTAACGTAGCTGGTAAATAAATCCCCTAGACCTGACAGATTATTTTACCAGCATTACCTCTGTCTTCACAGTTCCTAATAATACATAAGCATCTGAAAACCATATAAATGGACAAAACAGCAAACTCTACTGTCCACAGTAATTTAACTCAGAGTTGATGGATATAGTGTTATGTTGTAATAAAAACAATTTATCACAGACTCAGTGGCCTTTATTTTTTTCACCAAATATGAAAATGTAAAACACAACTGACTTCACATAAATGCTTATAACTCTGAGTATTACAATATCTCTCGTGATCTGTTAAATATTTGACCGAGCAGATGTTTTACACAGTGGACCGGTGGCCAGGTGTGTGAAACCGTTCTTTACAACAATTTTGTATCCTGTCATAATGTCCTTTAGAAAGAGAGATCTACAAGGATTTCCAACCTGATGATGATCCTGAGAGGGAGGTTTGGGGATGAGTGAAGGGCGATCATTTAGACACGAACCAGTACGACTTGGTCCCTGATTAAGCTGCTAGATAAAACTGGATTAAGACTTTTTTTTCTGTTGTTCAATGGGCATTCTTAAAAAAATAAACTCAACTGCAAATAAAATAAACAGATACAAGTGCCAGAGCTGAAAAGAAAAACTATGTAACTGTACACTCATCACGGACTGTTATCCTCTGCTCTTATGTGGTCTAGCAGCACCACAAGCTGATCAGCTGATTATGGTGCCTTTCTAGGTTTGGAGATCATTATGAATGGAACAAGGTCACCACCTGTGTGCACAACATCCTGAGTGGACGACGGTGGATCGAACACTATGGGGAGATCACCATCAGAAACACAAAGAGCAGCGCTTGCCTCTGCAAACTTACCTTCATTAAGGTGTAGTAAAGTTAAGACTTTTAAAGCACAGGGAATGCATTTTAATTCCGTTTTCACACTCAGTGACCAAAGAATGATGCCAAGCCAGTAAGGAACATAAGACCTACAGTTGTCATTGCATGAATTTATTGAACTTTGTATCAAATATTTGAAATCTGTAGCCAAATGTTTCTCACGTGCCACTTATTTGGGTCTAAGTAATTGTTGTATGGATCAACCAGTTAATTAATTGATTAATTTAGGTTATTGCAGAAAGACACTTTCTCATAATGAGATGATGTAGTGCAATGGCTGTATCTTGCAATTGTGACCATATTTTATTCGAACTGATACAGTTTTGCTTATATGACTATCTTTAATGTGTTCTCTTCAAAAAAAGAAAAAAGTCAATGACATAACAATATGCCTAAGCTAACAGTGCAGTATTTGTCTTGCAGGGAAATTACTGGAGTTCTAATGTAAATGAGGTTCAAGGATTTGTGATGGATCAAGAGGGGAAAGTGATCCACAGGCTTTTTGGAAAGTGGCATGAGGGCCTTTACTGTGGTGTCCCACCTTCTGCCAAATGCATCTGGAGGCCAGGTAGGCATCAGTTCCTCATCCATACTCAACAGCTAGGCTTCCTGTAAGAATTATAACTGGTGTTACTGGTCACTTTGGGTCCACTGGATGTTTTTAAGGGACAATCAAAAGGCAGTTTTGACAATAGGTTTTAAAACAATGTAAATAAATTGATTTTAGGGTGTTGATATGGATGTTTGTGTTCTTTCCTTGTCAGGCTCCATGCCCACAGACTATGAGCTCTACTATGGCTTCACCAGGTTTGCCATTGAACTGAATGAGCTTTGCCCTGAACTGAAAGACATCTTGCCACGCACAGATGCCCGATTCAGGCCTGATCAAAGGTAAACCATCCAATCCTCAGCTGGCATCATGAGCCCAGCTAACCTTGCTGTCCTTGACTGAGGAAAAACAGATTTTCCACAAAGTAGACTGAAACATCAGTGAAGTTCATTTGCTCATAAAGAGTTTGTCTGAAGATGTCCTGCTAAAGAATCTGAAAATGATATAGCTTGGTAATGCCATTTTATGTTCTTTGGATAACTTTACTGAGACATATCTTTGGATCACAGGTATCTGGAAGAAGGGAAGTTGGAGATGGCAACCTCAGAGAAGCAGCGTATTGAAGACGTGCAGAGAGCCAGGAGGAAGTGGAACGAGGAGAACAACATCAAACATGAGCCACGCTTCTTTAAGTAAGCACAGCAACACTTTCTGTAGGTCCACAACTAAAACTGTAAACACAAAGACACAAATATTCATGTAGAATTTGTGGAAGTTGACCACTTGTCACATCTGCGAGGTTCTGAGCAAAGCCAGTGCAGCACCTCTGTTACCACTAATTCATCTACAAACCATCATCACCAGTGCCATCTCATTCTTAATCATTAAACTTGAGACAGATAATAAATGATTTATAGTGCCCATATCTAAACAGACAGTGCATCATAAGGGGTAAAATCATAACCAGGGAAATAAAATGATGCCATCCATCCATCAGCTATATCACTTATCCTGAAGAGGGTCATGAGAGGCACAAGACCATGCTTCGCAGAAGTCTTTTGTGAACTGACACACGCCTTTATCAGAAATCAGGTGGTGACCTGAGGAAAGGACATCTCATGTCATTAATAACATGTTTCCTTGAATCCCTTCTCTTCACATTTTCCTTGCATCTTACATGAGCAGGACTAAGACACAAAGAAAAGATGCAAGTGAGGGAAACGACTGCTTATAAGAGACTTGGGATGTACCCACGCCCATTCACGCCTACGGGCAATTCAGAGCAACCAGTCACCTGGAGAAAACCGACAAAGACATGGGGAGAACATGCAAACTCCACACAGAAAGGCCCTGGTCGGCTGCGAGGTTCAAATCCATAACTGTCTTCTTGTAAGGCAACAGCACTAACCACTGCACTCCCATGCCACAAATGGATATTTGATCACAGTCATTAATTAAAATCGAACAACAGCTATTTGTGGGTTGACTGTAATGAAATCAGTCAAACTGGCCTGCAACCTGTTTACTAGATTCTCATCTCACCTTATTTGTTCACCTCTAACTCATCAAATCATCCTCTGATTGCTCTGGAAAACCATGTCTATGTGTTGTCTGCAGTATGTGTGGTGTGCAAATTGTTTTCCAAATACAAGGTCAAGATAGATTTTGCTGTCACAAGTGTCTCCAAGCACTATACTCACTATATACCGGGGAATTAAATTGTGTTCCTTCAGTGCTGCAGTGTACAACAGAATAGAAAACAGGTACAAAGGCAGGGAAGTGCAAGGAATATTAAGTTGATTCAGGTGCAGTGAATTAAAACATGTACAGATGTATCTGCGTTATGTATACAGAAGAATAATATCTGCAACAATTTAAAAAAAAGTCATGCAAATGGACACCAGGAATAGCGTTACCAGCAGAGTGTAAAGGGTATGTCCACAGTGAGCTGGGTACAGATGTAAACACCTCTCTTTCTCTCCATTTCATCCCTTCATCTGGGCTAAAGTGCCTTTCAATTTTAAAACTGAACGTTCAGGTTTTCCACTTGTTTTCTTCCAGGAAAGTGGTTGATGGCAATCACAGGGAGAGGTGGGTCTCCAACAACACATACTGGGAGCTCCGCAAAAACCCCGGCTTCATCAATATGGAATCTACAGTGAGCCTGTGGTAGCATATGGAATCCTACATCCATCATATCGTCATCACAGACAGGAAGGCTATCACCTATGCACAATAAGGTCTTAAAAGAAACACGTTACAGATAAAACATCCGCGTGCATGGATACGAGCGACCACAGAGACAAGGGATGGCCTGAAGTCCAGCGACCCTAATGAGGTCATGCATATGAGGAAACATCATGTAGGATCACTCTCATTGTGCTTGCCAAAGCTGGGTTGTCAGGGCAACAACTGTACCACTCCTGTGTAGATCCTTCCCCAGCTCCTTTGACTTCTGAGTATGTCCTTGCCTTAAAAAGACAAGTCACATGATTTAGCGCTTTTTAATTGAAGCCATTTGATTTCTGACAGCCGTTCGGGTTAGACTAGACTACGAAAAGACATTTTGATTACCTACAATACCATGCATGTTTAGAGAGCAGCTTTCACTGATATAAAGCCGTTCTTTACGATATTATCAATTATTGTAGAAAAAAAAAAGTATTTTTATAAAATATCTTGGAACTCAATCTAGTGAAAAAGAGTACTATGAATTGGCAGATTGTATTTATTTTTGCGTTTTAATGCTGTTGAAGCTGTGTGATAGCAGTGCTCTCTCTTGGGAAACGACTCATTTATAATTAATACCACCTGAAGTAGAGGAAGTATGGCACCTTTTAAAGCTGATCAGGTGCTGGAAGGAGAAGTAGCATTAAAATCTAAATCCTAAATCCTGGTGTTTTGGAGCCCTGATGACAGAAGCATCTACAGCCTACACATCTTTTACAGAGGTTTTCTTTTTTTTTTTTTTTAACTGTCAACACAGATCTGTCAGGAATTCCGGTTTCTCCTCCCAGTGGGATTCCTCAGTCTCACCTCCCCCAAACCATAACAACTTAGCCATGCCTCCTTTCCATCTTCAGCGATTGCCTTGCCCTGTCTCACGGTCTAATTTTAAACACTGTTACATGAAACCAGCTGCTGCAAATCACATGGTTACATAAATAAGTACATAACTCCCTCCGTATATAGTGGACTGACATTCAGTGTGTCCTCTCTGAATATGGTGAGATATACACCTTGGTTTCAGGAAATGATGGACTCTCAAACATCGGGCACTTCTCCAAACTCACCTAAGAAAGGATGGTGTAGTAAGGTGTTTTGAGTTTTATAAATATACCTGATTTGACAGAGAAACATGAGTAAAACTTCACAAAACCAAACATCTATTGTACATTCATCCACAACTATACAGCTGCAGGATGCAATTAATTAACATTTTTTATATAAATCAATAATCTTCTGCCCAATACATTTACAAATTCATATCACCATTTACCAAAGCCCACAGCAACTTTATTAAATCTACATCCTTACTCTGACTAACAACCAAATATTTTCTTTCATAATGGTATGAAGCAAAGAGAAGTATTTACTTTTCTCATTTACAAAACTATTAGCAGCAAATGTTTGGTGGTTTTCTAGATAAATTAACTACATTATTAATCAGTGATCAACAGGAATACATGTTCTGATCAATGAATTAAATCAGTTAATAGTCAGAACCCTGTGAATCCTACAGCAAACTGCAAACCTTTAGTCCTTTATGAAGCACTGGAGCCATCTACTGGTCATCCCACGTAAATGCAGTTTAAAACCAAACATGTTTTCACAGTAACAATTACACTTGATGAGCATTAGAGCTTGAATGTTATTGTGTCTGATTTCCCAGAGACTTTACTGCTATGACGTGGGCTTCTGCTAAGCACCTGTTACTTATCTGTAGTTTGTATATTTATTGCAAAGCAGATTAGCTTTAATGTTTTAACAAGTGTCCACCCAAGGAAAGTATAAGGCAGGGATTTATTTCAAATCAACTCCAACACAAGCTAGTAGTCACACACTGTCCACGTGTGTGAGGGCATATTTAAGTTGATTTCCCTCATTCAGGACCTCGGAACGAGGGCACGGAAGGAGACGCAGAGTGAATATAAATACATGAGAAAGAAAACTATGTGAAGCAAATCCATCCTGTGTGCACTGTTCACATGGTACTGTAGTCTAACAAACCAAAAAGGGTAGTACTGCTTTGCATCCACACAGTTTGTAAATGTACTTTTAATTTTAAAGTCAATCACAAACTCAATGCTTCGACTCATCAGCGTCAGTTCCAGTTGCTGTGCCTTAATGCATTTATTAATGCCTCACAAATACACTGCTGATGAGATTCCCCCATGACAAGAAGAAGGTATGCCGCTAACAAGTCAACTTCCGCACATCCTCTAGACTCCCACCTGCCTAAAGTTGAAAAATTGTATAGATAAACAGCGCTGACGGATTAGCTGACTGTTGTGGAGGGAAATGTTTTTGACATTACAAGTGGGGGAGAAAAGGTTTATCCAACTGTAAAATGTTCTGCGCTGCTCTGCTACTCCAAGGTGTAACCAGTACATTTTTGGTGATCACTGTAAATATAGCACATTTAGAAGAACGGTCACTTCTGCAAAAGCTGATTCCTTTTTCCTCCTAGATCGGTCATATTAAAAAAAAAAAAAAAAAAAACCAACAGCAGTTGTGTGTGGAGGTAGGGCCAGTGCTTTGTGCAATGTTTGGTATCACAGAGTCAAACAAAGTCATGCTTTCTTCATCAGCTGTTCTATCTGCATGCCTAAACACCTTAGCCTGCCAATGAATGTTGTAGATGCCTTACAAAAGAGTTTCATTTTCTGAATTGGACTCATGTTTTTTTCTTTTGCGACCTGACATGTATCACAAAGCACTGTGTCAGCTGAGTTTCTTTTCAGACCTGTTTCCTAATGGGTACCTTCTAAAGTGCAATTTTAACAAAGTACATATCTTTACATAAATACTGTACACTGCTGCTACATAGTGCTTGTTCTAATAAAACAGTAAAAAGGAGTGTGTGGTTGATCTTCAGAAGGCAGAGTCTACAGCTTTGTTGGGGAGTAATTATAGCACATTGTATATTTTACAGGTAAAGAAATTGCTAACGTAGCTAACACGTATTGAATTTATTAAATTACATCAGCCAAGGAAGCTAGTTAGTTGATGTTACATATACAGTCTTATGCAAAAGTTTAGGCACCCCTTGATAAATAACAGATTTTGGTGATTTTTTATTTGAACAGATGTTAACACAGTTTCTCTTGGAAATAGATCATTTATGATTTCCTTCGAATAATTTTACCCCACTCACCCACCAGCCCAAAAAAGTGCCTAAACAACCTGAAAACCTAGGGGGGGGGAAACCCTGCATCAGTGAATACAGTGCCACTCTTGAATATTATATTAGTGACGAAGTGATAGCACCAATGTAACTTCTATTTAATGTAGGCTACATTAGTCAATGTGTCCAAGGCAGGTTAACTTAGAATTCAACTCATTTTTCTGCCTTAGCCTGCAAGGACCTCACCAACAAGCAACAGCAATATTTATCGGATTCCACTGGGTATATTTTTGTTTTTATTACCTACTAACATTTACTGTATCTTGTTTAACACAAACTGAGAGTGAATGAACCAGTGTGTAGGCCTTTGTGCTAATACAGCAGGACATGCTGCCTCATAAATTGATGGCTGCTAAGTGGTCAGGTCCCAGGAGAGACCTTTCGTCCAGTAACATTGCACTGGCTTCTCAAGGCACCACAGCGGTCTCCTTTCTTAACACCATTATTAATATGACCATTAACAGACACCGACATTTGTTAACATTTAGTATTTATTTGAGGTTTATTTTCTGGATTCATAAACACTGTGGCTGGTATTTGTCTCCACCAGGGTTTAGTTCATACACCAGAAGGCATCAGTCATTAAATTTGGTAAAGAGACCACAGATTTTACTTCTATACTACGTACAAGGGGGCATACTGCAAAGGAATGGCAACAAACTAACAGAAAGGGCACACCGAGTAACATCATATCTATTTTGAGAGTAAACCAGATAACAGCAGAGGGCCGGTTGTATTGTAGGCTGCATACAGGCAGATGGAAGAGTGGATATATGATCAAATTAAAATTCTGTTACACATAAAAATGCAGACTATTTGTTCAAGTTTCACTTTAATTTTCAGGTGACATTTGCTCATTTAGTTTTCCATAAAAGGCAGGAATCACTGAAGTAAATTTAAAGTGTGAGATCTTTTATGGGCTGTCAGTATTCTGCCAGATAGATAAAAAAAAAAAAACTGTGTAATAATAAATTAAAATTAAACCAGCTGCCACCTAATACCATCTGCATCCTCACAAAAAAATAGGGAGGAATTTACAGCACTTAAAAATTAATGACCAAATAAAGCCAAACTCAAACTATGCGTACATGTAAAAAGGTCACGACATAGTGCTTTGTTAATATTATGTACAACAGTGACATTTAAAGAGCCCGTGTCATGCTCTTCCTTGTTTTCTGCCTTATCTACAATGTTACAATGGTGAATTATCATCTTAGACGTGACCCAAAACTTTTTAAAAAAATGAGGTGTGCGTATGTTCTAGTACTTCTCCATATCTCGCAAACTCGCTCGCTAGACTTTTTTTTCTAGCAAAATAAAGTGTTCCATGATAGGTTAAGGATTTCCTTGAATGGGCATAAATCCAGGCCATTGTGGGTTCATGTGAGCTTGTCTGACATCCACTGGCGCCCCCACCATGCTGGCAAAATGTTATACTGCCTTGCTTGTTATGTGTATTTTCAATAAAGCTTTCTCTAAAAAAAAAAAAACCCACACACATCCCACCGGTGCCATTGTAAAAGCAGAATGCTTTGACTGTGCCCTGTTTTGTGGATATATTTTACCTCCTGCTGCTGCACTGTGACCAGAGGATGTAGAAAAATCCAGAGCCTGAGGTTACTGCATGTCCGGGAGCGTTCCTATACAGGTCTAACCTACGATCAGCCGGCTAGTGAAGCCCCCATGGCGGTTAGTGATCGACTCATCAACTCTGGATTCCCCTGGAGCACAGTACCTGTTTGTTTTGACTGCTTGAGGCCAGACACGTTGCATGTCTGTTAATGCCTTGTTTCTGTAACATTAGAGAGAAATGCTGTAAGGCTGGAGAAGTTACTATGTCTGCATTATGCCAGTTAAAATATGGGGTTTCTCAACTACCTGCTTTGTTTAGAGTGTTACACATCTCTTCTCATTGGTACATATTTCATAGTTTACCTATCTATGAAGGAGAAATTCATATAAATTAACGCCGTCACGGTTCGTTATGCTGCTCACTTTCAGTAGTTGTGCACGTTCATGAACTATACTCTTGTTTTTAGGAAGAGGCTCTTTGGTTTTATCGTTCTGAAATAATTACAGACTATTTGGAGTTATGTGGGGTGCCAAACTAATCTAGAGGTACCCAAGGTTAAACATTAAATGGCTGGAAACAAGCAAAATGAGCATGCCATGGGCACTTTAAGTAAAACATGGCAACATCCTCAACAACCCAACATTTCAGTTTGATTTGGTTGTTGAGTTCCTCACAAATGTTCTAAAACTGCAGAGGTCAAGTGGATGTTTCTTCAAGTTACTGTAATGCATTCATAAATATAAAAATATACCATGACCTTATATCGTCCAGGGGCAGGAAGACTAAGTGGGAAGAATAATCTATAGCTGTTGTGGGACTGAACATCAGTGGCCATATGTGACAGTGTGGGTGACGTGGGTATTGACTGTGCTGGTGTTTACTTGGTGGAGGCCATGATCTTGATGTACTGGAGTGCACTATGTGCTGCATCGTTGTGCGCGTTGCTGCAGGAAATGCCTGTGCCGTGGCACACGGTGACTGGGGAGGTGGACAGCTCTGCTAGGCACTGGTACTGGCCATTCACTGTCAGCTCATCTGCAAAGTACAGACACAAAATACAGTCACCAGTGACCCAGAATGAATTGTGTAATTTGGGTGCTTTCAATTCTACTTCTTTTCTCCTCTCCTTTAGCCTATGACCTGGAAATCCATCCAGATCTGCCATCACTGATGATAATCCAATTCATTAAACCTGCAAAAATATTTTTAATTATTTGTTTTCAAACCAAAACATTAAATTTATGGATGAGACACCTCAACAATGGGCTGAAACTCCCTGTGAAGCTCTGTAAAGTCGAGCTACACCTTTCACACTGTTTATATTGCTGTATTTTTATTAAAATATCAATTACAGTGACATTAAAGTTATAATCCTTTAGATGTTCACAAAGTCGAGCCTCAGTTTTTGATATGTTTCTTTTTATATTATATAATTAAGTCTTTATAGTAAAGGAGGAAGAGATGTAACAAAGGAAGTGAGGAGCCATGTCAGCTGAATGGAAAGAATCACATCTCAGAGAGTGAAACACAGATGTAATGTGTCGTCTCTTACCAATATCGAAGTACGTGACCTCAAAGCCTTGCTCCTTGGAGAGCTCCAACATCATCTGAATGTAGTCTTTGTTGGGGATGCTCAGCGGGTTTCTTCTCAATAATGAGATCTTCTCTGCTGAGGAGTTCCTTAAGTTCTCAAATCGGACACATGGTTTAGGCGCCTGAACGTGAAAAGATAAGAGCGTACATTTTAAATACTCAGAAACGTTGCGGCTGCCTCTGGAGGTCACAAAAACACTAGAAATATCTGACATACCCATGTGATTTCAGAACAGTCTGACAGACTTTGAAGTTTCGCCAGAATTTTCTCTGCAGCTGCCTTTTTTGCTGCCTTCTTTGAATGTCCTACAGCTGTCAAAACATAAAGCAGAGGACGAGAAGAGAGTGAGCGACACAAAAATGCAGTCGCTTTAAATAATTTCAAATGTATTTAAAACACACATACCTTTCTCTGACAGAGACTCCAGTCGACAAGTAACAGTGAATTCTCTCTTGTGTGGCGGACCAGCCTCCATTAAAAATGTGTATTCAGGAAGACGCCATCCTCTCTGCAATGCAAGCTCCTACAATAAACGGCTGAACGTGAGAACAAATGGGGACATTTTCACTTACAGCCTAGTAAGCAGACACAGTTTTTAAACTACATCAGCTTTCCCCTAATGGTGGTTTATCTCTTTAATGATGTTCAGGGCAGAAAAACTTCCAATAAAAATACACACACACACACAGTCACAGAGAAACAGAAGCACACAGCACGGCACCACATTTACACACCTGCAGTATCCCCACTGAGTTGGTGTGGTGGTTTGTTTCTGCTGCAACACCGTTACTCTCAGACTTCACAGGAACATTCCTGTTAGGAATTATATCAAAGATGTTACACCAGATTGCCCTTCACTGCAGGCTGTCAGTTTGACTTGTGCCAGAAAATAATGAAACTAAAATGCCTGTGTTCATTTCCTACAGTTCAAGGTGACATCATTAAATAGCTTTTTATTTTAATTCAAGCAGCAGTTAAAAACCCAAAATATTAAATTTACTCTCATATCTGATAATGCGAAGCTCAAATCCTCACATTTGAGAAAAATGTTTCTGCTACATAAATAACTAAAACAATACATAAACTATCAAGAGTTTCAGATTTCTGTTATGTCGATCGTTGCAACTGTAGAACTCTGCATCTCTGAAAGTGCAAACAATAAAACATTGAGCAAATTCTGTAGTCAACCATCAGTTTTTAGTCTTCACTGATTAAACTTCCAATTATTTCCTCAATTAACTGTCTTAAAATGCCCAATGTAATTTACCAAAGCCCAACTATTAAACTCAAATAAATTCAGATTACTATCACAGAATACCAATATTCATGTTGAAGGACCTGCCAGCAGTCATGTTTTAGCTTTTTTACTTCTAAAAACTGATTTCAATGATAAACTGCTGCCAATTAATTGTACATCTGTCACTAATTATTTGAGCTCTACTCACACTGGTCCAGTGTCTATTTGCAGAATTTTCAGGGCAGCCTCTGCAGCGTGGTGTTTAGCAGCCTTTTTACTGGGACCTTGACCTGAAGCAAAACTCAATCATACACAAAACTTAACAGATTATGTAATACATTATAGAAATTATCTTTAAAAAGCGCCATAACCTCAGGTTCATTAGCCACCTGCAACGGCCAAACAAAAGTGGACAAATTCCTGTTTTAAACTCTGCAAGTCCACAAAGCTTCTTGAATTAATTGCATTTCACGGAAGGTAAATTTGACTAAATGTTTCAATATGTCATATAAGACTGGATTATTTCTTATCATGCACAGAGCTTTGCAAATGCTTCTTATTCTCTTCTCTTGACATGTACAGTTTTGTGCCTGAAGTGAGATATACTGGTTTAAAAACAAGACATATAGACAAAGCCGGCCCGAGGCATAAGAGATCTAAGCACCTGCTTAGAGATCCATAGATGCCAGAAGGCCTCCAAGAGCGTTTGAAATGTCCCACAAGACCCTGTTTATGCATATGTGCACTGTAATGGGCATTAAGTGCAATACGAAGCAAGCACAGTCTGTCAGACTAACGTTAGATTACAGGGAAAAATCAGCAAAAAAGGTAATGCTGCAAAAAAAGGACATATCCCTCTTGAGCAGAAAAAAGAAAGACGAAAACTAAGAATAAGAAAAACTGCAAGATAAAGGTACTGTATGTTTGATTACAGTATTTTACCTTTGTCAAAATCCACAGTGCAGGCATGAAAAGTACTGTCCAACTTGCCAGGCCTTTACCAAAGTTGACCTTGGTTATCATCTTGATCTACACCAACGACTGCATCTCTGCCCCCTCTCTGTCAAGCTCCTAAAGTTTACAGATGATACAACGGTCATCGGTCTCATCTGAGACGGTGACGAGTCAGCCTACAGATGGGAGGTTGAGCGGCTGGTCCTGTGGTGTAGCCGCAACAACCTGGAGCTGAATATGCTCAAAACAGGGAAGATGACTGGTATGAACATATTTCGTGTTCATACCACCTTACCCCCCCCGTCATACTTGGCAGCACTGTATCAGCAGTAAAGTCCTACAAGTTCCTGGGCTCCACTATCTCCCAGGACCTGAAGTGGACGTCCAACATCAGGACCATCACCAAGAAGGCACAGCAGAAGATGTACTTCCTGCGCCAGCTCAGGAAGTTCGACCTGCCTCAGGAGCTGCTGATACAGTTCTACAGAGAAATCACTGAGTCTGTTCTCTGCACCTCCATCAATGTCTGGTTTGGCTCAGCAACCAAACAGGACAAGTACAGACTTCAGTGGACAGTCAGGACTGCAGAAAAGGTCATGGGTGTGAGCCTGCCCTCCATGGAGGACCTGTACACCTCACGGGTCAAAAGGAGAGCGGAGAGGATCACTGCAGACCCCTCACACCCTGGACATAATCTGTTCGAACTCCTTCCCTCTGGACGGTGTTACAGGTCACTGTGCACCAAGACAACCAGGCACAGGGACAGTTTCTTCCCCCAGGCTGTCACTCTGATGAACACTTGGCCCATGACAGTATGACTGGACAATAACCCTCAGTGCAATACCTGTGTATATATACATTGTACAGGTCTATTTTTAAGTATTCTATTTTTTATTCCTATTTATCTCGTTCACAATGAGCATTCCTTTGTCTGTCTGCATCGTTTACTGCCTGTTTATACTGCTTAGTTTGTTACTTGTTAATTCTGTTAATTTTGTTATACTAGCCTTATGCTGGTTTACTGTTTGCTTGCCCCTTGCATGGGGATATGTACATGCACATTGAGAGCTGATGTACCAGAGTCAAATTACTTGTGTGTCCGACACAGCTGACCAATAAAACAGATTCTGATTCTGGTGATTTCTAGTTGGGAAAATATAGGCCATGTTTTATTAGACCAGTGGCACACAGACCAAGTCGCTAGTTTAGCGTTACCTTTGGCACAATCAGTCACAGTGATGAGAGAGAAAGTCAGAAGCAGCTCCTTAATTCCCCAACAAAACTCAAATGAAGCCAGGACAACAAGTTGTCATTTGACAGCAAAGCAGGAGTGACAAAAATACATTGTACTCTTCGAATTATCAGGGTGTGAATTTCAACTGAAATAAAAGAAGGTGTTCAATGACAGGTGGCTACCAACACAGCATGGGAGAGACTATTATCCTACCTGAGCAGCTCACGTCTCCGACTGTCACACAGAAGACGAAGCTGGGCTGGTGAGCCTCACCTTCAGCCTTCTCCATCACATATACAGGAAGGTTGCCAGTTTTGGTGCCATATTCATGCAGGATTTGTATAGGTGTCTTCCCAGGATTGCTCATCTGCATTTCGTGCATGTTCAAGCTGTGTGTGTTTTAACAAGAATTCGCAAACAGTTACCCAGGAGCATAATGTCTGCAAAGCAAAGTTTCCATGTACATTGTTTTCAGAAACACCCTGTTCATTCTGTCCGAAGAACACTTATGTTGCTACTGCTATCTTTATTGCATCTCTTTGTTTTCTGTTTGTCATTTTTAACCAGCACTTCACTGGTTTCTAAACCCATTAGAGTTACATGAGCAAGCTACTGAATGCCACAAACCTCTTGTCGGCAGTAGTTTGCCAGCTGGCTAATGGTGGCACATTTACAGAAACGTTGATAAATTTTCTCTCATTCATAGACTGTACACTTACAGTCAATGTTTGTGATGTGTTTAAACAAACATAAGACACCAAAATGAAAACACAAGCTAACCAATATAGACTTTATATTAAAGAAAAAGAGTAAACTAAAAAACATATTATAATATGTCTGGGGGCTGAACTGACAGTAGGCCTATATGACAGCCAAGTTATTACAGAGCGATATGGGTTTTGCAAATCAAGATTTATAGATAGAAAACATGCCATATATTAAATGAAGTATGCCGTTTGAACTGAGAATTTGCTGGTATGAACATATTTCAGAAAAATCAGAAAGAAAATTCATTATTAAAACGTAATTACAACATGACACTAAACATTTTACAGCAAAAGCGGCAACATTACCGCGATCATCCGGCTGACGTTAAGATAATCAGGATAGCTCTCTATGCTAGCGCCATTAGCTCATTCATTACTGGAGGCTAACGCTAAAGAGGCTAACTAAAGCAGAACAGCATTAATACCCACCACATAAACATCAAGACAAGAATTAAGACATGTCATTCTCGCTAATGTAAATCAACATCGAGCTAATAAGTGTTTATTTTTAGTTTCAGTTCTGCTTAATGCGCGGTGCACTTCACTGGTAATATTTAATTGCATCCGAAAAACTCTGCAATACGTAACGTTTTGACTAAATATATAAATAACGGTCACCAGAACCAACTAAATCTGATGAGAGTTAAATGAGCAAGTTAACGAAAGCCACACACCCCGTGTCGGCGGTAGTTTCCACTGCTGCTGGTGATTGATATCCTTCCTGGGACATGGTCACAGATTTCTATCGGGTTAATTAGACTCTATCGTTGGATTAAACTCTCCTACACCACTTCGGATTGCTTTTCTTGGCATCTATTCATGCTACTATGAACGATATGAAGTGACCTAAAACAGTTTGTGGGGATGACAGGTCGCTACAATATCAACATCCGGGTCAACTTCTTCTTCTGTTTTTCGTTAGCAAACCAAAAACAGGTGCAATACCGCCACCTTCTGAATTGGAGCATGACCAGAATAGACCTATGTTATATCAAGTCCTGTTTTCCTATCTGCCTATCATTCTCCAGGGACAGATAGCTACAGTACCACTTGCAAACAGTAGATGCCGCTTTAGTGTAACATGTCATAGCAAATGTGCTACAAATAAATTAAGGTCAAGGTCAAAGTCAAAAGTCAAATTTAGACTCTCAAGACTGAAAATTGGTTGTTGTATTTTATGATCATTTATTAGACTCCTGTCTTGGTGCCTGTGGATGTTTACAATAGTGTGTTGGGACATTATCTGGTTATTAAAGACAAACAGAGGTTTCCTGCTGTTTTAACTAGCATTAGATAGTGCTTGTTTATCTTTATTCAAGCACTTTGTTACAAGTCTATGTCTATAGATAGCAAAAATGCTGAAATGCCTGTTTTAGTTTTAAGTCTTCACTGAAGCATCAACTCTGTCAAAGGTCAAGGTCAAAATGTTTATTTGTTATATGCACAGTTACGAAACATGTTTCCCTGTACAATGAAATTCTTACTTTGCCGTCGACATGAATGCCACAAAAATACAAATGAAATATAAAGTGAAATGTAAAGATGAGCAATAACACAAATCTAAATAGGTAAAGTATCACAACAACAGTAAAATCACAACTCTAAGGCACTTTAAAGCAGCAAATGAAAGAAGCAAATAAAAATCCAACAAGAACACAATATAACGCAGAGAGAATATATGCTACATGGGAGCCGTGCAGTGCAAATATTCAGCAGAGTGTGTGCAATTACGCATGTGCAAAATGAGTATGTAAACAGTACAGATGGAATTACATGAGGTAGATCCTGAGTCAGCTGTTTAGGAGTCTGATGGCAGTCGGAAAGAAAGAGTTATTCAGTCTAGAGGTCCTGCATTTCACACTTCTGAGTGGAGGGTAGGGGTATGAAGGTCCTCTCTGACCTTGTTGTGTTGCTGCTTCCCATCTGTGTGTGCCAGCACCATGTACCCGGCTCCGGTGTGAACTTTTCTGCTGCTTACTGACATCAGCAGTGGCTGCAGTAGGAGCCAAAAAGGGCTCAGTTAATGTTATGTGGAAGATGTTTGTAGTTTTCACACTGGCAGTGCACTGAAGGAACATTTCAAGTTTCAAGATGGGGCTCCCCCGTGTGCAACATCACAGACCTCCCCGGGTCAAGTTATTTCTCTTTTGTCTCTTTCTTGCTTACTTGTGCCGTGTTAATGCATAATGTAAACATTATTTACATTGAAATTCATTCTTACACTAGAGGTCCTGCATTTCACACTTCCAAACCTCCATTAAAAATTGTGAACTGTAAGCATAAGACAAAAACTTCATATACATACCTCACTCTCTGTGCCCATTGTCTGAAACATCTGTGTCTCAGAGATCATGCTTTCTTGGGATGACTTTTCCAAAGTATCACTTCTCGCTATGGGAAAGATGATCACAGGGAAATAGTTTTAGGCAAAAATACAAACATTTTATTTGAAGAATTAAAAGGTCTGTCACGTCTTATCACCTATAGTTTACTACAGAAGGTGTTCATAGTGACCTTGTGAGGAGGCATGTGTGCTTGTTTCAGTGCTTAAACTGTTCAGTCCATGTGACAAGGCCTCACTTTCATCTCCACCATGTACCACATCTGGAAATTTTGGAAAGTGATACCAGAGGATTAAGAGTATAAATCAAGTAACCTGCACCTGTCCACAAGGCAGAGGCGACTGTATCTTAAGCGCAATGTAGACATTCAACTACGCGCACCTGAACATAAACAAACACGACAAAGGCGAACACACATTTTTAGGCACACAACTCGGATAGAGAGGGGCCGCTGCGTTCATTTGCGCCAACATCTTGGGTTAGTTATCTTAGTTAAAGAACAAACTAAACAAAACTGACCCACAGAGGTGTTGGTAGAAAACATGGAACACTGTGTGGGACACAAGGCAGAGTAAACATTACCATTAAAAACACAAAGATGTCACAACCACTGACTGTTTAAATAATGGCCCACCCCATGGTGGCTGGTTGCAGTATAGGACATAAATCCCGCCTCCTCCATGTTAGCAAATGGGACATGAGGCACACACAAAATTGTGCCATTCAAAATAAACTTTTCCCAGAGTTCATTTCTGTGGTTTTTGGTAGATATGATCAGTCTGATGTGTGTACAAGTGGTTCAGGATGATATAAAAACAGGTGCATTTGGGTTGATTTGACAGCTTTGATTGCTGGTTAGATGCTGTCACTCCACATCTGGTTGCTATGGCACAGAATCTGGCTGCAAAGAAGTAAGTTTGTAGCTGCCGTATTCATGATATTTTGGTTTCACTTTTGCATAATGGAGGGAAGTGCTGACCTCATGTCCATCATACATACAGCCAGTGGTCACAACTTGCTTTATCATCATGTAAGTGTGTCTTAATGACTGAATTCTGACAATTTCTCACCTCAGCCAGTCGCAGTGCTTTAAAAAGATGGAAATAAAGTGACTAAGATGATAAAATTCTCAACAAAACTGTTAAAAATACAACATACTATGTTCACTGCAAGGACGGAGCACATTTACATATAAATAAAACATTTTTAACAATATAACTAGACATATTTGACAGCAGGAAAAATGACAATATTTAAACAAAGTACAGATGTGTCAGGCTTGCCCGGCTGCACCTGCCTTTCTCACTCTCTCTCTTTTTCAGCCCGATTACACCACCTAGCACACCTGCTCCACATCCCGATTATCACCAGCTGCACTTCATTGGTTCCATCCCTACTTATACCCCGCTCACCTATCACTCCCTTGCCAGTTTATTCTCGTTCTCAGGCCCGTTCGATCGCTGTTTTCTTGTATTTTTACCATTTGTCTCTCACCCTTAGTTCTCCTAGCTCCTACCAGTACGATCTTCCTCTCTCTGTTGCCATATTCTCCTTCTGCTGTTTTCCTCCTCCACGGACGTCTCCTCCGGACCCTGGACCTACTCTGCCCTTCTATGCTCCACCATTTCAGGTTGATGCAGTCTCCTTAACTCATCTGTACAAACTCCTGCCTTCTTTCTCCATAGCCACCACCGTCTCTCCGTCAACCAGCCCAGGAGTGACCCCAGCGTCCACAGTCCAGCCATCTCCCATTCACCTCACCACAAACTGGTTTCTCTGCTGCTGATCGACACCCGGTTACTCCCATCATTCTACACTTACCTGTATCATATGGACTCTTTTCTCACTGCACTGTAAATAAATTTAGCACTGCTTGCACCAAAGTCAGCTACCTGGGTCCGTCTCTCTTTACTCACTCTCCTCCGTGTCCGAGTAGACATAACAGGATGCCACTTGTGCTAACGTCTATTACCTAACCATCTCATAATTATCTATGTACTAACTCTGGGGAAAACACATCATAATCAAAAGAAGGGTTAAGTGGTGGATTCAGATTTGGGCTTTTACACATAAAATGCTTATTTGAGTGAGAAATTCACAGCCACATTTACACAGTGATCGCTGTCATAAAAGAAAAGCACACTGGTATATTTACATTAAGACTGCAACATTTCCTCAGCCTGCATACACAACATGAAGCAGTTATGGAAAGATAAGCAGGTGTTCAGAGTGTTCTCTACAAGTAAATAAATGTCACTTTGCCTGGGATTTTGCATGAGGCAGTCCTCTCATCATCTAAAGACTGAGGAGACTGATAAAAACACAGAAAAAGCAGATGTTGCAGCAAATGGCTTTTGCAGAAAGAATGAAATGACACATGACACTGCAGAGATAGGATGATATCTCTTAGTCATCCAGGTTGTAGTATGCTGAAAAAATGTAGAAGAAATTATCTGGATGTAGTTTTAGGTAGACAATGTTTCACCTATCATCAAAGAACTTTCATCAGCTCTGTCCGGCCGGTGCTGAGCAGGAGGTATTTATCCCCCTCGGTGGTGTTTCAGTCTTTCGACGGCCAACAATGTCCTCTACCGACTGAGTCGTTAGGGTCAGGTCTCGGTGAGTCGTTACCTGTCTTTGAACCCTCACATGTGGACCAATGCCTACTGTCCTGGTATGAATTAGATCCAGATCCTCTCCAGAGAACACTGTTGGTTTGAGAAAGGAGACAAAGAAGCAATTTTTGTCCAAATAGTATACCCCTCTCTAAATAGGGGTGGCAGACCAAGACACAACTTGTTATTGATCTACAACGCTGTTTTGAAATCTCTACCAAAACATTTCCACCCTAATTCACACAGAGGATAATTATGCTCAGGAAGAACAATATTTTCCCTACTGCATCGGTCTGTGCATGTGTGTGCACATGAATGTGTCAAGACGAGGTTCGAGAGGCAGGACCCAAAATGTGGACACACAAGTCAAGGGTAAGTTCGAGATGAATTTTAATAATATAGGACTACAGACTAAAGGGAAATAATAGAAGGGCTCAACCTGATGGAGAGAAACAAACAATACCAAATAGCTAAACTAAACTGTTTGGTCAGGGAGCTGGGTAAGGAACAAAAAAACCAAACCGGAAAAACTAACCAAAGAACTACTGACAGGAAAAAAAATCCCAAAACACAGGAACAATCCAAACAAAGCCAGGACAGGAACAAATGTGAGACAGATACAGACTGTTTGAAGGCCACGACATGCTAACCCCTGGACCTACGTAGGAACATAATGTAGCTCAACCTCTCACTCTAAGGTGGCATATTTGAAACATATTAAGCTCCAATCACTGCTTGAGATTTTATGGTGGAGATATTCACTCAGTAATTGACTACCATGAACCTGCAAACAGAGTTCCCTGCAGACCTCCCTCTTACACATCATTAATTCAGACCCCATATCCTCCCAAATAATAACAACCTGCAGTTATGGGCAGCTACCTCCTTATACCTTCAGATGTTACTTCTACTGAGAAAGTTTTATGAAGCAGTATACTCTGGTTCGTTGAGGAACTGTTTTGTCTGAAATAATCCATAAAAGCTGTGGCACTGGCCACTTAAGACCATATTTGCTTTGCACGTTTGTCAGGAATCGGCGTGTAAAGCTGCCGATTAAGTCGAGGATGAACTCAATTATAGAGCCAGACAAGTAAAAGCGGAAACTGTCTCTTTAATATGAGTACTGGCAACGAACAAAACGATACAAAACATGGTTTAAACATGAAATGCACTCGCAGGTTGGTAACACAGTCCAGAGTCAGAACCAGCAAACTCACACAGCCAAGGGATCCAAAATGAGAGGTCAGAGAGGGAAGTCTGATAATCGAATACACAGAAGACAGTCCGAAAAAAAAAAAAAAAATCCCACCAAATGAGTCCAAAAACGGCAAAACAAGAAGAACCAAGGCCATATAAATAAACAAAAAAGACACAGTTCAAGTCCATGGGGTGCCCAGAAGCACCAAACAGTGCGACCGCGGGACCAGGCAGGAGACCCGAGAAGCCTCTCGGGAAGACGGCCGCGGGACCAGGCAGGAGACCCAAGAGGCGGTTTGGGAGGGCGGCCAAGAGACCAGGAAGAAGGCCACCCGGGAGGGCAGCCACGGGACATGGCAGAAGGTCACTTGGGAACTGGGAGAAGGGGGGCGCCGTTATTGTCGGCGAACCCCTCAGGAGCTGGGGGAAGGACAGAGGTGGCGTCGAGACTGTCAACCCACCAGAGACCTAGAACAGGGGCAGCGTTGACATCGTCGAACCCCTCAGGAGGAAGGACAGAGGTGGTGTTGAAGCCGTCGACCCACCGGGGAACAGGAACAGGCTCAGAGGCGGCGTTGGCGTGGCCGGCCAACCCGCTCAGGGACAGGAACAGGCTCAGAGGCGGCGTCGGCGGGCCGGCCGACCCGCTCAGAGACAGGAACGGGAACAAGCTCGGAGGCGGCATCAGCGCACTGGCCGACCCGATAGGGGACAGGAACAAGATCAGAGGCGAAGTCGGCACGCCGGACGACCTGCTCAGAGACAGGAACAGGAACTGGCTTAGAGACGGCGTCGGCGGTCTGGCCGACCCGCTTGGAAACAGGAACTGCATCTCCAGTTGGCAGCTTCCTTTCGATCCTTGGCATTGGCATCGGACCTAACCTGCTCAGGAACAGGCTCGAGAACCCCAGTACAGGTTTCTTCACTGTCACACTGGCATGTAGCTTCGCCAGAAGGGACATCACCATTGGTGGACTGGGGTGCCAGGACTGGCCATGCTGGTCACCATCTGTG